TATACTTTAATATGTATTTAATTTTAGATTTAATCTTCCGACCCCATAAACGATTATGTAATTAAACTTTATAAATTTTAAGCTTATATTAAACCTCAAATCATAGTATAATAAACTGTTTAATATGATTAAAGAATTTTGATTATAAGGATTTCGAAGTACATTCGTACGATAAACAAGTAAACTTTCCGATCTTTAAGCCTAGTACCCGTAAATACGCGTTATACCCTTGTTATTATTATAACAACCGTTTTTAATTTTATAATTTCGTTAAATCGGCACGGGAGCATTTTACGTAAGAAAAAAAGACGTGAAATACGAAACTCTTTAATAAAGTTAAAAACAACAACTTAACTATATATAAGGTTATACTCAGGTTATTATTTTAAAAGTACGAAACGTTTAAAAATCAATTAAAAGCTTTTCGATTTTAACCCATATTCAATGCCTTCATATGTACTATTTATAAAATCGATATAAATGGTACGATTCATTAGAAACCTAAAAGCGATTTAAACGCTTTTTCAGAGCGCGTATATATTATTTATGTTGATAATATTATAAACTTTATTTTTCTAAAAAGTATTCGTAATTAACGACTTAAAATAACAAGACCTTCATAAACATACGTTAAACCGTTGAATTAAACTGAAAGAAGAAGGTTTCTTAAAAACATAGAAAAAGGCGTTACGGTAAAACCCCTAAGAATATGTTCAGCCTTATAAACGATATAAAAGAAAAATATAAAGTTTAAAAAGGCTTTCATATCGACTTTAATAGTTTTAAGATTTTTTTTCCCGATAAATCTAATTTCGACGTCTTCTCTCAATCGTTTTCGAAAACAAAAGTGAAAAATGTATATTAAAAGTAGAAGAACATTTACGGAGCTTGTATAACGAGGCGTAAAGTAAAAAAAGTTTAAAATTGTACTTGATAAAAACAATGATTTAAAATGCTTTCAAACGACGGTTTTATGTAAAGATTCAAAACCCCAATTTGATTAAATAAAAATAAAAATAAAAATAACGAAATTTATTATATAAAATACCTTATAATTATAAAAGTTAATATTGATACTTTTAAAGTGAACTTAATTCATTTAATGATTAATTCATAAAATAGCGTTATGATAATTTAGGCTTTGAATAAGACGTATTTAACTAGTAATAAAATATGGTTGCATTTTTTGGAATAAGCTTATAAAATCAGAATAAAATAACGGTAATTTTATTCGTTACATATTGAAAGGATAGCAGCTAATACGTTAATATGTTAATTTAAGCCTTAATATAAGTAAAGTTTAACTTATTATTATATTTCTTGCTGCATTTTTTAAAAAATTAGAAAACATTTAAAGTAAGTTTAAAAAGCTTATATTCGACTTTCTATCAAAGATTATTACAATAACTTTAAAGGTAATGTTACCTTAAAAACCAAAGCTTTTTAAAAACTAAGAGCTTAAAATCAATAACAAACGATTTTATATTATTAATTTAAATAATAATAAAGGATTTAGAAGAAAAAGAAAATTAAAAAAGTGTTTTATAAATAAGGTTGAAAGAAAATTGATATCAAATAAAATACTTAAAACAATAACAAATACTTTTCTATTACTGTTTGTATATGTTATTAAAGCCCGTTTAAAACTATTTAAAACCCCTTACTTATTACTTTATTCAATATTGAACATTGTAACACATATATAAACTGATAAAATAACAGAAAATATATTTGTAATTTATAATACTCACTACTAATAACGTGAAAGAGATGTGAAATAACAGATGGTTAAAAAAACTATTAAAGTCGCGCTATATTGAAGACTTATAAACTTTAAAGCCATTATAAGACTCATTACCGCCTTACACTTTTTTTTTCAATTTTAATCCTAAACAAGCGTAATAAAAAGGTAATTTAATGCGGATAAAGCTGACAAACTTTTTTTTTTTTAAAAATTAGAACTATTATTTAAACCATTATTACAACTATATCTTTTGTTATTACGTTCTATAAACCGATCAAACGACAGATAAAATCTTCGCGTAAATTTACCAGCCGGTATTTATTTAAACGGTATATTAGTAATACGTTTTAATACTTAATATATCAAATAACAATTTTCATCCGTTAATTCTATTGGCAATAAAAGGCAAAGAAATATTTACCAAAAAATTATCGCTAAATATTCGTTAAAAAACCATATCGTATTTAACGTATTTAAAACTAAACATAAACTCATCGATTATACGATACAGAAATACGAAAAAATCTAAGCCGATAAATTATAGATTTATAGAAATTATAGAAATTACCGGATATCGAAAGCTATAACGATAAATAAAACCGGTTTATATATCGAATTATATTTTTATATATAAAATTTGGCTATAGTTCGGATTCGTAGCGACGATTTAAAGTTAAAATCGAAAAGAAAATGTTTTCTAGCACGAAATAGTATATTATATATATCGGTTAGCGATTATTAATAACATTAGTATCGGCACTCTAAATAAGGAAATGTTTGGGCTTAAAATAAGTTTATTAATAGTCGACTAACAACCGTCATAAACACCGTATTATGCATATTAAAAACACAAAATCAACATATATATAGTAATGTAGTTTGAAGCTATATTTGAGGCATATAATCATTATAAACCTTATAATATACCTATTACAAATATAAAATAAACATATAATAAAGTAATTTAAGCTATACCTATAGCGCTTTTGAATATTAAGAGTATAAGAAATTTAACTATATGAAAAGGAAGAAGAAAAAACCCCTTTTATAAAAGGTTATAATAAAACCTTTCTAAAAGTCGATTTTTAAATTAACTTTAAACATGGAAAACGCGTTTTAAACTTTAATAATCCTTCATAACTTACGCTAATTTTATTATAGTAAATAAGTAACTATTTCTTACAACATCCCTTAATAAAAGCGCTTCACAAATTTATACTAAAGGTAATACTAATTAAAGGCTTATTTTTGATAAACTGATTATTTTTAAACCCGACTCATAGCTTATTATAATCAGGTAAACAATAGTTTATTTTAACATCGCTTTTATACCGAAAAAAGCATTTCAACCAGATTTATTATATAATATAAGCTCGAATGTATTTATTATGACGTTAAAATTAACTTTATTTAAAACTTTGTTATTAATACGAAAGTTTTCCTCCTTATTCTTATAGCCGTAAATATAATAGAAGTTCTGAAATATCCTATAATTTATTATAACTCAATAAAAATTTACCTTCAAAATGGGCATATATAATTTAAATATTTACTTTGTATAATGAAATTTTCTAATTAAATCTGTTTACAGAAGGGTTTTATATATATAAGAGGTAATATTTAAAACAATGGCTTCGTTAATCATTAAAAAGTCGATCTTATAACCTTAAATGTTATAAAAAGCGGCTTTTTTAAAGTATAAAAAACCGAACCAACTCCTTATTTGCAATAAAAGTACGAGCTAAAGTTTAAATTTTATAATTTAAATTAATTATTAGTCTTTTTAAACGTTTAAATCATTAAAAAAGTTACGGTATTAATATTAAATAAGGTTATAAAGCTACCTTTTTATTAATACCGCTGCTTATATTACCTTAATAAGTAGTAGTTTATATGAATTATTAAAATAATTACAATTTTTAAAAATATTCTTAATCTATACATAAGCATTTTTCTAAACTTTATAACAAAAACGGCTTAAAATTCGACAGTAAACCCCTTTAAAAGCACGTAAAATACGTCAATATAATCTTTGAAGCCAATTTAAACAAATTAAAGCTTATCATAACCGACGGCTTTAAATATTTTACCCTTTTTATAAATAATAATGATTATTTTTAAAACTTTAAAGCTTTAGAAATATTAACATAAAAAGGCTTGAATTAGAATTTTACGTTTATATAAATAACGCTCAACAGTTAAAGATTTTTAGAAACGAGCTTATTTAAAAGGTTCGTATTTTACGCTTTAATAAAAATAAATTGTTCGGTATAAATAAGTAAAGGCTTTCATGTTATTAAAGTTATTGTTTTAAAATATTTTACGTTTGTTCGATTGATATTAAAACGGCGCTATGAAACGAAAAATTCACTGCTTGTAAATAAAATCGAAAGTTATAATAAAATATAATAAAGCCAAATGCTTACATTAAACGCTGTGAAAGCGTACATAACATGAATACTATAAAAATATAATACTAAATGTTAAGCAGTTATATTTATATAATATTAAGAATTTAAATAATTAAAAGAAATAACAGAAATAAACCTATTAAAAACAACTTTACAAAAATAGGCAAGGCCTTATTAGCTATTAAATTAATAAATAAGCTAATGTTTATAATTAGTTTTTAAACCCGATAAACGATCACGTCATTAATTTACCTTAATCTTAATCTTATATTAATCGTTAAAATATAATAATAAATTAATATATAAGCTTTACGTTATACGTTTTACTACCGGTATTACTTTAGTGCTTTATTACGTAATGTAAATTTCAACTAATCTAATAATAATGTTGCTTCTAATATTATAACTAACGTAGGTGGCAAGCATGCTACCATAGCTTTCGCTCTTGTGCTAACATGTGACTCACTGGGGATTTCTTATTCACTCACTCTGAATTCGTTCTATCAGATTGGGGGCATTCTTCGTCACCGTTGTATAACACTGGACGCTCAGTTACGTTCCTTCACCGTTCAAACCCAGCGATTGCCCATGATCATGGCTGCAGACGTTACTCGCAAGAGGACCTTGCGAGACTTGGTCACGGCGGCAGCCACTTCGTCATAGTTTGGCGCTTCGTGACATGTATTGTATCCATGCGAACAAAAATCAGGTAATTATCTGTTCCCATATAACCAGACCTGTGTTTCTCTCTTTCCACGAAGAGGCCTTGCCGCTACAAGCAGCATATAATGCACACAACGCTCTTATTAGTCTACCACCAACCGTCGCAATATCAGCATCGCGATATGCCTGCCGACGCCTCCAACGATACCGACAGAGCCGGAGAAACTCCCGCGAGCAACCATACGACATCGACTCGGGCGCAGGACCGCATGCTTCCAGCCCCCGCAATTCGCCATCAAGGAGGGCCTAACACTGGCTACACACGACAATCTGCTGTAACACCGAGCGACCATCGCCGGCGATACAGCTTCGAAACCCAGGGAAGTAGATCATCAGGAACAAATTCGGACCCTTTCGACCAGCAGCAGCCCCTGCTTACATTAGCCCGAGCACCGAATGCATCGGAGAAGGGCCTACGGACTGGTGTTGTATCCTCGATACCAGCCAGAAGTTCATGGTCTCCGCCCTATCGTGGACATAGCTCACATGACATCGACGTCGGACGCCGGCCTGGTGTCCCGGCATTGGCGGCAGTTTCTATGAGTGGCCAAAAACCCGCTGTCCGGCCTTGCGGGCCTCCTGACGAAACATTACTCGAATGTCCCCAGACAGTTGCGCTGAACTACCAGACGATTTGGTACATACTGCCAGCTGTACCGGGATTTTTGATCTGCACTCGCTGCCACGTCGATCACGTCCGAGGTACAGCCCTAGCCAGCTCATTCGCCCGGATTGAACAGCCAAGGGGTCTATTGTCGAGATGCCGGTCCTGGGTGCCACGGGTCACCGAGGCTCTCTGGCCGAATGCTCTTCGTGATGGGAGTACACAGAGACTTGAAGAGTTCATGTCATTCCGTGTGAGAATTGCTGACTGTACATGGCCTGACAGTGCCAGGTTGCCAGATAATGCGACGTGGTATAGCCCACTGGAACCACAGTGGGCGCAGCTTGTGGCGTGCGAGGCGTGCTACGAGGACAAGGTACGCAGTTCTCCGTTTTCAGAACGCTTCGTCGTGCTCGCCAACAGCGAAGTGAAGCATGACGACCAGGTCTGCCAGTTTGGACGACCGTACCTGGCAACAGCGCTGGAACACCATGGCCCAGCTGGAGATTGGCAAGGCTTCGTCTCGGCAGCTTCGAGACGGGCTCACGTCGCAGAGTGTAGGAGCAAACGACGCACATATGTCCGTGGTCGGACATGGTATCGTTTCCGACGTCGCATGACGGGTCTGCGGATCTGCGAAGCCTGCTATCTCGACAGAGTTGCATCCATGCCGTTTGCGCCCGAGTTTCAAAGGCTCAGTCATGATGAGCTGGCAACGTTGGACGAGGAGCAGGTCATCTGCGCCTTTTCAGTCATCTCCATATCGCTGGCATGGGGAAGCGCGGTCGTGAGGAACGACTACGGGATTTTCTGCAATGCTGTCAAGGTTATCATGCAAAGTCACCCCTGTGATGCTGGTGGGATTAAGGGGGTTCCTGTGAGTTGTCGCCCGGGGCATGTCCCCTTCCCATGTTACTGTCTTGAAGCCGGCCGCGATTCGCTCTTGCATTTCCAGGTTCTGCTGTAGAATCCAGCAACCCATATTCACTTCTCAGATTCTGTGTGGGACAGCGTCAGCTAACGGTAGATGCTATAGTGGTATACCATCGAAGGGGGAGGCTCGGGCTTCAACGTGTGTCAGGCTTGCTACGCGGGCATCATATGCCCTTATGAGCTGGGACAGTTCTTCATACTAGCCCAGCGTGACCCCGAAGTGCGCCTCCTGTGTGACCTGCACCCGACGGCGCCGCGCTTTCCCCTGTTCGTGCGGAAGCTTGCGCAAGCAGTCAATGTCGCCGATTTCAGTATCTTCAGCCTTTATGCGCAACGTTTGTGTAGCATCCCGATATGCCCACGGGCACAAGCAAAAAGCGACACGCCGTGGTATTTCCTCGAGGACTGTGCCGTCTGTCCCGAATGCTACGAAACAGTGGTGTCCCATACGGCGCTTGCAGGGCAGATAGCCGTCACGTACACACGAGTAAGACGGCCCACGCTGTGCGGCCTGTACTCGATGTCGATGAAACGCAGGTGGGCAGCCGCCTGCACCAGCGGCAAGATAGACGAGTTTGTCAGGTTCGCCCGACACAGGCTGCAGGTATACGGCAGGACGGTCCCGGTGATGGAGCACATGCTGCAGGCCAAGTCGCAGCAGATGAAGCAGGCGTTGGATTACGGCGTGCTAAGCGTATCGTACGATGCGGGTGAGCGCCATGCGAGGACGGAGGGAGCGGGCGATGGATATCTTCACGGAAATGCAGAGGTGGGGTGGCACCACACCTGGCACGGCGCCGAGAGCGCGAGGCTTACCAGCAAGATGATGGAGGGCATACTGCGTGCGCAGCGGGGAGATGAATGGACCACAATGGCACATCTAGAGGAAGAATGGGCAGAGGTTGAATGATACAGCCCGAGCGATAGACATATGTGTAGTAGGAGTCAACCACTGACCCCTGACCTTATCCCCTATGGGATGTGACCCCTTTTCTTGAGTCATGTACCTAAGTACCTACCTACCTAGGTCGGTGCCATGAGTCGTTAGCCACAGTTATCAAGCCACATGAGCGCCCACCAGCCACGCGAGCACCTGGGGCTATGTAGAAAGAGAGAGACTCAGACACCAACACCTCCAGGTCAACGTACATCAGCACTCTCCAACTGCACCTCGTGTCTGGACGACAAGACCGGAAACCTGGAAAAGACCCAGTAGGGTCTGATACCCTCGCCATGTCCTCGTCCGAGTCGCGCTTCACCTCGCAGAACAAGTCCACCGAGCAGCGTGTTTCCACCAACACCGTCGGCCTCGTCGCCCTCTCCGACTACCGCAAGCGACGCGCCGAAGTCTTCGAGCAACAGGAGCGCGAGGCGAGGGAAGCTGCCAGTGCCAATGCCACGCCCGACCGCTCGTTGACCGCCACGCCTGACAATTCGAGCGACCCGTCGATCCCGCGCAAGAAGCCCAAGAAAAAGGCTGCCAAGGCTGGTCGTGTCAAGCTTTCCTTTGGGGGCGGCGACGAAGATGAAGCAGACGAGGGAGTCGAGGTAGCCAGCATCGGGGCCGACGGCGAAAACAAGGCGGCCAAGTTCAAGGTCAACTCGTCCGTGTCGGTGGTGCCGCGCTCTGTGACCAAGTCGGCTCTGCGCCGCGAGGTTGCCGAGAGAGATGCGCTACGTCGCCAGTTTCTGGTGCGCCAGGAGGCCGTGAAGATGACCGAGATCGCCATCCCCTTCGTCTTCTACGACGGTTCCAACATCCCCGGTGGCACCGTACGCGCCAAGAAGGGCGACTTTGTCTGGGTCTTCCTCGACAAGAGCCGCAAGGTCGGCGCCGACCTCGGCGTCGGCGAGAAGGCAAACGCCCGGAGGGAATGGGCGCGCGTTGGTGTCGACGACTTGATGATGGTTCGGGGCAATGTCATCATTCCTCACGTGTGTCTCTATTCTTCCCTGCTGTGATATGCGACTCTATGAAACTCTCCTGGGCCGCTCGGCTGACTAGACTACAGCACTACGAGTTCCTATTCTTCATCATGAACAAGACAGTCGGTCCCACTGGCCAGCTTCTTTTCGAATACAGCGCCGAGATCCCGAAGCCACGAGATCCAGAGCCCCCCAACAACAACCCCGACAATGACCCCGACAATGACCAAGAAGACCGGCCGACCGCCCGTCCCACATCCACCCAGAGGCAACCTGACGTGGCGTCCCTGGAGGGTGCCACAGGCGATCCGGCCTTCACCAAGGTCGTCGACCGGCGATGGTACGAGCGGAACAAACACATCTACCCCGCCAGCGTATGGCAGGATTTCGACCCCGAGAAGGACTACCAGTCGGAGGTCAGGCGCGATCTCGGCGGCAATACCTTCTTCTATTCTTGAAGCATTGACAATTACTGATTGGAAACGTTGAGCGAAGGACGAAGCTGTTCCGTAGCTTGCCGGGTGTCAGTACAGATCACTACTTGGCCACAACATTGCGTACCTCTTCCATGGTCCCTCCCTCAGCCCACAAATGCCGGGATCGTCAACCCGATGGCCATGATCATCCACCAGCCCGGCCAAAACAGGACTAGACAGAAGTTGTTGCCGCCCGAGCCAAGGATGGAGGTGAAGAATTCAAACTCGAGTTTCTTCCTGAGTTTTCGCATGCTCGGCGTGCGCCATAACGTGCGGCCTACGCGGCTACATGGCACTCCAGACTTGTGAAGAACGCTCATGGACGCGAGGAAGATGTGGGCGGCCACGACTCGACCCGCGTGAGAGGCAGTCGAGGCTAGCAAGCAAGCCTGGAGCAACAAGGTCAGAAGAGCGGCGCTTAGCATATGTTGGCATCGAACGGCGAGGTGGAGGGTGGGTGCCAAGGCGGTGATGGCATGGTAGCCTGTGTTGTTCCGGATCACCACGCCCGGCTCCTTTTTGGCGGTGGTGATGATGGCCACCTTGGAGAGTCCCATTCTCGCCGAGGAGCAAGCTGCGGGGCGTTGGAAGGCCGGGACCGCTGGCAACATGCGGATCCGAACAGGAGGTGCCTATAGGTGATGGGGTAGACAGACGGCGGAGGTTGGCTAGCTTGATATATGTTATAGGTTGGCAGCAGCGCAGGAATGGACGGCTCTGGGTGTTGGACTGACATGCATCGGCCGTACCAGCAACGATATATGCGGCCTACATACATACAATAGCTGCCAACGTACATGTCCAGTGCGGGCATAAAAGGAAGGGCAGTGCAATGGATTCTGCACGTGCACGTTCTCGGTCGTTGCAAGGGCATACTCTACGAGTAGTCCCCCGCACTGCGAACGAAGCGCCAGCCTATACTCACAACTTGGCGACATGTCGTGGCTTAGGAATGGGCCGATATTGGCTGGGCGACGGATGCATCTCTGCCAGCCACGCACAACGTGCCATGCCATGCCTCTTGATTGGTCACAGCCACTCCTCCTGCGTCAGGATACAGTACGTGGGGACATGATTAAACATTACTCCTATAGACCAGAATACATTTGTATCCGCGGCTAAGCGATCACGCGTACAAGTGCGCTTGTGCCATAAACGGTGCATTATTCGCGTCCCATGCCCACCTGCAGGACAACGACAGATGGCCATCATCTTCCCCCTTCGTGAGACTGGTTCCCTTTCAAGCCGAAGGATCACCTTCGCCACGTTCACAACCAGTACCCCCGTCGTGAACTATCCAGAATCTCTCGCAGCCTCGCCGAGGACGGTGAAGTCGACGCGCTGAAGGGCGTCGAGTCGAGCAACACGAAGAGGGTGGGGTGGGCCGGATAGAAAGCAAACAAAGAGAGAAAAAAAAGAATACAGGGATGGATGAGCGGGGCGGATGGTGTAGTTGCATCGTGGACAGGTGGTGGGCCGTCACGTCCTCGTTCTCTGCAAGACCGCAGCATACCGTAGTTCAGTCTGGCGTATCAGATATGCCAGATATCGCCGGCAAGCTTCCGGAGGCCGAGACCAAGGTATGGCTGCTCGCCGTCAGTAGTCGTACAGTTTGGCATTCTGGAATACGTCGACTGCACGGCCGCCCTCCTGTGCCTCGAGAGCTGGCCCGGCATGGTCTGCCTCCTCGTTTCCATACGCAGGCTGGTCCATACTTGGGGCCATCAGAGGCGAGTAACCCCCCAGGCCAGCGCTCGGGAAAGGCGCCAACTCTGCGTAGGGACCTGGTGCCGTCATGTAGGAGGGCGCCGGAGGATACGTCGGCTGGTATGCAAACGGGGCCGTTCCCAACACTGGTCGGGACACGCCAAAGCCAAGTGCGTCGTCCTGCATCGTAAGTCCTCCGTTTATGAGCTGTCATGCTCCCAGAAGTCCCTGCGAGTTCAGGTTTAGGCTGCAGATTCCGTATCGCCGGTTGAAAGCCAGTCAAGGGTAGCCCGTGAGCCATGGTCGGTGGCTGAATTGGCTTCTAACCACTGCCCACCGAAGCGCTCTGTTGGCCAGGGGCAACCGTGGGGCTGATCGTCGGCATGCCAGCGTCCTCGTCTTCGTCCTCCCAATCTTCCATATCCTCAATTGGCCTGCTCCGCGAAGTTCGTCCCGGGCCTGCTGCAGGATTGGGCGCAAGTAATCGATCCGCGACTTTCGCTCGATCCGACTTGTTCCGCCGCTTCTTGATACGCCCGCTTTTCTCCTGGAACATAGCTGTCGGCTTTTTGTTCTTGTCGGGCATGACATTGCCATCCTGACCGCGTCTGCTTGTTAGCCACTGGTCGAGACGAGACACAAGCTGTTCTAGAAAATGATTCAGTGTCAAAAGCTGAGTCTTGGTGTACCAACCTTGTCTACCAAGTCACCGTACGGTGGATTCCCTTCTCTTTGCACTGCAGGGTGTTGGCTTAGCTGGTGCCTCTCCCAGCGGGTTATGACCTCGACCGACGACTCGCGTTATCAGGGTGATAAGGGGCACGAACCGTCTGGATTCCTAGGGCCTGTACGGTATTTTTCTGCTCGTTCAGCAGTGCGTTCGTGACCCCTCTCTATGGTGCAACCTTGCGTAAGCACATCTTCAAGCCCCTGGAGACCCCCTTTCGTTATTCACATTGCTCTCCCTCAGCGGGTTCCATGCTAGTCGGGCTGGAAATTCGATGAGGTTGAACAAGGACCGGCAAGCTGCCTTGGATTCCTGTTACAAGATTAGCTACAGATGACCTTGTGGGAACTGTGAAACCAACCCTCAAGGCCAAATCGACATCGTCGAACCTTTCCTTGAAAGAGGCATATTGACGATAAATCGGCCCGGTCCGGTTATACCACTCCGGAATGGTACAGATTCCACGCTGGGCCTGTTCTATGCACCACTGTATGAGTTAGTCATGAGCATGGTAGCTGACCCTGTGGCTTCTCCTGTCACTTACCAAAAGCCGCCATAACATCATGCACACCACTCCCTCCGGATACTGAAAATTATGGACATCTATGAAGATATTGGGACATGTGAAAGCATACCATCATCCCTGGTGATCCAACACCACAGTGGGAAGGGGTTTCCAAATAGTAATCAAACATGTCCACACTTTATAGTACATACCATATTCCTCAACAGCAATGCTTGTCCGAGGCTGTAGGCCCAGTCTGACTTACCACTGTCCAGGTTCCGAAATGGTCCAAGGTCGAAACAGAAACCTACGCCGTCCCGGCGCCTTGGCGAGATGATAGAGCCTGTTTCCGACAGTCTCACTAGGGACTACAGTCTTGCGGCCAGGACGTATGATGAAGTAGATATCTGGAAATAATAGCCACAGCTGGGTCGATAACGGTTGCCTAGGGGCAAGGTAACAAATCATAGTCCATATACAGGTAGGTGTGCACGAGACAGCGAAGCCGCAACAGGAAGCCGAAATCTGATGCATATAGAGCCACGGTCCTTGACATATACAACATCCATCTGGCATATGCAGCCACTTACAAGTTCCTGTGAGAGGGAGTGGGTGGAAGGGAGCTGGACAGTGTCAACTGGTCGTATGTCGCATCGATGTGGTAGACTAGCCTGCTGGAAGGCCAGTTCAGCACGAAAGGCGATGTATAAGTCGGCGAGGTAGTCACGTCGAGGCGGTGGTTCAAGGTCATCAGATGCAATGACTAGGCCATAATCACATCGGAAAAGGATATGGCGCCCATATTTGGGTATACCTATTAATCTGTCACGTGGACTTTATGTAGATCTACCTTAACTCGTGGATCATTCTGTAAAACTCCACGTGGTGTCATCTCAGGTTCCGGCTGCGTGAACTCCCAGAAGACCTGATCAGCGCCCTGTTCAGAAGCCCTTTCCAGCGAGAAGACATTCCAGCGAGGAACGAAACCAGAGACTTGAGATTATTCCCAGTACGGAGCCATCATGATAGCTTCAGGTAGAATAACATGGCCTGAATACCACATCGTCTAGGAGGGAGCAGCGCGGTGGCAAGGAACCCTGGCAGGATGAGAGCACGCCTCCCTTCTATTCAAGCGATACCATACTCGTGAGGTCAGTATTTAATCGCGTTTCCGAACGATTCACTGGGTAAAGAAGTTGAAAGGGACTACTTGCGGCCGCCACACGGGTGTAGAAAAGAAAGGTGGCATATGTAGTAGTAGCAACAGTCACGTGGTACACATTTGTTTAACCGAGAGCCGCCTTGAAAATAGCATACAATAAATATAGCAGACTGCTCCCTTAGTGAAGGCACGCCAAACTGGTCTGGTCTAAACTCACCAATTCAAGTTATGTCAGTTTGAATTAGGACCAACAGGAGATTATGAACTCAGGCTGGTGGCTCCTCTTATGTATTGCTCCCCCCTTTTCTGATCGAAAGGCCCTAGACAAGAATGGGAGTATTCACCTTCCTGCTTGTCCCCTCTCTCGTCATCTTTGCCATGGCATGGAACCGACACAACAATGTAAGAGAGTAAAGATCTAATATCATAGCGGAGGGGCCGCGTTATGGAACTGGCTGGATGAAACCTCTACCATGGCAGGTTAAGAGGGGTAAAACTACAACATACCGGCTGACCGGCCCGTCACTCGTAGAAGATCCACCAAGGCCATTCCGGGTCATGAGATATGTCCTGGCGGGATGACCAGATGGAAGCAGCTCCAAAGAATGAGTGGAGGCGCTGATCTCGACACGACAGTTGAAGGGTCCCAATGACGAGACACAAACGGCACGTGGACTCGATCGGACCGGAAGTACTCCCGATGACCTCGTTTACACGAAGCCAACAACAACCGCTCTCGAAGAGGCACAACCCATTTAAACAATCACGATCGCCATGGATAATGCACTTTCAGTTGCCAGTGGAAGAGTCCAGGTATTTTTCATTACTCATACAGAATTGAAGTAACCGACTCCATCAGCTATACCTGCGAGGAGTAGTCGGTGCTGTCACAGGCTCCATGACCAGCGAAAACATCACCGCACTCGCCTCAGGGCCGGTTTTGCTCCTTTGCATGTTACCTACCCACTCTGCAATAGGGGAGTAGCAGGTGACAATGGTGAGAAGCAGGTGATGACTAGCCTTCGCAATCATCTTTGTTCATAGTACAAGCCATTCGTTGTTCTGCATGGTCTGGTTACGCGTTATGTTTTGCGCACGCAATGACCACAGATGAATGGCGGCGGGTTGAAGGAGAGCCCGAATGGTCTCACCAATTCCTGCGGCCACCGCGACCCCTCCCGAATCCACCACCTCCGCCCCCTCGGCCCATGCCCTGCTCAAAGCCAAAGTTCTGCCCCTGGTTGCCCCCAAAGCCCTGACCGGCACCGCCAAAGCCCTGACCTTGGCCCCCGGCAGCGTTGCCACCTGCTGCGTTCTGCATGCCCGAGAACATGGTGGCCATGGCGGCAGGGTCCATCTGGCTGGGGTCCATGCCCGAAGACACCATCTGCTGCATCATGGCCTGCATCTCCGGGGGCATTCCGTCCATGCCGGGCATGGTGGGCATGGCGCCGGCGGCACCGGTCATGCCGGGCATGCCGCCCATCATCATCATCTGCATCTCGTCCATCATCTTCTTGTTGTTCTGGGCAATGGCGTCTTGACTGTACTCTCCGCGAACGTTGTCCTGCTTAGCGGCGTACAAGGCCCAGGTGAACTCGTCGAAGCCGTAGTTGAAGTAGTCGCTGAGATCGGTGCCTGGCTTTCTCCAGGGCTTGTCGTTCTCGGGCAGGTCTTGGTCGATGTTCACCTGGGTAATGGGCTTCCCTGTAGGCTTGTATATGGGTATCGCGTTCACATCTATCTTGGAAGTGGAGACGGGCGGCAGGTCGGCGGTGGACGTGGCTTTGGCTGGGTCCTCGTTCTTGATGGCAGGCTTGGAGGCGGCGTCGCTCGAGGCTGTCCGCTGCGGGATGTTTCTTATGTCGCTGTAGCGCGATTGTCTGTAGTTGTCCGTGGTCAGCATCAGTAGAAGGAGGGGAAGTATGTTGACTCACGCTGGGGGAGGTGCGTTGGAGCCGTCTTTGCGCTCGGTGATGATATCAATGTCGGAATCCGAGTCCTCCATCTCGGCGCCCTCGTCTTCCTCCTCCCCCTCCTCTAGATCTCCATCTTGGTGTTGCTGTTCCGCGGGCTCTGCGGCGGACGGGGTGGCGGCGGCAGCGGGCTGGGTTGTGGGCTCGTCGGGGGCGTAGAAGTCGTCATCATCGTCAATCTCCATGGTGGCCTCGGAGTACGGTTGTCTGAGAGTTTGAGGCGGTACACACAAAGACTCTGGACTCTGGACTCTGGACTCTGGACTCTGGACTCTGGACTCTGGACTCTGGACGAGGCTGAGTGTGGAGTTGGTTCTGGAAGAAGATGTGAAGATGTGGTGATGTGGTGATGTGGTTATGTGGTTATGTGGTTATGTGGTTATGTGGTTATGTGGTTATGTGGTTGCGCTGGAAACTGGAAACATTGAATGTGAGCGAACCCAAGCTCATGTTCCCTACCCCCATTAAGTCATATACCTGGTACATGTACCAGGCTACACCGCTTACTGCATATCTGCAGGTACCCTCAGTTACAGGACCCTTTCGCATTCATCAAAACGGAGGGATTCTACAAAAGCAAACATATCGCGACCCTCCATTCCGCATTCCACATTCCATCTGCCAGCCACGCGACGGCAACTTTGCGACCGCGACGGAGCTGCCTCTCTCTCAATGCCATGGCCTTGTCCAGGTCGGCTAGCGGTCCTGGAGCGTTGAGCATCAACACAAATTCGGCCAACATGTTGTGAGTATTGCGCCTGTATTTCCTGCCTCTTTTCCTGCCTCTTCGTCTTCGTCGTCGTCTTCGTCGCCTCCTGTTTCTGCCTCCCTCCCTGTCCTGTCCTGTCCTGTCCTCGCATCCATCCACCGGTTTCCCACAGCATGATTCCCACAGCATGATTCCCACATTTCTTCTCTGCGTGCTCCTCTGCACCTCTACACCTCTGAACCCGCAGTCCTACCTACCTGCCTACCCGCCGACCCGCCTACTCTGCACGCGCGGTCGATATCCAGACATGCCGCGAGCTCCCGTCTTGACATCATGCCTCTTTCAAAGCTAACCCAAGATGTCCCCGAAAGCGCATCTGCCAGCAGTCAAGCTCCCGCCCCGGGGGCCCTGTTTGGATCCACCACCCAGAATACGAATACATCGACAACCAAGCCCACCAGCCTATTCGGCAACACGACATCTGCCACCACCGCCTCGCAGCCTCAACAAACCTCATCACTGTTCGGCGCCGCCACTAACACTGCTACAACCCAGCCCCAGCCGTCGACCAGCCTGTTCGGTTCCTCCGCCGCAACCTCACAACCGCAGCAAGCATCCGGCGGTCTGTTCGGAGCTTCAACCGCACCCTCCCAGCCCCAACAGACAGGCAGCCTCTTTGGTGGCGCTTCGCAGAGTCAGCCTCAGCAGCCTGCCCAGGGTGGAAGTTTGTTTGGAGGACTTGCTCAGAACCGGAGCCAACCGCAAAACGCCGGTAGCCTGTTCGGCGCCAACAACAACACCACCAGTACCACCACCAGTCAAGCAGGTGCTGCTCCGTCTACGAGTTTGTTCGGCAGTCTTTCGAGTAATGCCCAGCCGGCCAACAACATGAATGGGAGCGGCATGTTTGGACAATTCGCTCAACAGAAGCCAAGCCTCTTGTGAGTAACAAGCCTCCGTCCAGCCCGCGACCCCCCGTGCTGACTTATTGCCCGGCAGTGGGAGTCTCAACCAACAGCCCCAGAACCAAGGCAACCCCCTCGGCCAGTTGCAACATCATCCCGCCCTTGGAATCGGCCTAACCATGGGTCAGTCGACCACCCAGCAGACCGTGCCCGGCGTGCGCATAGATGTCAGTAACCTCAAGGGCACTACCCGCTTCAACGACCTTCAGGAAGACTTGCAGAAGACTGTCGAACAGGTCGATCGCTACATAGAGGAGCAACAACAACGAAAGAAAGGGGTCGACTCGTTCATGTCCGGTCACAGTAACATGCTCGAGAGCATCCCCGACGACGTCAAATTCGTGTCGAGGAAGTACGACGGCGCGAGGACCGCCTTGGAGTCGGCCGCCCAGGCCATCGAGTCAGCACGCGTCTTGGTCAACCAAGATGCTGACAGCGCCCGTCTTAGCTTCCGTGCTATTGACAACCTGAAGCTGCCGCAGCAGTACCACACATCCAGCTTCTGGTCGCCGAGACAGCAAGCCCCGGGCACCGCCAACACGGAGGCCGACGGCCAGGACCTGGTCGGCTTCTTCTCCAAGACGGCCGACGAGATGGATGATCAGATGAAGAAATACCAGAAGAACCTGACCGACATTGAGCAGCACATGCATGGCGTCTCGGATGGCCTGGGGGAGCAGCTACAGAGGATGATGGCCACAAGGAATGGCGGCGGCGCCGGCTCGGACGAAAAGATACAGGAGCTCGTTGCTGTGCTGAGGGACTTCGAGCAGGGCATACTTAAGGTCGCCGGAGACGTGGGAGGTGCGCGAGAGGGCATGACCCGTCTGCAGCTGGGTGACTTTATGGGTCAAGATGGGGGCCACAATGGCGTGTATTGATCTAAGAAGCTCGCATTGGACTGGCATGGTTTTGTCTTTGATGGCGCGGATACCCGGCTCGCAACGATAAGAGGAATGCAGGATCATCGAGGGGGGACTACACCTGGGCACCGTACATGGACCCAAAGTCGATTCCTCGCATCAATGTCACAAGTCAGATTGCACCTCGGGGGAATGAACAAGCGCACGACAAATCGCGGCATCGTTTACTCACCCAATTCTGCGAATGGACCTGTGCCACACATCTGTTTGCGAACTCTTTCCTGCGCCGTACAGGAGACGGCGAGCTTGCAAATGCCTATCTTCCCGGACGAAGCATTGGCAGCCTGTCCGTGGTCGTGGATGAGAATGACGTGAAGGCTCTACACATAGTAAAGCAGGCAGGTACGTAGTATTCCAAGGGTTTGCTGACCTTGCTGGAGGGCTTCAATCTCCAGTCACGGTTTGACGAGCACGCACGAGCAGTCAAACAGATATATTTAAACAGATATATTTTTGGGCGCCTCTCCATGTACTCCACACCATGTAATAAGCAGTGCGACGGCATACACCTGAAGCCCGTCGGGCCACCGATAACCTAGGCCATGCCCATATCTCTCATCGCCCGGAACATGGCATTCACGTTACTGCGCTGCGCCCTCCAGTCCATGACCTGCGCCAGGTCCACCATCAGCCAGGCCCTGGGCTCGGCAGGGACACAGTTCCAGAGCTCCCGCAGCGTGTCCAGGTGTCTGGGCGTGGTTGGCTGGAAGACTTTGGCGTACGCCACGAAGAAGTCCAAGAGCGGATTGCGGTGGTCCAGGGTGCCAAGCTCGTGGGTGTACATGAGGTCGATGGCGAACTCGTCGATCTGCTGCAGGAGCTCCTCGCTGCAGCCCAGCCCGAACTCCGAGTCGAGCGCGGCGCAGGTCCCGACGAAGAAATCGAAGCACTGATACCAGGCGTACTCGGTGTCGCGGTTCAGCATGGCACGGGCTCTCTCGAACATGTACAGTGGAGTGCCGGTGGTGCGGTACTGCTCGAGGCCTCGGAACAGTTGGTGGAGCGCTTCCAGGGCGGCTGGTATCTGGTTTTGCACTGCAATCCGGGGTTCAAGCGTTCGACCAAAGGGCGCCTGCCGCGTGTTGGGCAGATGCTCGAGGATGTCGGCGCGGTTGCAGAGATATTGACCGCCCTCATCCAGCATCACCTTGACCGGCTGGTCGCGCAGTGAGGTGGGGTACGCACGCTCGAAAGGAGGCCGTGGCATATTGGGCATGGGGCCCGGCGATGGTGGAAACCCGCGCGGCGGAGATCCTCGCGGCGGCGGTCTTCGGGGTGGTGATCTCGGTGGTTGTAGTCCTGGTAGTCCCGGCAGTTGCGGGTGTCTTTGTGGGGGCGGTCCCTGTTCTCTCGGCGTTGCTGGCGGCGCCTGTGGTGTGTACGTTCGCAATGACGGGGCCCGTGGTGATTGGCCTGGGTGTGACGGCGCGTGCGATGGGGATGCCTGCGAAGGTGGTCTCTGCGATGCAGATCTCTGCGATGGGGATCTCTGAGATGGGGGTGCCTGGGATGGTGGTGCCTGCGACAAAGATCTCTGCGACGATGATATCTGCGAGTGGGATCTCTGCTCAGGGGATCTTTGCCAAGCGGACGCTTGAGACGACGATCTCTGCGATGATCTCTGCGACGAGAGCCTCTCCGATGGTTCTGAAAAATGGTCTGTAGACGATAGTTCCTCCACTGTAGCTGTTCTTCCTGGAAATGGAAAATAGAGTTGCAGCGGGTTGAACCGTACGAGCTGGCCTACGTTACTGTTCTCTCCCCCGTCCTCCGGTGGTGGCAGCAGATACCTGCCATAGGCATAATTTATCGGCGGTAGGCGGTTCATGATGTAGGTTCGAAGAGAACCTACTCACTCCGCTCATTGCTACCACGTTGTATTGATGCGCCGGGCAGAGTCCGGGTCATGACCAGTAGTGAATGTGACTATCAAGGAGCTGCCAGGAGCCCAGCGGTGAAGTGAGTCGTGGGCGTAGAAGAACCATCGCCTGGATTCCGCCATGTTTGCTTGGGGAAGCTGGGAGGAAGTATGACAAGCAGAAAACACGAACAAACAAAATTGAGCGGTGCAGATCCTTCTCGTATGCTCGTTGTTTCGCCAATGTGAGTCATCGTGTCCGACACATTCACTGTGCGCTGAGGGCACCAGGCTGGCGTCTACACATATGAGTCCGATCCAACATGGGATGTTTGTAACCGCCGTCTGTGTGACCAAGACTCCCAGGGCAAACTCGCGGCCCGTTCTAGCGGTGACCCCTAGATTGCTTTTCGGGAGAGTCGTCTCGTCGGCTTCGTATACAGGCTTGCCTTATCTACTTGAAAGACACAATGGCTTTACATGGCGCATATATACACTGGTGAGGTGAACTGGTGATGATAAAGGGTCGGCTAAATATACGCTGTTGTTATGGACCAGGACGACTTTACAGCTGCAACCGTTGAGGATAGGGGCAACAGGACGTAGTGTGTCTGCTACGCGTCAAGGGAGTTGTGTATGTAAAATCAGTGAACTGGCCATTGGTAGCTACTCCCGTCTACACGCTTCGTTTGATAGTGAGGCGCCTCGGACTCAACGATCACCACCGTGCCAGTGACAATCAAAGCAGATCCCACAAGTCCAGCCAGACTCGCCGCACTCACGGCGGCGAACGAGGCAGCAGGACCGTCCCGCAGCGGGCAAGAAGGTGGCATTCATCAGCGCTGGGGAACGTTCCTGGTGCCGCACTCAGACGGGGCCGCGGCGCCCCTGACGAAACGGATGGGAGCGCACTACGGGAGCAGCAACAGTCAGTACCGTATGACCCCAGCCAGCATCCAGACACGACTATGTCCGACAAGCAGAAAAGGGGAGAGGAAGGCAAGGAACCCTACCTGATAATTTGTAATTCCGCCACCAACATACTGCGCAACCTGCAGCACCGCATCCTGACCCACCCAGCTCTCAATATCCTTCCCGGGGACGCTGGGCCAGCATGCCGTGTCGCTGTCCTGGCTGTACTGCGTGCCGTACAGGGCGATGAAGCTGAGCGTGGGATCGCTGAGCAGCGCAACGCGGAAGTCGAACGCCGAGCGCTGGGACGCGTCGCTGGTGTTCGTCGCCTTGATGTCGTGGCCTGCAATCGGGTAGTCGACGAAGGTTGCCTCAGGAGTCACGACGAAGCCGCCGCAGGGCCGTGTGTTTTCGGTTTGGAGATTGGTGCCGATGGCGGGCGGGTTGGACAGGGTGAAGGTTGTTGCGGTGGCGGTGGCCGCGAGGGCGAAGGTGTGGGGGAGGTGAGTGGTGGCGTGCATGTTTTCTCGTGTGTTATGGTAATGGAGGGGGCTTCGGGTGCAGGAGTGGTGACGGAAAGACCGCGATGATGAGAATGATGGTGGTGTCGATGAGGGAGCTCTTGAGGGGAGAGCGAAGAGAGGGAGTCGGGGATGGACAAGATATCGAAATATTGTAAGGGACTACCAGCCCTAAAATACTGCATCAGAATGCGAGGGCATGTGTCGGTCGCTCGTGTATGTGAACCCGTGCAGTCAAATTCACTCGTGGTGCTTGCTTCGAGCGCTTCATTCACCAAGGTCAGAAGTGTTCAGTAGCTGGACAAGAGCGACCCCCGTCCACAACCTCAGATGGCAGGTACAACAATGCGACTCACATTTGAACCTGGCGGTGTCCGCGCGTGGGACGAAACCTGCTCAGAGCTACCACGGTGAAGGCGTTTAAGTCCAGTCTTACATGGAAGGGGCGTGGAACTTCAGGATGATATCCAGCCTGAACCATGATGATGAAGCATTCCATTGTGACAACGCCCGAAAAGACTTAAGTACCCCTATCCCAACCCGAACTCCACGGCTCCCAGTTTCAAAGTCTAGATACATGCCATTGATGATATTACCAGTCACTCCCAACTACGTCCGACCCATCACGAGGCCCACTGCTGTGCAGTCCACACCAGCTCTGGTCCCGCCACCGCAGCCGTCTCGATATCACGGACCTTCAAGTCCTTCGCCATGGTCAAGACTACCCACACATGTCCAGATAGGCTGTCGGGGACCGGAGCCGTGCCATCGGATGCCACAACCGTGTATTCAACACCGCCCCATGCACCGATCCACGCCAGCCAGTGGTCCCCCTTGCTCTCGCTCGGCACCTCGACCGTGACCTGCGTCAGGCGGCCGCCGTCGGGCTGGGCGACCTTGTTCGTGATGTTCAGGGCCGGGAACACCTTGACCTGGTCCTTGACGGCGTCGCAGCTGCCGCCGCCGGCGTACTTGTTGATCATAAACGACGCGGCTAGCTGGTAGGGCATGAGGGCCTCACGCGGCGCGGTGGAGGCGACGTGGTTCTGCATCAGGTTGATGAGGGCTGTCATGCGGGCCTCGGAGCCCAGGGCCGTGGCAAGAGCAGGAACTAACCAAGGATCCGAAGTGACTGCGAGGGAGATGATGTCGATGTTGGCGCCCATCGACAGGGTCATCATGGTCAGCAGAGCCTGTAGCCAGTCGTCGACGGTGTCCAAGGGCAGAGTGTACTGGCAGACGCTCATGAGGTCCTTGGAGTAATGCTGTAGACTATCGGTGTAGGCCCGGCGGTGAATCAGCGCTTGAGCCGCAAGGGACCCGATGGTGTTGGTGATGGATGCGGGATACGCGCCGGCCCACTCGCCATACCTAAGTTTCGTGAATCCCTCGAGTAGGATGGCGACCTTGAAGTTGGCGAGGAGCTGCAGGATTTGCAAGAACTCGACGGCTTCATCGGTGATATTCGCTCCCCAGCCATAGTCACCTGGCTGGTTGCCACCCGCCATGCCTCCAATGTATGGAGGATAGTCACTACCTGGGGGAGGAATTTCGTAGATTAGCGATGGATCCAGTGCCGTTGTGTTCAGCACTGCGCTACCAACATCGTTGATCAAGGTGCCGTTGACTTTCAATACACCAACGAGCGGTGTGTTTGCTGTAATCGTGCTAGGTGGCGCCTTGGCCGCGAGGTCCTTGAAAGCTTGGAACGTCTTGTTGCCGTCAACAGCAGCATTGATAGAGCCAACCATACCCGCTTGGCAGTGAGTCTTTGCGGTCTGGGCGCAGTAAAACCAGATAGGCTTGGTATCTGTAACGGTGACTTCGAATGTCACTCCTGACGGTGTTTGCTGGGTTCGGACGAATGGTGCAATGAAGCCGCCCGATTCCAGGGGCTGGCAAGGTGCGTCAAACGATGATTGTACGATGGAGTGGTTCTAGACAGCACAAGTCAGCTTGATGGGTGGAAGCAATCAGATGCACATTTCGACTCACAGCCGGGTTGTAGCCAAACTCCACCACAGTGCCGACAAGCTCGGTCACGTTATTTGGGTTGAAGACCAAGTCCGCGTTGAATCCAACGTCGACGTGGAGCTTCCGTAGGCCACCAGCCGGCAGGGTGCCCACTGGCGGTGTGCTTGGAGTCGACGCCTTCTGTGCCTTGGCCTTGTAGGCATCGAATGTGTTGCCCGACGAGGGACTGTCATTGTTAGTTGAGTCCTTTTGGCGGATAAGGGAAAAGACTCACGCATTGATAGCCTGGACCATCCCCTTTTGACAATGATCCCCATTCCTCTGAGGGCTGATAGAGTATCAGCATCTTCCTCCAAGTGCAAGATCTCCCAAAAGCCACATTCCGACTCACCAGTAGAACCAGAGCGGCTTCGTGTCATTTACGGTAATGATAAAAGTAGTTGGTGCGGCAACGTCAGGAGAGTCGGTGGCTGTGAAGCCCGAGAATATGGCGTTCTCCTGTATTTGGCAGGGGTTGTCGAAGGTTGATTGCGCGACTGCGTGGTTCTGGACACATGCATCAGTCGAAACCCCAACCTACATAGACGCTATAACTCGTACCTTTGCGAAGAAACTGTATCTGATCTGATCGCCCGGCTGGGCAGTCAGAGTCTCGGGGTCGAACTTCAATTGGCCTCCCTTGCCAACTGTGACTTCGTGGAATGTTGCACTGGCGAGACTGGCAAAGACGGCCAGTCCCAGCGTCAGGCCTGGGAGTCGTAACGACATTATCTTCAGAGGCTATGAAAGGTGAAGGTAGAATGGAACAAGGGATGTTGGTATAGAATTGATAGATGCATTCATCAGGGTATCACGACTCCCATGGAAATCCGGGACGATGGCCAGTTATATTGACATGCAGCAGGCTGTCGACCGTTCGCAGCCTCCCATGAGGGCGAGATGAGATACTGGGCTATTCTCGTAAACAGTGTAAAATGATTGGCCAGAGGCACACATTCTATTTCGGGCACCATCCCTTCCCGCATTCTTGTCACAACCCAGGACGGCCAGGCTGATGATTCCAGCAGCATGCGCCCGCTGTTGGGCGACCTGACCTGGGCGGAATTGTTCGGATGACTTGGTTGCCGTCGACAAGCCACTCGGCTTCGGGCTGTCCACGATTGGAACTTGCTGCTGTCTGGTGTTTCTTTGTTGGCGCTCCCACGTGAAACGAAGCGCGGGCTTTCGCTCCTGCGGATTGTGCCCGATCCGAGATGCTTCGCCACAGGGAGGTTCCCAACCGCACCTCAGCCTGGCTCAGTCGTGGAGGTGCGAACATCCGGGGACAACTCAGCAAATGCCAAGCAACGCCTGAGCCCGCCAGCATGGCAGTGTTGGCAAGGGAATGCGAAGTTGGTCGAAGGAGAACAAGGAAAGCTGTCCCAGACACGCGGCACCGTCGAGGCACAGCAAGCGCATGGGCGCTTATCCCTCTCCGGGAGCCCAGGAAGCCGACAGCCTGGAGTGAGACTACTGGTCACATCAGCCGCGAAAATGCAACCTCCAACTATGCTTGTAAATAGATTCCCGCAGCGCACAAGGTACGACTCGACCAATGGCATCCTTGCTGTTTCCCCTGGGTGGTCAAGAGTCAAGCAAGATTGGATCGATCTTATAACAGATCTATCGGCAGTCGGAAAGCCCTTATGATGCCTTATTGTCAGCACTAGTGTAGGCACACCAGGTAGTCTAATAACTTCTCAAATTGCCTGCATCTCTTCGACTCGGAGTTTTGTGTTTCTTCGACTGCGATTTATTTGAGTACTGAATAGAGACACAATCACGATGGCAGCACGCAAACCCTCCTGGGTGAATCTGTTTCTGGCCCTCCTATTCTCACTTCTATCCCTCATCTTCGTCTTCATCATCATCCTCTCCGGACTAGGCGGCCACGTCCCAGCCGAATACCTAAAAGTACCACCCCTCCTTCCCCTAAACCCCAACACGTCTCACTGACAATCACTCCAGATCGACACAACGAACCTCGCCATCCCAGCCAAACTCGGCACCTCAACCTTCTTACAAGACCTATCAGCAGTCGCCAGCACCGACTACGTCGGCCAACCCGCCACATCACAGACCCTAGGCCTCGCCAAAACCTACAGCCTCACTCTCCTGACCGCCTGCGCCCAAGCCGACGCCGACTCCTCCAGCGCCACAACAACCTGCTCCAAGCCGCGCATCGGCTACAACTTCAACCCCGGCTCGGACCTAAAACTCGACAGCACCGCCGCCGCCTCCAGCACCCTCCCGTCCACCTACCGCGCACAGCTGCAAACCCACCGCCTCGTCTCCACCTTCCTCGGCATCGCCTACGCCATCTCGATCCCGCTGACGCTCCTCTCCTGCCTGTGCATCCTCCTCACGCGCTGCTTCCCGCGCGTCGTGGCGGTCGGCCGAGTCGCGTCCGGACTCGTGAGCGCCGTCCTGCTCGCCGCCGCCATCGCGTCCGTCGTGGCCTTCGTGCGACTCCGGGACACCTTCAACGGCGCCCTGGGCGACATAGGCGTCGAGACCGCGGCCGGATCGCGGGCTTTCGGACTCGGGTTCGGGGCGGCTGGGCTCTCGTTCGCGGCTTTTCTGGGGTTGCTTGTGCAGGCGCGGTCTAGGGGTAGCCGGCGGTCGGCCGCGTTCGCGGGTGACGGTAAGGGCGGCACTGCGGGCTTCATCACTGGTGAACAGCATCCGCAGCACCAGCAGCGGGCCATGCCGGTCGCTGCCGCCGCCGCCGCCGGCTTCCTGAAGCGGATGGGCCGACCCAAGTACACGCAAGTAGAAAAGCGGACGGCCACGCACGGCCGTGCGGCTTCGCCCGACGAGGACAGGGAGGGCCTGATCGGGGCGGGGGAGGATGACTTCGCCCATGCCCATGTTAATGATTTCGCCATGCGGGACATGGAACAGAAGCGCTCGAGGGGCGTGAATGACCCCTATGATTTGGTGAACACGGCGTACGAGCCGGCGGTGTTTTGATCTTCGGTATTGGTGAGGACCGGATTTTTGGGTGAGAGGCGTTGGGGTTGTTAGGGTTTCTGTACAGGTTAGAGTGTAGAGTAGAAGGCACAGCTTGGAATAATGCATTTCGGTTTTCGACAAAGGCTGTGGTTATGATTGTGTCCGGTCACAGCGTGGAGTGTCCTATTTGTGTAAGCAATAGCTTCACGGTGACACGAGGTGGCGCCAACTACTAGAAGGCTCTGGCTTGCTATAAATAGTAGGTTAGCAGGACTGCAGTGTAAAGTACGGGAGGTAGTCGCCGGCATCTGCTGGACAAGCCTCCGGCCTGTTACTGGGGACGATTCCCAAGTGCCACCCTCAGGATTACCTGGCCGTAACGCGCATGCCAAGACGATGCAACTGCAATACCCAAGCGGCGAACCGCAATTGACGTGTGGTACGGCATTGGTAACCCCGAGGGACAGTAATATACATCATGAAAGAGCAAAGATTCGATTAGACCAAGTTATTCCTCGATAACATTGGGAGTCATGATAGTCCACTTCTTCCACCAGGTGACATTGCTTTCCCTACTAGACGGGAAGAATGCAAACCCGCATTGTACCAAGCGCCATCCCAGGCCCATACTTCCGTGACAATGATGTCTTTTCCTTGGTATCATTCCGCTTACCCAATTTGGTGAAATGTCGTATCATTCCCAGCTTCGGTAAAATTATCCAAAAAGCTATAAGCATGCCATGAAATAGGAGCTTCGAAGCTGTGCTCAACCCTTGCTAGAGTCTCGCCTTCGACCACAGTCAGTTTCTTCCCTCATGCTCCAGCGACGAACCCTAACGACAGGTCAACCTTGTCGCGTATTTGATCTGCGTGCGTGGTCAGTACGACTCATACCACCAATAAATCACCAAGCAAGCATGGGGGAGCTACCTCTCATCCCACCCAGAGCCTCAAAAGCCGTGGCATAGTTATCGAGTGTAACCAACACCGAAAGCAGGCCCTGCTGAAGACGGTCGCGGAGGTTATCGACAAGCGGCCCCGTCTCGCCAAATGTGAACGGGTACGCAGATTCAGTCCTATCCTTTACCATCAGCAGCGCATAACTGCATTGCATGGCACAGCAGGCGAACGCCGGCATCGTCCTCGGTGTGATCAGTGTTGAGCCAGGCCCTAGGTACAACGGCGTGTCTGACAGTTGGCCAGTCGGGTTTGGGTATGGAAGAAAATCGAATGCTTCCGCAATATTGAAGGCGGATCTGAGGCAGATCTTGGATGAGTGATGCGTAGTGAATGGGAACGCTAGGGCAGATTGTTGCCGGAACCCAGAGTTGCCATTCGTGTGACCGTTCGCGTGACCGTTCGTGTGGTCGTTCATGTGACCGTTGGTGTGAGGTGGCGGGCTATGCGACAGTCGGGGAGAACTCGATTCGGCAGATAAGCTGGACACCGACAGAGCACCATCGAGGGTGGTCGTGCAACACGACTGCAGCTGACGTGGCTCTGGGCTGTCCGCCTTCCTTTCTGATGTGCTGGTAAGGTCGCAGTGTTTGCCTGAGAAGACAGCGAGGTCGAAGAAAGCACAGTATCGATGGACCTTTATCCGGGCGCTGCAGAGGGGTTAATGGCTGCCTCGTACCCTTCTTAAAACCCATACCTGTTCAGCTTGATCCGCGACATACACCTCAGAGAATGGGCCAGCGTCGCTTCACTTTTGTCCATTGGCTGCGTCAATGAGCAGCTCGAGGTATAGGACTCGGACTTGGTAATCAGGGGTTCGAGGAGGCGCTCAAGCTCTCTCATTCGGTTGAAGATACGGCCCATATCGATCTGTCCCTTCCTTGCCCTGTTGAACTCGATAACGAACTGGGTGGCGGCCAAGATGGCTTGCTGAGCCTGAACAAATAGGGGCCAAGCCTAACCTAGGTTAGTAATGCTTCATCACCACGGCTGCTATCATACCTCTGAGTCGGCCTGAATGTTTGGGTACTTGGCTGTGAAACTAGACGCAAAAACCTCGAAAGTCGGTGGCTAAGGGCGATCAGCGATTGGTCATCCGCAAGATTCCTCCTTTGTGTACACGTACCGTGTTACTAACGATAGAGCCCTGACAGACACATATATACGTCATCCACCATACGCGGCGCCGCGCTTCCGAATACCCATCTTCGACATCATTCCGCGTGTGTATAAACAAGGACATGGCAGAGACGAGCGCCGATCCAGCCCTTGCCTTCATCTTCTTCAAGTTACCACGCTGGGCATATTCGTACACGCTTAGTAGGTCAAGCGCGATGATGCTTTCGAGTTCTAATGGAACTTGCGGGTGGAATTGCTCTCGAAAGACCTCCTCATCGGAGTCATCCAGGGCTTTAGGGGGCTCGACGGAGGACTCTGGTCGCTCGCTCTCACTTTCGATACTTTCCAAAGACGACTTCGCAAGGAACTGTGAGTAGGTACGACGCCACCGCACGGATTCGTCGCTGAGTGGACTCGGGTCTTGGGGAGACGGGATGAGTGCTAAGATGGCAGAGAGCGCGAGGCTGATAGGTGATGATGGCTCCTCAAATCCATCCCTCTCGTTCTCCAGAATAGACATAGGTTGATCGGCGGCCGGGGTGTACTCTGGCGCTGGGAGAATCGGAAAGTACGGGTGTATCCAGATGTAGTAGGCATTCAAGCTAGACAGCCGCTCGTTAGCTGCAAGGCTTTGGTGGCATAGGGTTCCCTCACATTGCGCGATCATCATTCCCGTAAGTTCTGGCCATGGGTGTCTGAAAATTGAGGGCTGCGTCCACTAACGGGTCCTGGAAGAGATGGTCGTAGATGGCGTCGCTGTCCCTCCAGACATCAACCAGCGGTTTGAGACCGGCACCGGGTTCTATGTAGTTCTCGACAGGTAATGCTTGGCCTTGTCAGCATGTGAGTTTACAGTATCGTTTGGACGCACCACTCACCATCCTGTGACAGTTCTTCCGCTTTTTCGGGGAGCGAGGTTGCTAGGTCTTGATAATCTGAGAGCGGGCGAGACTTCTTTCGGATACGAGGACCGCCGCGCCTGCTGGGCTTGTAGACGCACTCGCGCTCTTTCGTCACGCACTGAGATGGTCAGATACTCTCCTATCTGCGATATCACGTAGTACGGATGGGACAAGGCAAGGCAAGACAAGACAGGACAAATGTGAATAGAGCGTACACTTGCGCATGGGTGGTCTCCATTGCACCTCGTTCTTGAAGCCCGGCTTGAGATATATTAGCAGCCATTCCCGTGACGAGCCGAGTTTTTACGAGAGGCAGTAAGTATCCCGAAGGCGAGTCCGCTGGCATACCATGAGAGACAGGCATTCTTGACTGGGGGGACGGCGAACTTCTTCCTCGGAGCGGCGACGTGCGCAGATTCCCTCGAGGCCACCTCGGCTTCGGCCATGAGGTGTAGGCTTTGCTCAAGGGACACCGGATATGGCGACTCTCTCCAGATGTCAGAAAGTCTTGGAGACTTAGGTAATAGAATTCTGCCTAAGGGCTGGCCAGTAGCAGGCACTCGAGGCTGGAGCTATGGAGTCACCAGTGGGGATGACATCGACAGCGAGATAGAATAAAAAGCAGAGTTGCCCCCCGATGGTCCGGGTCTGCTCGGGTATCTCGGTCTCTTGTGGGTTTGTCAGGACGGAACTCTGCTTTCTGGCCCAGCTGAAAAGCGAAAGCGGGGTAGAAGTTCACGAAAGCCACACAACCACTCTCTTGCTCTCTTGTATTGGATGCAGGGCTTGCGGGGTGGTCGAGTTGGAGGTTGCCTGCCGGGTACTTCAGCCGGATGCGCCGGGTTGCAGCTACATATGTACTGTATCTTGTCTGTCGGTTGAGGATGTGCACGATGGCCTGCCTGGATGACAGGCAGTAAACAGGATGGCTGCGGCTTGACAAGTTGCCACCGCTAGGAACTGCCACGTCAAGGTACCCCCTGTTCACTGACCCCCATCTTGTCCCCTTTGATCCCGCAACCCCTGAACATCAAATCAACCGCTAACAACCGCCACAATGCGTTGATGCGTGCGCCACTCATCCGAGTCCCGACCGACTGACCGACTGACTGTGCCTTTGTGGTAGCGGAACCAGAACGGAGATCTATCACAAGTGTTGGTTGGGATGATCTGTATTCTGGTTGGTACTTGGTTACGTTCGGATGGGATCCCTTCCCATCCGAGAAGTATCTAAATACCTAAATTACATTGGGTTGGTACCTGTCACCTGGGGCAGCCATCCCAGGTAACCTTATCGTAGAACGCCCTGGATGACAGGAGATCCGATAAGGTACTGGTGGCTGGATCCAGTGGCTGGGATCCACATGACTACCAGTTCTACCAGTACTGTGTAACACCCGCGTGTGGCTTATTACTATCAAGCAGCGTCCACATCTCAACACTCATTCACATCTTACACGTACAAAGTACGCAGGACAACCATACGACTATTGCTTTCCGCTGGACCGACCAACTTGATAACGGTCGAGACCTTGAGGGCTCCCAGTTTCATACCATCTTCCAACGTTCGGACAGCAAAACTAGCTGCAATGTAACCTCTCGGCCAACTTTATACGACGCTGCGTTGGCACTGCAGGGCATGCTACCGCGATCGATCTGCGCTGCAAATCAATAATGTACGGTAGAATACCTATCCGATAGAGCCAATGCACAAAAAGGGCGACGCGAAGCAGCCAACCTTGCGCCGTTCGCCGGTTCGTAGCCTCGCGGTACCACGAGAGGCCAGTAGCATAAGTATAAAGTGGTTGCATGATAATAGGAGAAGTTGCATTCTGAGTTCTAGAGACATATGAAACTGCCATGTTTCAAGCCAGTGCCCTCTATTGGAGAACACGGCTTCTATTAGACATTAAGCACCACCAAACACCACCATCCCCGATTTCCCTTCCACACTGACAATCTGTTCCAACCCCATGACCAAGGAGAATAGTAAAATTGAGGCTTCCCTGCCCCGTCCACCGCCCGACGCACTGACTTGCTCGACCAACCACGCCGCCATAATAGCTCCCGAGCTTGCAGTATACCCGTTGAATGTTTTACTTGTCCCGGGGGCGTTCGCGCTTAGATTGAGGCCTGGAATTCTTAGATTGAGGCCTGGTACTGTAAGATCGTGTTTTTTCTGCGGCTCGCTATATTCAGGCGGCAGTGACATTGTATTGCGTCGGCTGTGGCTTTGGCTTTGGCTTCGCTGAGAATTCCGACCTCGATTGCCCGCACCATGGGAGACCTTGGGCGTATCGATAATACCAGTCTCCATTCCGTCATAATCTCTGTGGTCATCGGTAATCTTTGGTCCATGAACCGGTTTGGTTTCCTGTTGAAGTTAGGTAATGTTCGAGAGAGGGAGCAGCACGATAGGGACTTGCCCATGGGCGCTTGTGGCCACATATCCGCAGGAACGCGATGAAGGGCCAGACCGCATCGAGGAACATAGTCAAGGCCCAGAGCACGATGCTGATGCCGCAAGCTCCGACAAGGAGCGTCGGATTGGACACTGGTGCCGTCTGGCTGAGGAAAAAACACACGACGTAGTTGACGAACCAGACGATCTCCAGGGCCATGAAGTACCATTTCCAGACGTGTCGATATAGGAGCTTTCCCGCAGCATATATCCCTGATAGAATACCTAAGACGACTCCCCAAATGCCGAATGGTTTGCTGATTGGGTTGCTGATTGCCGAGGAGGCTATGAGAACGACGAGGCCCGCTGTCAATTGAAACAGTCGGATGGTTCCAATGAGTCCGTTGGTGTGATAACCGAGGGGATTCATCGGTTTGCCGTCGTCGTCGAAAAATTGGGTGTCGATGGTTCTCGACGTATCCCATGGTTTTGCATAGCTACGCATCTTCCCCCACTTCTTCTCAAACTTCATGCGCAGGACTTTGAAGTAGCCAGGCTTGGGCGGCTTATCTTGCGACTCCCCGCCTTTCTCGACATCGCGGTTAGTTTCCGTGCGGCCTCCCATTGTTTGGTAGGGAGACTTCGTCGTCGGGGCTGCTTGAAATTGAGGCCTGTCGGTCGGGGTGGCGGTGGTAGCTTTTGCCGGGTAGGTCTTGGGGAGAAATTGTTGATGTCTTCGATCTCCTCGAGCGAAGTGCGGCCGTGGATCGTGGAGCTGAAGACAGCGGCGGTCAGAACTGAGATGCCGAGGTCGACTAGGGTTATGAAGAGCACGATGGAGCCAATTGAAGCCGTGTCTTGCTGTCGATGGATGCGGGCATATGGTCTCCTTTATAAGCTCGCTGGCATACTGGTCATGCTGCTGAATCTTGTAGATGAATTACTGGCGTGCCGTGTACTGCAACATACTGAACTGGCCGTATGCCCATCTATGACCAGAACTTCCAGCCTTCATTCAGAGCGAAGGTAGATATCGATACTGAGATATCGATACTCGTGTGATATGTACCATAGTCCCTCGGAGGGTCAGGAGTCACTAGCGCTCTGGCGATTCAGGGCGCTGTGAACGGGCAACTCACTCCATGGACTATCATCATGTTCAAAGAACAACGGCTACGACTAGATCAGACGAGGTCGAGCTCCTGTGAATCATCAGATGTCGGCAACTTTGAAGATGGGTGCATCAATTCAGCTTTCCCAATGTCACAGGAGGCCCCATGAAGGTGCGATACTCGGTTGATGGGCGCTCGACCGTGACTGTCCTGTGATTCTGCGTCAACAATGATAATATTCACGAAAACTCCTCTGCAATCAACAAGCCTCTCTCAGACGTCGACTCGGGCAAATGATGGTACCAACAAGCCATGCTCATGACAGCACGTACACCCCTTTCCAACGCATTCGCAGCAGCTCGTTACCACCTCCAACCATCCAGGCAGCGTGTAAAACTGGCGTGGACTGTTTGAGATGGACTCAGATGCCCCTCCAAACTCATGCTTCGGAATTTGATCTTCAGAGATGGGGCTTTCGAATGGCCACAAGCCCCTTAAGCTCGTCGTTGATGGCTGACACGATGACCAGTCTAGCCTTCTAGGCCTAGGTACGTTGCAATCGAAAAGAGCGAGCATCGTCAATACACTGCGGCCTCGACCTCGAGGCAATTACCACGGCTGAGCCGAACCTGGTCGTCAGTGATGGCAGTATCTTCAAAGGTCATTCAATGTTGCTGCAGGTGGCGTTCATAGGAGACTTCACTGCACGTGGCTTGCTGGGTTTGAAGGGCAGCGGCGGGAATTTAAAAACAGCCGTGAAGGAGGTAGCGGCTTTGACTCGACCCACATTTCCCATCCATGGATTAGCGATTAGCGATTAGCCTCGGCAGAACGCCTCAACGGCGAGTCAACGCCTTAGGCTTGAAGGCTAAAGCCTCATCTCGGTCAGCGCCGGCAGTGGCACGCAACACCAGACGGTGGTGTAACTGACGCCGTTCTTGATTCATTCACATGCTTCTACTTTCGCGCTTCCTTACCTCAACTTGCATTGCACCAGCTCTTCTATGCCACTATATGCTTATTTATAGCTAATAATGCCTCGAGACCCCTCCATTCATTGCTTTTCATGAGAACGACTCGAGAATGCGCCTTTGCTCCACTCATCCTCCACCAGCACGAGTTCTGCCTGTGCAAATACATGCGGCATTACAACCGGGGCGCAGCCTGGGCATTCAATGCTTTAGACCACGTTATGTCGCACAGATCTCGACTTCGAGTCGCAATACCGCCATTTCTTCTGCCCTTCGCAGACTACCAGTACAGCCCATAAGCCGAGTGAGGGGGCTTGCGATGGTTGTGTCGTCCCCAGTGGAGAAGCGTACGCTCTTGTCACCTCGCTATGTTGCCCTCCCAGCTGACGTTGAGTCTCTAGCACAGGTTCCCGATGATTTAGGACCCATACAAGAATACGATAGACGAGTAGCCGCAGGTCGATTACGAGAGGACGAGCACCAGCGTGGAATTATCCAGAGTCTACAACATCTACACGATGAACTCATACAATACCGCGCGCCGCCTGTCGTGCACCCAACCTTCGAATCCCTGAAACCTTCAAAGTCACTGTTCGGGTGGTTTGGACTGAAGGCGGGTACAGCAGCTATACAGCAGATCCCCGATGATCTGCCGCGAGGGTTGTATCTGTATGGCGACGTGGGCAGCGGGAAGACCATGTTGATGGATCTCTTCTACGACACGTTACCGAGCTCCGTCAGGTCGAAAACGCGCATACACTTCCATAACTTCATGCAGGATGTGCACAAGAGGCTACACCGCATGAAGATGGAGCATGGGAACGAAATAGACGCAGTGCCGTTCGTCGCGGCCGACATTGCAGATCAAGCAAACGTATTGTGTTTCGACGAGTTCCAGTGCACTGATGTGGCCGATGCCATGATACTACGAAGGCTGCTCGAGTCGCTGATGTCTCACGGTGTTGTTCTCGTCACCACGTCGAACCGACATCCCGACGAGCTCTACAAGAACGGTATACAACGGGAGTCTTTCATCCCAGCCATCAATCTCCTAAAGTCACGGTTGCATGTCATCAACCTGGACTCGCCAACCGATTACCGCAAAATCCCCAGACCACCCTCTGGGGTCTACCACACGCCGCTGGACAATCATGCCGCGTCACACATCGAGAAGTGGCTTCGCTTCCTCGGTGATTCCGAGCACCCGGAGCCTCACTCCGAGACCCAGGGGGTATGGGGCCGCGAAATCCACGTGCCCAGGGTCAGCGGCCGCTGCGCCTGGTTTACTTTCCAGGAGCTCATCGGCCGGGCCACGGGTGCCGCCGACTACATTGAGCTCATGCGTAGCTACGATGCCTTCATCATCTCGGACGTGCCGGGGATGACGTACCGAGAGCGCGACCTGGCCAGGCGGTTCATCACGTTTATCGACGCTGTCTACGAGTCTCACGCCAAGCTGGTGCTGACAACAGCAGTCCCGTTGACACAGCTGTTTGTCTCACCGGACGAGTTTCGCAACTCACTGAAGAAAGACGGAAAGGCATCAGACGATGAATCGGACGCCGAGTCGGTCAGCCACGCGATGCAGCACATGATGGAAGACGTGGACAGCAACATCGACCAGCTGAAGAGCTCGAACCTGTTCTCGGGCGATGAGGAGCGCTTCGCCTTTGCGCGGGCGCTGTCGCGTCTGACCGAGATGGCCAGCCGCGACTGGGTCGAGCGAGGCATGGGGCTCGAGCAGTTGGGAGGCAAGAAGGAGAAGGACGACTGGGCCAAAGTGCGCAGTCGGCAAATGGAGGACAGCATGTGAGCGAAGGGGGGTCACTATTCTGCATAGACGGTGTTTGCTTGGATCGGTTCATGATGTTTCCCTGGATAAGGTACACCGTGGTAGAAGCTGGCTCGTTGGCTGTGGCGTTGGCAGTGAAGTTCGTACTAGATGCCATACCATACTATACGTACGTGAATAGACACGACCCCAAGCAAACGCGGACACGAAGACCTCGGGATCCGTTCAGGTTAGAACATGCTGCCGTTGTATCCGTCAGTGTTTCATTCGCACGCGCCGAGCGGAACTGAGCTCTTGCCATGAAGACTGTCGGGTCCTACCTCGGGTACCTCGCAATCAACACCCTTCCTGCCCTTCTCCGGTCTACTTTACCCCTCACCGAATAAAGAGAGCCGAATGAGTGACCGAACGAGAGATACGTAAGGTACCTTATCAAGTAGATCGGAACTTACTGATAGCGATAGCGGCACGGGGTCGGGGGGCGAGTCTAGATTCGGTTCTCGAAAAGCACGTTCGCAGACAATTCGCCGTTATTTTAGTTAGCATACATGCAGGTTGGTGCAGATGGTACAGGGATAAATGCAGTCATGGAATCATCTCTCTGGGCGCAGTCTGATTGGAGCGCGGCGAGGAGACCGACAGGTGACAGGTGACAGGCTGAAGAGTTTGCTTGGTGGTGGTTACACGGGTGAGTGCGTTTGGTGTAAGGTAGGTAGGTGTTTGGCTGTCGAGCGGCTCACCGGCCAAAGTACAAAGTACAGACAACAAACAACGGACGAGGAGGTGACTCGAGTTTGGACGTGATAATCACTATGACTGGCGTTGGCAGTTGACAAGCGAAGAAGCGGTAAGTCTCGTGACGGCGTCGCAGTACCGCCCAGGCAAACCAGCAGACAAACCGGGGTAACCTTTCCCATCACGGTTACATTCAACGCTCGCAACCCGCCGGCCAATCAGGCTTAGGCGGCCCAGGAAGCGACGGCCGTACAGGATTAGGGATCAGGTGGGTTACATTCTCGAAAGGACCAATCCGACTTCATCGGTCCCTCCCCTGCTCCCCTCATCCCCTCCATCTCATCTCATCATGACTCGATTAATGATATCCATGGGTGTAATAACCCGCTGCGAACCCCTGGCCGTACCATGGTCACTCAGGAGTCAGAACTTCAGAAGGTATGCCTATGGGTGGGGTACAACAAGCCTGCAGTGTGAAGGGGTATCGATGACATCCATGCTCTCCCCCAGTAGCATCATATCATGGGGATTGGGGAGAACATTGAAGACACTGCCAAGACAGCAACATCCAAGATAATGGTGATAAGCTACTTCAATGGTGACCAGCAAGGTTGTGGGATGGTGTGCTTATTTGGACACCCCTACAGACAATTGACTCTATTGATTCATGCCATTCATATCTCTCTCTCTCATTCTCCTGTCATTCTCCCATCTTCCTCTTGTACTGTTTCTCTCGGGTCCTGTCGCGTCAAGTCATCATCTCGTCATCGACCGGCCGGTATGCTGATTCAACGACGTGTCACCCTGCTGCGAATCGCTTCATCTTCAGCCCGTGAAGCTGGAGCGGAACTCACCTTGCCGAGTCGGTGACCCCCAGGCCACACATCTCAGATTCCTGATTAGCACATTTCACCAAAATGGGCGCCATCAAGAACGCCTTTGCTCGCCTCCCGGCTATTCGACCGACAATGGCCACTTCCAACTTCGCCTACCAGGAACTGCCCACCACACCAAGTCGCCTCCACGATGTGTCGCCACTTGTCGGCTCACCCATCATGTCGGAAGCTTGGCGGAACCAAGGCTTGAAAGCACATCGTCGCCTTGGGTCGTTGATTCGCACATCGCCGAAGAGACTCTTTGTGGTTGCCCTGGTGTTTGTCTTCTCCATTGTCGTGCTCGTTGGGGGAAGCGTTCAAGTGCGCCGCCGTAATGATGCTGCAAAGAAGGTTGTGGAGGAGCCACCGAGGATCCCCTACCACTGGGAAGCGTACCCTAGGTAAGACGCGCCCATGCGGCCCAGAGTCGACGAAGAGGGTAGTGTTGTCCTGTCAGCACCACTAACACTGCTCTACGTAGGCTGAACGGCGTCTACAATGGCATACGTTCGCTTGTCAAGTACGTCGACTGGCTTCCGGAACAGCAGGCAACGCCAGACAGCAAGATCGAGGTTCATGATGCTCCGCCCCTGGACCCTGAGGTTGTGGATCCGTATCCGGACTACAGTTCTGCCAAGTACTTGAAGAATCATCACCCCGTGCAGCGCTGCTATCTGGATGAGAACGAGACATATGCAGCTCCGGATATCTACGCGTATCCTGGCGTACCGGCCAGCATGACTGCCCCGTACTGGGGGGCTTACGAGATTTTCGGAGTCAAACCAGATAGGTGCTTTGAGCGGTTCGGCCGGTTTGGTCCATACGGGTACAGCTACGGTCGCGCCGAAGAAGGTCTGGGTCTGTCAAACCACTTGGCGCATTCAGGTGCGGATAAGATCCAAGATGTAATCCACAAGGTGGATTATCGCAATGTGAACTGGGGCAAGGCTCAGGAGATATGTTACGAGAAGAATAGGAAACGATTTGAATCGGAAGAGACGACCATGGAGGGCACCGAGGGAGAGAAGAAGAAGACACTGAAGCGCACAGCCTACGTCCTGCGGACCTGGACCGGCTACAAATACAGCGATATCCAGCTGCTGTCACTACGAGCGATGATCAACGAACTGGCCTTGAAGTCAGGAGGGGAGTACGATGTCCACCTTCTAGTACATGTCAAAGATGACAGGATTCCGATATGGGCATCCGAGGAGATATACAACAAGACGTTACGGGCCAACGTGCCAAAGGAACTCTGGGATATTGCGACACTGTGGTCGGAGCAGATGATGCGGACCTACTACCCAGGCCCGTTCCTGAAGAAGGATAACGTGGCGAACCATGCGGGTTCCGACATCTACGGTGTATACCGAACGGCGCATTTCGCGCTCCAGTGGTTTGCGCAGCAGCACCGAGAATACGACTTTTTCTGGAACTGGGAGATGGACATCCGATATTCCGGCCATTACTACGAATTCCTCGAGGGCGTATCAAAGTGGGGAGCAGAGCAACCTCGGAAGTTTCTCTGGGAGCGGAGCGCACGGTTCTGGATACCCGGCATCCACGGCTCGTGGCCTAAGTTCTCGGTCCAGGTAGAGCGCGAAGCCGCCGAGAGCAAGGAAGAGCCTGTCTGGGGCCCGGTGAGGTTCGACACCGGCAAGTATGACATGCTGCCGTCGCCGAACGAGACCAGGCCGCCCACCAGCTTCGAGGCCGACGACTACGAGTGGGGCGTGGGCGAGGACGCCGACCTGATCACATTCGACCCCCTCTTCGACCCGGCGAAGACTAATTGGGTCTTCAACAACGACGCGACGGGCTACGACACCGAGGTCCCGATGCCGCCGCGGCGCGCGGCCATCGTCACCGTCGCGCGCATCTCGCGGCGCATGCTGGACACGATGCACGAGGAGACGTGGCGCATGCACCACACCATGTTTCCCGAGATGTGGCCGCCGACCGTGGCACTGCACCACGGCTTCAAGGCCGTATATGCGCCCCACCCGGTGTACTTCGACCGTAAGTGGCCGCTCGACGTTATGGACCAAGTCTTCAACCGCCCGACGACGCCCGAGGAGAGCCCGTTCGGCTGGGGCGAGCACAATATGCAGGGCAGCACTTTCTACTATAATGCTGGGTTCAGCGGGGCCGTGTGGCGGCGCTGGCTCGGTGCGCGGGAGAAAGGCGAGGGCGGGCGCGAGGATGAAGAGGCTGGGTCGGGACGGATGTGTTTGCGGGGTCTGCTGCATCATCCTGTCAAGCATGAGAGGGTCGAGTAGTGAGACCTCGATGTATGGCAGAGGTTATATGGTTATTAGGCGTTTGCGGAGTTGGGGATGTCGGTATACGGGATCGCTGGGCTCAGCGTGTCGGCGTACTTCGTTGGCGGTGATTTCTTGCATATCCAGCACTCAAGTGATTTGATGGCTCTAGTAGCTTGGCAATGAGTACGGGTCAGATCATGAGCCTTGTGTTCGTTGATCAGGAAGGATCTATTGCAAAACACCATCGGTACACTGGATCGTCATATGGGTGCTAGACGTGGTTCATGAGTAATGCAAGGGCTATACAGTTCGGGACAATGGACTCGACGAGAGGTGTAGGATACTCTGTACCTGCGTATGAAAATCCGCCTCGCCGGTAGGCAATTTTACTGAAACAACCCGCCATCAGTATCCATGGTGCCCAAAGGAGAGGAGAGGCTTGCCTGCTGCGTTAGTATGCGCGGTTCACTGGCAGATCCCAACCCCTGACCCGAGGCTCAACACTCGTAAAGTAGACCACCTGCTTTTGAAGAAGTCCGTCTTCGCTCTCATGGACACTTCCTTGCTGCTCTTTTCCCACAAAGCAGGTGATGATGAGATGGCATATTAGTGACCCGACAGCCTGGGTACCAAACCAATGATACAGGCCCCCTTCACACCCTCACGTATTGCCTTCCTGGCCGCAACCAATTGTTATATCCAGGAAAACCCTCTACTCATTCCAGGTGGTCTAACCAACAGTCATTCTCGTAGGATTGCCACCTGGTGTTATATGAGAAGTGATATTTTTGGCCCGGATCTGGTGTGTTAGTGGAGCTCAGCGTATGGGCAAGACGCAACCAAACAGGCGTCATCGCTGCACCTTGGTACATGTATGATCCAAAAGGCTATTGCTTCTTTGTGCTTGACCAGCCTAGCTTGGTCAAGATGTATCGAAGGGCTTGCTCAACCACCGTTTCCGTCACAAGTGGGCCTTCACCACGTCCGTCCCAACACTCCCAACACTACTATACGACACGTGAGACTTCCCATATCATCATCATCGGCACGATGTTGGTTTCTACTGGAATAACAGGCCGACTCTTCTTTGTACTTCGACCTCCTGATCACATTCGAAGTGTGATCCCAGGGGCCAACTCATCTTCCGCATTCGTGATGAGATGAGCCTTGACGCGCTCGCTCGTAACATCCCTCATCTCAGAATACGTTGGACATCTCATCTTTGTTCGTCTCCGGAAAAAGATACCCGTCGACTCGCGAACATGGAGAGTGAGGAAAGACACCAACCAACTTCGTTTGGAACCAAGATGGACGGTTGGTGGCTTCACGAGACGCCGCTGTCGTCTTTGTTCGGGTTCGACGGCGGCCGAGTATATGAAGGTGGTCCCGGAGATCTACTCGAACACTCATCCTTCGAATACTTGGACTCACATCAGCCTAATAATCAGGCATCATTGGCCTGACAAGTGTTCACCAACGACCTCATTCTTGCTTCCGATAGTCAAGTCCCAACACCTCGAGATGCCGAACCACCGATGGGCGGACGTAACAGCTTCCGCCGAGTACGAGCGATTCCGCCGACCAGCCAATGCAGGACAGCTTCAGTTCTCCTACAATAGGCCCCTGGACAAGATAGGTTCCCTCAGTCCTGACCAGTACCGACAGGCAATCATCAGCTATGCCAACTTCATGCTGTACGAATGCCCCTTTGAGCTGCAGCGGCTGGTCTGGCACTGCTGGCTCACCGTCCTCTATGCAAAGGACTCCGGGGACTGGAACGACCCGGCCATCCCCAGTATCAACCAAGTTGACGGGGACAGTGACAAGCTCGCCGTGATCCGCAAGTCTGAATCTGAGAAGAAAGAGGCGATGAACAAATGGTTCTTGGCGACTAAGCCGGCTTCCGCGGGGGCTCAGGGGGAGTTTGTACCTAATTGGGAGTAAGTTATGCCACGCCATTCATCTATCTTCCCGCATACTCTGTGTGGCGATCATCATACTGATGCCATAGCCTCAGTTTCCTCGAAAAAATGCATGTGAGGAAGCGAAACACCAAGTCTCACTACACGGACAAAGAGTTGATGGACAAGTTCAATAAGGCGCAGAAGCAATGGCAGATTGAATGGCAGAGCGATGGGACTGAAGCGGGAAAGCTCAGGAACCAGCTCACTGCTGCGCTCAGCAAATCCTTTGAGATCACGAAGGTCGTATGTCTCGGCTTGGGGTCGTTGTCGTCCAACAAAAGAGATCTTCGCGTGCGCCAACACTGCCTCGCCCTGTCGATCCGAGACCTTGTCCTGAAATCCAGCAGCAAGGCATGCCCAGTCTTCGTCCAGGACCCTGGGTACAGCGAGCAAGACAAGAAGGTCCTGAAAGGCCATGGGATGAAGATCCTGGACGGCTCGCTCGGGAAGCAAGAGGGCTTCGTCGAGATCGACGACTCTACCTTTGTGCTGTCGATTGGCGCCACGGCCCCCATTAACACCATCGTATGCGACTCCAGCACTCCGGCCGCGATGTTGTGGAAGGCATATCCAGCCTTGCAGAAAGAATTTGGTCTCCCGCCCATCCCGATGATGTACGGTTTCAAGTTTCCTGAGGGCTCCATGACCAAGTTTCAGCGCTCCATCTCTATGACCAGCGGAGGTAACAGCGGAAAGGAAAAGGAGACGACTGTTGAAGGCGTGAGCCCCGCGTGAGTTTCCCACGCCCCTGTTTGAACCGGCACGACAGGGCCCTTACAGAACATTGCTTAGCTTTGATATGTGGTTCGACATGTGGCCTCAGAGGGTTGTGACCAAGATGGAGAGGGAGTATGAGATAGTCGGGCCCTTGCCAAGAGTGGATGGTGTTATCAATCCATCGGTAATGACACTCTATGTTCGCAGCAAGTCTCGCAACGCGTAGACCTCTCGGCGCGGTGGCAGGAGGCGGCATGGAGAATCGGTTAATGTCAACCCAAGACTACTTCGATCTGGGGGGTTTGAAGGGAGGACACTCTCTTCTTTCCTTGAGTCTTTCTTTGCTTGAGTTTCTTGGGTCTGGCGTTGGCGTTATGCTTCTGGCGTTCACCTTTGATTTAGCTTTCTTTATCACGTTCGTTGAATCTCAGTAGTATGGAACACATCATTGAAGATGTTTCCATGTCAAATCAGTGAAATCGATCCTACTGCCTGATAAGCGCGATAACGATAACGATACGCTTGACGATAAGATAAGATCTCAAACGCCAGGTTGCTGCGTCATCGTCCTGGTGGCCCGTGCTCCTAGGCAACGGGCAGGTGACTCGCTCGTGTGAGGTATCCAATCCAGCTGATCCTGCGTCCCATCCTCCAGATAACTCCAGATAAGAGTAGCTTACAGTCTGCTGTCGTCCTCATCAATACACCTACTGCCATCCTGCACTCGTTCATCTTCTCATTGCAAAAGTTGGTGACAATGAAGGCATCACTCCTTACTCTGCTTCTGCCGGCGGCAGCGAGCGCACGTTTCATCGAGGCCAACGAGGTCAACCGTATCCTACCCTACACTGATGCGCTTCTTGACGAAGTTGCCCCAGAGCAGTATCTCATCGAGCTATCTCCTGGCGAGACGCGATGGGTGACTGAAGACCAGAAGTGGGAGCTTCGCCGAGTACGTTTTCACTCTGTCTGTCGTCGCACGGATCATACTAACAGCTCTCGACATAGGCAGGACAACGGTTCTTCGACATCACGGAGAATGGCGACCTCGGCGCCATGCGACTTGCTTCCAAGGCGACCCCCGTTTTCCCCAAGAAGATGATGGCACAGTCCGACATCAAGCCTCTGCTCAAGAACCTGACCAAGAGCGGCATGGAGGACCACCTCGAGAAGCTCACCAGCTTCCACACACGATACTACAAGTCGGAAACTGGCCGGCAGTCTTCCGAGTGGCTGCTGAAGGAAGTACAGAATACAATCAAGGAGGCTGGCGGAGATGAGTACGGCGTCAAGGCCGAGCACTTCAAGCACTCGTGGGGACAGAACTCCATCATCGCCACCATTCCCGGCAAGTCAAACTCGACCGTCGTCATTGGGGCGCATCAGGACTCTATCAACCTTTGGTTCCCCTCGGTCCTTGCCGCTCCCGGTGCCGACGATGATGGAAGTGGCACTGTGACAATCCTCGAGGCTTTCCGCGTGCTCTTGTCGTCGGAACATGTCATCAAGGGCAAGGCGCCCAACACGATTGAATTCCACTGGTACAGTGCCGAGGAGGGTGGTCTGCTTGGCAGCCAGGCCATCTTCTCGGAATACGAGAAGCAGAAGCGTGTGGTCAAGGCCATGCTCCAGCAGGACATGACAGGTTTCGTTCAGAAGACCATCGACGCCGGCAAACCCGAAAGCGTCGGTGTGATCACGGACTTTGTCGATGCAGGTCTGACTGCCTTTATCAAGAAGGTTATTGAGGAGTATTGCGACATTCCGTGGGTCGAGACCAAGTGTGGCTATGCCTGCTCCGACCACGCCTCGGCTTCCAAGGCTGGGTACCCTTCCGCTTTCGTGATCGAGTCGACTTTTGGCGAATCGGACGACCACATTCATGGCACTGAAGACTTGATCAAGTATCTGTCGTTCGACCACATGCTTCAGCATGCTCGGATGACCCTTGCTCTCGTCTACGAGCTGGGTTTCACCGACTTTAAGAGGTTGGAGAGCGAGAACCGGGCTGGGGAGCTATAGGGCAGCTGTTTGTGTTGATTGGAAGGATTTAACCATACGGTAACAGAGAGCCAGTAGGATGTATCGTATGAGATAAGCATGATTACCGGAAAGTTTGATATGAGACATTATGTTTTCACCTTCGCGAAGTGTTTTTCAAGTGCTCGCCAGATATGGTACTAAGAAATAGGTCGCAATACCATCGGATGCATCAGCATGTTCCATGGGTCTACAACATAATCTTGACAGCAGGCCAGAACGTGGCCCAGGAAGTCGCTTGTGAAGAGAGCATGGTACTAGGGGACTAACCTTAGGGGATCCTCGAAGGGTGACGGGGCCGGGATATGTAAGACGCGAGGCCAGGCCAGGCCGGCTAAGCGGCACTGGCTCATGCCTGTCAGCCCCAGGAGGCCTGCGTCATACCGCCCAATCCCAGTTTCGTCACTTGCTCAAGCTTTCCCATGCCGTCACCCCGAAGCCAGAACTGTCGGGGATCGGCACAAGCTCAACGGCCTGCAGCAACATTGCCTTGGGTCTTGGCTGATTTCTTGGCTGATTCTTGGCAAAGCCTGTTTTAACCTCCAGCTACCGGGTCCAGCTTTGCCTAACCAATGGCAGGGGTATACACCATAACAGGGGAAAGCGGGAGAGGGTCATCGCTGCTGCGGCTGCGGCTGCGCTCAAGTGACGAGTTGCGTATTGCTTTGTGGGCACTGGGCATGACCCTTCTCGAGGATCCTCCAGCTCTAATATCTTAAACATGTCGTCTTCCCCAAGCTATCCCGATTCCCAGCAGCCACGGTGTCCTCGCCCGGTGTTCACAATCTCTGCGACTCCCTTTAGCAACCAGTTACCAGGCCTTCGTCACGCTCCCCATCAACACTCTGACGACCTCCCGCCAGATTTACCTTGATTTATAAAACTGTGCCGGCCAAGATGCCCGCCCAAGATGAGCATAACGGGGCCCACGGGTCTCCGCATACCATCACCGACCGGCTGTACCGATGGTGTACCGCCCCGGACAGCGTCTCCGCGCTTCTGGCTGCGGACCCGTCGTTGGCCCCCGGCGAGGCATTCGCCAAGATATACGGCCACCATGCCAGAAAAACCAGCGTCGACATCCGTGACATTGGGAAGGGCGCTGTCGCCCAGGATGAGTTGCAAAGAGCCGAGCACTGCGGGAAATGGGGCTCTCACAAGCCGGACGATCTGTTTCTTAGGGTCCGTTGACATTCTGAGTTTCCAATGTGAAAATTGTGCTGATGTATCGCCTCAGGTGTATCATGATGCGCTGTGCACCCTTGAACATAATCCAGCTCATGGGATGGCCAGCCCGTCCCTCATGGGGAGCAGTGGCACTATGCCGTTGACTATCATCTCCGTGTAAGTCTTCATGGCGGGTCCTCCGCTAGCTATACACCTGGCATTCTGACATCTATCAAGCATTCCGGACATCGTGAGACACATGTCGAACCTCATAGTCCGAGCCGAGAAGGAAGTTTTCCTGGCGACGAACTTCTGGCAGAACAGCGTGGCATCCAAGTATATCACGAATGCGATGAAAGAGCTCTCCCGTCGGGCCGGGGAGAGGGGCACTAAGATCGTCATGAAGGTCATGTACGACCGCGGCAGCGCCAAGCAGCTTCTCGAACCACACACTATCGTGCCCGAGAAGGAATATACCGGCAAGGCCGTGAACCTGCCGGCCAAACACGAGATTCCAAACATCGATCTGGAGGTTATGAACTTTCATGATCCGGTGGTTGGCACCTTCCATGCAAAGTACATGGTCGTCGACCGTAGAATCGGGGTTGTGCAAAGTAACAACATACAGGACAATTGTAACATGGAGATGATGGTACAGGTCGAGGGGGCCATTGTGGACTCGTTATACGATATGGCATTACTCAGCTGGCATAAGAAGATGGACCCGCCATTGCCATGTCTGAATTCCCCAGCTGCATCCGCTACTGCTGATGGAGGAGTGGGAAGCTTCGGTGCAAGCCATGCTAGGATTTTCACCTCTGAGGGCACCCTCAACGGTCACTCGGCTGTTATAGACCCGAGCAAGATGGCGCAGAGACAAGCCTACGGCACCGAGGCGGATGGCAAGCCAAGGCCAAAGAGAGACTCGGGTCTTGGCGCTGACGCTGTTGGGCCATCCACTATAGAGAACACTCTACATCCTGTCAATGGTGACAGCATGGATCACAGGACTCAGGATCGCCAGCACGACTGTGTTGCAGATCATTGCGGGTACCATGGATCTTCATCAAGCAACGCTCAGGCGACGGCGGAGTACCTAGGCGATAATGGGAGCCAAGCCATCCCAGAACCCCAGATTGCCAACCCCTCGCCAGCCGGCCGTCTCCTGCCAGAGCACACATCAGGCGACCCTCACTACGACGTCGACATCGCCGGCGAAGTCGCCCGCGTCCAGACCTCCGTCTCCGCCCACCCCGACGAGACGCAGATGCAAGCAGTAGAGCGCCACCTCAACCACACCACTAACAAGGGCTTCCACAGCGGCCATCCCGCCTCCGACTGCGACCCAGCCGACGAGATGACACCATACGTCCCGCATCCGACGCACGACGCCTTCCCCATAGCGCTGGTGAACCGACCGCCCTACGGCCCGCCAAACCACCGCGCCGTCTCCAACCCGCAGAACGCCACCTGGCTCTCAGGGCTGCGCAACGCGCGCAAAAACGTCTTCATCCAGACGCCCACCCTCAACGCCGAGCCCCTCGTCCCGGCCATCGCCGAGGCGTGCGAGCGCGGCATCGACGTGCACTGCTACGTGTGTCTCGGCTACAACGACACGGGCGAGCTCCTGCCCAAGCAGGGCGGCCACAACGAGATGATCGCCAACAAGCTCTACAAGCAGCTGTCGCCCGCGGCGCGCTCGCGCCTGCACTGGTCGTGGTACGTCGCCAAGGACCAGACGCGGCCGATCGTCGCGAAGCAGAGCCGCCGCTCCTGCCACATCAAGCTGATGATCGTCGACGAGCACGTCGGCGTCGTCGGCAGCGGCAACCAGGACACGCAGTCGTGGTTCCACAGCCAGGAGGTCAACATCCTGCTCCAATCGGCGGACGTGTGCCGCTCGTGGATCGACGGGCTGAGGCGGAACCAGAACACGCATCTGTTTGGGGCTGTGGGGGGCGAGGATGGCGTGTGGAGGGACGAGGAGGGGAAGGAGGTGGATGGCGCGATGGGGGTTGATCCGGGGCGGTTTGCTTGGACGAAGGGGTTTGTAGGGGCCATTAAGCGGGTGCAGGGTACGGGGGACTTCTGAGTACGTGGTGTTTGATTTGGGTCGTGGTGGCGTCGACACATGGTGGTCGTACATGGATTTGTCGAGGTATATTTGCAGTTATTAGCAATGAAGTTTGCCGCAAGGCTTCGCCATCAAGACGAGATTTGAGAAGTGAAGGAGGGGGTGGGATGTCCATTAGCCCACATAGACGTGCAACACACTTCGGCTCCGCCAACTCTTCTACATATGCCGTAGCTTTCGTAGCTCTAGCCCAGTGAACCATGACCGGTGTCAGCCATAGGCAGCTGTTCTGTACACTCAGCGTCACTATGGCTATCCATAATCAGTCTCCATTACCAGCTCCGGTACAGTGAACGAGGCCTCCCTTGTGGATGGGCTGGTCACAATCGGTTCAACTACGGGGAGATTTAGTTGCAATGAGGATGGGAATTTATTACACATAGTACTAACCAACCTGAACTGCTGATATACTGTTTATAATGAACGTGACACACCTCGCTGCACTACTATATAATGCGCTAGAGTACTCCGTGTCCCAAAATACAACCCCTTTTCCGTACTAGCCCAACTGTATCCGACGGCACAGAGTCGACAAAGTTTGCAAATCAAAGGGGCTTCTGCCAGTTTGAAGACCCCCAGCTCTCGGCCGACAATAAAGGTACCCCATTCCCCTACTCATCCCATAGTCAGGATTTGTCCAAGGTCTTGCCCCTTTCCATGACTCCTGCTACCATGCCGCTTGTCCGACACGAGTATTGGCTGATATCTACACTGCTTCGTCTCCGTAGCTTGCTTGAGTCTCGGAGCAGAGGTTCGAGGCATTCTCTCCGTCAGCACTGGACTTGTGTCCATACCAGAATCGGCTCGATGAATCCCGAAGAAGGTAGGTAGGTCGATCCGATGCTGCTTCGGTGAAGGGAATCCGTGGCTTCATGTTAGCAATGTTCTGACAACGAATCAGACGCCTGGTGTCATACCTGATGCTTCGAAGGCGCCCCATGTCAGAGTCTCACTTGAGACGACGTCTCTGCACTAGCCGCACTTGCGTTTCTAGGCGGCACCACGAAGACTTGGCAAAGTCCGGTTTCGCCGCCCGCTACATACAAATATATCACCCCCATTATATCCATCAACCTCCTGAACCCCCAAGCGAATGTCTCCAACTCCTCCCCGATTCTAACACCCCAAATGCAACCGTACCCTGCCCATCTCCTCCTCTTTCTGTTTACACCCCTTTATGAACGCTAGGAAGCCAGGACACCCAAGGGGGTCCGGACGCCAAGGCAAAAGAGGGACACATTTTTTTCTGGTTTTCACACCTTTCTTCTTCTTCTTTTTTCTTTCTTTTTTTGGCAAGCAAAAGAGTGGACGGGAATCAAACGCTAGGGGTCAAAGCAATGGGAAGGAATGACAGGAAAGAGGGACTGGAAAGACACCAAGGAAACGCTGGAGCAAAATGGCAGAGGGGTGGGCAAAACGAGTGGAAAATGGCAAAGCCATGGGCAAAAACACGCGGCACCCACATGAAGGCAAAGTGGCAGAACCACTGGCAGAAGACATAAGAAAAGAGATGTGACAAGGCTTTTGAAAGCACAAGTCACCAGCAACAGACAGGGATGTGGTAGAACCACTGGCAAAGGACATAAGAAATGACAGGGAAAACACTGGGAAAGGACATAAGAAAGAACAGGGAAAACACTGAACAGGACTGGGAAAGCATGGGGAAGACACTGGACAAGCACTGGAGAAGGCAATGGGAAGGCAATGGGGAAACATCCGGCAATAAACAGAGAACGGGACTTTTTTTCTGGGTTTTGTTTTTTCTTCCTTTTTTTGTTTTTTTCTTCCTTTTTCCGACTCCTGGTGAGCCAACGGGGAACGACAATGGCAAAAGAAAATGGACCGTGGGGACCAAACAGTCACACAGCACTCACGAAACATACCTTGAACTCATCTGGTTTGATGTTAGTAGAGGCCTGGGTAAAGGGGAGAAACCCAGAGACATACCTTCCCTACTCATCGATTGACACCCACTCATCGGTTGACTCTTCGAAGCCTTCGGAGCGCACTCTTCTCTTGTCGGACGGCTCGGTCGGGCTCTTGCCGTTCAAAGCGTTTACGGCCAAAACAAATCGCCGTCGGCTTGCTTCGGTACCTGTGATAGATAGTGTTAGCAATCTGCCCAACGAAGACTGTATAGCATAGAGAGGCATGTTTGAGCGACAACAGCAGACTTACGCTCCTTGGTGACGATAGTGGACTTGGCCGGCCTGGCGCTTGGCTGCTCGAGCTTGGGGGCTGGGGCTTGTCGTTCTGGGTTTGTCGGTCGGGGGCTCGTCGGGCTGAGGCTTGTCGTTCTGGGGTTTGTCGGTCGGGGGCCCGTCGGACAGGGACTGCAGCGGTCCCTGCGGCAGATTGTCAGCAATCAGCCCAACGAAGACTGAGCAGGCTCGAGAGACACGTCTCGGAGATGATGGTAGACTCACGCTCTGCTTTCGCAGCCTCCTCCTCCCTGGCTCTGCGTCGGTGGTCTCGTTCGTGCTTGGGCACGAAGTAGTCGCTCGGCTTCGTGTGCGAAACTCTGGCGTGTAGGGTCAGCAACTGACTCGTCGACAGTGATGAACCGCGGCCTCGGAGCGGCAGCTCCTCAGACACGACAAAAGGGGCACGTGAGATGTTAGGACTGGATCATACTTAGAGTGGTCATGCTTGAACTTCCGCCACCAGCTCTTTACCCTCTCTCGTAGTCGTTGCTTCGGAGGTCCGCCGACCGCGTTCTAGCCGGTCGAACCGGTCCCCGCGGGGACAGACCCGAGATCTACAGTCGGAAGAGAAGCCGTGTCAGCAGTCTGGTTTCTCGGAGTGGTGTAATGTGCAGTGGAACGTGCTGGGATGGGGGAACTTATCCTATTGTCTTGAGAGCGTTCGTACGTGGTGGTGTCCATATGCGTGTGTATGGGCGTAGATGGAAGATGAAGAAGGGAAGAACAGGAACCAAAAGCCTTGGGGGGAGGGAGATATTTATATTCCAGCGGCCAGAGGGGCCCATAATTACTCATTGCAATCCGAGGACAAAGTTGCAGAACTTGCCCAACCCAAATTGGGATATGAGGAGGTGCCGCTGAGTGATTTTGGGCGTGCGGTGATCTGTATGGTTGCGTGCCTGGAGGGAGGCGTACTGCGATTTTTTCTATTGGGCGAGGCAAGATCAGGGACGATGAAAATGCAGATTTATCATTGGCTTCTTGAGTGAAATATAGTTCAAACAAGAGACCAGAGACCAAACGGGTAAAGAGTCGTAGGGATGGAAACCTGCGGAAGAGGGCATGACGGCATGACCAACAAGGCGGACGGTAACGCCGATCAGACTGTGATCTATGTGGCGTTGGCGGTCGAAACATGTGAAAGAGGCCCTGGCTCGAAGAGGGCCAACGATAACTTGGAACCCTGCTCAGGGTGTAACTTTATCAAATGCGAGAGCATCGAGAGAGCGTACGTCTCCGGAGAGCCATCGAGGGAAGTTCGGATGTTGCGCATGGACTCGATGTGGAGCGCGTCCGAGCTTGATGACTCCAATGGTAGATGAACAGGCAAAGGGGCCGATGGGATAGGCCACGATACTATTGGGGACTCGGTCGACATGGCTTGTACGCTGACGGTGAAGGAGGTCCGTCGTATATATTCGGCAGTGGAGGCTCGAGTATACGCATTGGGGGTGTATCGTTGGATGACTTCGTCCAGAACGAGTACCCGGGGGATGAACCGATGTGTTCATGCTGCGGGAGAATGTAAACAGCCTGGCTCGAGAAGAACACATGCCATTGGGTTCTACACCTGTAGGTACCTAGGTAGATATGTACCTACCTACTCAACTGGCCATCGGCGTTAAGAGGCCGGGGAGCTGTAGTTGATTCAACTAAGGGGGCTTGCACGCTAATGCAAGGGACAGCCGTTCCTGAAGGGGACATAGGGGTGGACATAGGGGTGGCTGTAGGAAGTCCTGACTCGGGTAAGTTTGGAACGTCATTGATGGACCGGGTGCTGGGTGCCTGCTTCAGGATACAGCACCTTGGAAGCTTGGACGCATTCTAGAACCCAGCGAGAGTCCTCATACTTCCCACTTGGTCTAAGAGTTTGAGAGTGCCCATCGCAATTCATGTTGTTCGTGATGAGCTGTTGGCTGTGTCCTCCAATCTGGGCTTATGCTGATATCGGCACCCAGGTCTTCGGCTCCCGAGTTCTCGAGCTCATTGTACGCAGTTCAGCTGCCTGCGTGGCCGTCATGTATTTGTTACTGGCGAGCCGGCACCTTCTCTGTCCTCCGTACCTTGGATACTCGTGACAATCGCACCCGAAAGCCTCGACTTTGGTGTCACCCGAATGCCACTCAAAGAGTCTTTGTGCAGACACTTGCTCGATGCTGCCAGGGAGTGGCAACACAAAGCCTGGTCTACCTCGGGGTTTGTCTTTGTGGCCCGGGGGAAACAAAGACATGGAAGTCTATACTTGACAGCCTCTGTCCACATTCGAGTCCAATCCTGTCCGCCAAACTGCACACTCTCGAATTACACCAGCCCGCATATACCACCTGATCTATTGCGGCCCGTTTTACCAACAATATTGCATCAACTATGCCTACTACGTCGTCAACTCCCGCGTCCGACGGAGACACCGTCTCCTGCTGCAAGTTCCAAAGTAAGACCAGCCTTTGGTCCAGATTCATCCCTGGTCTGCGGCACGCAAGCCATACTAACCGGTATACAGACGCAGAGCCTGACACCGATCCTTCGCAGTGCTCCTGTCCTCGAAACATCGAAGAGAAGAAGGCGCGCGGACGACGGCTTGCTGATCGAATCGGGGAGGCGTTCGACTCGTATTTCAACCTCGTGGATGAGAAATAGCTGGAACCCAAACGTAAATACTAGTATATGTACCTGCGTAGTCGACGAGGAGCGTCGGCTCTCTGATTTCACCCATCAATAACATATTGTACCATTACCATACTTTAAATTATAATGCCACCTGATGTGCTTTTCCCGTTAATATGAGGCGTTATCTGTCTTCTTGGCGCTGCAGCACATCATGAGTAGGTGTGGAACAATGGCGGTCGTTGGTACGTGACAGAATAAAATAGGGGTTACCAGTTGGGTAGGCTGCGTGCGTTGGCACACCTTTCATTATGGTCCATAGCGAGGGGCTGCTGATGATAACGTTTCTAAGCTTCGTGGACATCTTGCCTGGGAAGTTCTTTCTCTCTTAGGGGCTAAATTCATCGTGAACTACACACAATTGACATCAGAGGAGTACCATCAAAAAAAACGGAAGCTACGAATGTCCTTCAAGGACATGGCACAGGAAAAACACACCGCAGGGATTGTGTCCAGAAATAGTCTCATTGATTAGACTACTACCATGCGTTGAAAAAAGCGTTCCCCAATATCACCGACGCTACTGCTCGGCAGGTGGTACGTCGCGTTAGCCCATGACGGCGTGGTGCCGGCGCGGCCCGCAGCCGTGGTATTGGGGTTGACCACGCGTTGCGTGGCGTCAGTCGATAAGCCGCTGGTGACTGCGGAGGTGTTCACATTATTCGCGGATTGGGGTGACACCGTCGTCTTCCACGGCACCAACTCCCTGACGACCTCCCAGAGCGGCATCAGCATCCACTTCCACGGGATCCCCCGGAGCTTGACCAGCGGAAACGATTGTGTGAGCTCGGTCACCCAGTGCTCAACCGGCCCGGGTGAGACTACACAGCTGTGGACATTGATGTGGAGTGAGGAATGGGTGGACACGAGCAAAAGGGAAGGCTGTGCTGCATCAGATGGCTCAAAATCAATATGAAAAGAGAAATGTGGGAGAAAGTACCTTGCCGGGTGGGAAGAGCCAGAAAAAACAAAAGTCAGCCGCTTAGGGGAATCGGACCGCTGTGCCTAAGAATACCTTGTAAGAATACTTTGTAAGGATACTCCGCTAGGCCGTACCAACCCGGCTACCAAATTAACACGCCAAACTACTATATATGCCTTACACGGCTGTCTATGTGTGAGCGATAGGGGCTGTAATAAGGTTTGCAGTGTGGCTGAATCACCTACACCCGGAGGGCTACGAGGTACGGCTCAAGCTGGTACCACTCGCACTTCGCTTTTCAATGCTGGCAGGGAGGTCTTGGCCCCATTATCATCAACGGGCCAGCTACGGCTGACTACGATGAGGACCTGGGTGCCAATCATGCTGATGGGTAAGGACACCTGCCAATGTTGCGGTCACGTGGAAGCTCATGATGTGCACATCAGGATCATTCCACCTTGCCGAGACTGACGGGCCGCCAACCCTGGGCACGGATTGCTTAACGGAACCAACGTGCGGGGTGACAATGGCTCCCGGTGGGATATCTCGTTCACCTCATGCATCGTACCGCATGAGGCTCGTCGGCGCAGCTGTGGACATCCACTTCAAGTTCTCGATTGACAACCATACCATGACGGTGATGGCTGCCGACAGCGTGACGCTGAGCACAGCCAACCCGCGCCGGCACGACACGGCCGTGCTGCCCGCCAGCGACTGTTCCTCATATGGTTAAGGCACTGCCAGATCGGCTTTCACACGAGCGACGGCTTCGCGCTGCAGATTGTTAGCGCGAGGGCGAGATTGCGGGCCCCATCGCCAACTCGACGCTGAACGACAACTGCGATGCTTGGGCCGCCTTCCAGGACGCGCAGAGCATCGAGCAGGATGATTCTGGCGTGTGAGCTGTGCACATCTGTAGACCGATGATGGTGCGTGCCGGTAGAAGAGCAGCATGTGTGTGATCAGAGGTTAGCAAGCCGTTGTAATGGTAGCTTGCATAACTGGTGCTTTCACACTAATAGGGGGGCATCCTTACCTCAGTTCATCAGATGTCAATCCTGGGCACGGAGTGCTGGGATGTGGAAGACATGGTTGACCATGGTGCGATGCGGTGACGTACTGAATTTGGGTGGTCTATGTCATGTGGCTGAGGTGTGGCGTGTCTATGAGACCCCAGGCTTTTCTCCAGCCACACCACGCAATCGGCTGGCCAAGGTGGTCTGTGCTGAGATAAGGGCATCCCAACACGCTCGAGAGGCTCTTGCTCAGGATACTGCAAGATACGACGGACTTTCAGCAATCAGCGAGCAGGTATCCGAGCACTCACTCTATTATTACTCTTCAAGTCAATGAAGTCGCTGCTTGAGCTCTTGCTGCATGCATTAACTGCCGGAGCTATCGGCGCGCTTCTTACTACGGGCACTGCTTTGGCTGTTTATCTGTCTGTATTGAGCTGGGAAAGCCTTCATTACAGCCTGCAAGCCCAACCTATCTAGGAGGTAGGTACTCAATGAGGCGGAAGGGTCCATCATTTCGGTACAAATGAGCTGCGACCAAAACCCCATCTCCAGAGCAAGAGAAGTCGCGTTCTAGCCCCGATGCGAGGGCAGTATTGTAGGAGAAAGAAATGCGAGCGGCTCACCAACGAAGCCCTTCGACGACACCACTTCCATTTATATCTACTTACCTTAGGTCAGGTGCTTGTAGACGCTCTACTACCGACCTGCTGACCTGCGCATACGATTGTCCCTCAGAAACATGTACTAGGAAGGCAGGACAGTGAAAGGAATGCACAACTGAGGAAGCGTGTGTCAGGGAAGGAACGACCGTAAAAATGGGGCAGAGCTGAGCTGCACCAATCAGCATGCATAGGTTTCAAAAAATCTACCGGAAGGAGCGACGGTATATGTACTTTTGAAAAGTCTGATCTTCCATCGCAATCACGTGCATGTCGCACAGTTGCTAGTACAATTCGTTAAAAGGTGGAATCGTATAATGGTCAGTACAACACGTTGTGGTCCTTTAACTTGCTAAGAACCGTGTAAATCTGGGTTCGATTCCCAGTTCCGCCAACCTTTTGGCAGGCACGAGGGTCGAACCTTTCCTCAGTTCTTCCTTTGTACCTGCCACTTTATTTTTGATGCATGTTATTGAGCCACCGCATCTTTTGATTTCAAGGCCATGGATGATCTTTTTTCATGCGCTCGTTGTACGTCTGGGCTGATGGCGAATTTGTTAATGCGTACTTTGATGTCATGTTGCAGTTAACACCAAGATACCTCAAGGGTCTGCCAGTACTCTCGGAGCCTCCGTGAAAGTTCGAAGGGCACTCTGAGGTCGATCGTGTCATATCCAATTGCACACATAACCAGGTTGACTTATAGATAGCGGTAGGATTGTATTCCATCCCGTATGACGATTGCGAATATCTCTAACGTAGTGGCGAAGCGACGCTGCTCTCGAGTGTATGTTGGCAAGCGGCAGCCTTGACATACAGGTAGTTCGTTGAGCAGCGGCACCTAATCGTGGTCGACTTGTCAACAACTGGTTCCGACGGGAGCAAGCTCTTCTTGAAGGCAGGTGTTGTGGAGGCTTAGCTTTACTTGTCCGGCTTCGCACAGGAAGTGAAGCTCCGTGAGTTGTATCGTTCCTTCTTCGCCGGTTCCACCGCATCGCCGCTGAAACGTCATGGTGACTGCAGCCTTACGATCGATCACCTTGATGGCACCTCGCAAAAGTCGTGCAACATGAGCGATACATGTATCTGAATTGTAATTTAAGGACTGTCATCCTCGTCTCACTGGACTTTACCCATAGTCGTACTTCCAATCCGCAAAGGCTAAATCACTCCTACCACCTACAACCACTATCTACAACTACTATCATACAATCATGGCGAACAAGAAAGTCCTTATCATCCTCTCGGACGCCAACGCCTTTCCCCTCCACAACACAGGCAACACCGGCGAGACCAAAGACCAACCTTCCGGTTTCTTCCTGATCGAGCTCGCGAAGCCGCTCCAGAAACTCCTCGACAATGGCTACGAAGTCACCTTCGCCTCGCCCGAAGGCAAGGAACCACAGCCCGACCCCAACTCCGAGACACTCCTCGCATTCGCGGGCAACTACCTCGAGCGCAAGAGGGAGAACGAGCTCATCGAGAAGATGAAGAGAGACAACGGTTTGGCTCGCCCCAAGAAGTTATCCGAGATCAGCGACGATGAGCTGAAGTCGTACACCGGTGTCTTCTTGCCGGGTGGACATGCTCCGTTGGCGGATTTGGGAGACAACCCTGAGCTGGGCAGGATCTTGCGGCACTTCCATGCCGAGCACAAGCCTACGGCGGCGATTTGCCATGGGCCGTATGCATTCTTGAGTACGCAATATGCCGGGGACAAGGACTTCATTTACAAGGGGTACAAGATTACGAGCTGGAGTGACAACGAGGAGAAGATGATGGAGACGATGCTGAGGGGAGAGGTCGACAAGGTCGAGAGTCAGCTGAGGGAAGCTGGGGCGGACATGCAAACTGGGATGGGGGAGAAGATGGGGTATATCACCGTCGATCGGGAGGTCGTCAGCGGTGGGAATCCTCTTGCGGCGAACTCGTTGGGTGACAAATTTGTGGAGATGCTGAAGGCATAGGGGAGCCGTGGTAGATGCGTTGATCGCATGCTTCAATGATATATGGGTATATGTGTAACATGTTGCGAACTTCAGTCACTCGGCTTTTTATACGACTGTGTCTGACGCGATTCCCAGCGCATTGTCGCGGCATGAACTCCTGGGCCGCGCTTGAAAGTTCAGACCGAACATGAAGAGTGAGATGCCATCTACAAGTCGGCTGCTGAACGATGCAGTCTCAAATGGCGTACAAGACACATGTAGTCTGACAGGTGAACGCTGTTGCATTGTACCTGACATCAGGCGGATATATCAAATAAGTACCCGAAAGCGCAGATCCCGGAGACCGTGCATTCTGGGGAATGGTGCCATTTCTTGCACTTCTCGGAGCAGGTATCTCCGATCTCGGCGAAGCTTAGAAAATCCGCATTTCCCAATGGACGACCTCGTAGGTAGCCTCGAAGGGTCCAGTTCGACCGGGATTCGTGATTACTACAAACATCCTGTCACCCTGTTCACCACATCCAGAAGGCAGTCTCGGGAAGAGCTGCAGCAGATGATCCGATCACTACGACTCGACATTCAGGCACGTTGCAGTAGAACGGCTACTCCAATGCATCGCGAGGTGTATTCGTTTCTTCCCCATTCCTTTTCTTGATTTCTTCGGAGTCTGGTGTCTGGAGCAGAGCAGTTGGCTCTTCGCATAGCGTATACCACAGCCGACCCGAAGCGACGACGTCCACCTCCGAGATCGAGATGAAGGACAGCACGGTGCTCCAGCTGGCGCCGACCGCACCCGTCGCAGCATCGGCGGTCGCGCCCGGCCCCAAGGTGCCCATCCCGGTCCCCAGCAAGGACGCCATCGACGTGCCGTCCAATGTACAAAAGCAACCCTGGAACACAAAGAACCTGGGCCTGCGGCTCGCGGCCGACTTCACAAGCGCTGCGTGCGCGGCTTCTATGGTGGCGCCCCTGATATCCATCATCGACAGGTAAGTCTCGGAAGTCAAGAAACCCCCTATACCAGCTTCATGAGTACTGACGAAGTATGGCTTGCTAGATCGATAATGGAAAACGCCTCGGGCCGCAACACGCTCGTCGCTAGCCTGAAAGCCTCGTTCCGCGCGCTGCTGCTGCGCCCGCACACGATGCTCTTCTCGAAACCCGTCGCGCTGATCTTCATGCTCTACGGCGGCACCTACCTCACAGCCAACACGCTCGACACGGCGACCTCGACGGCGCGCAACGCATCCGCCACGCACGTAACGTCCGGCACGCCCAAGTTCGCTGCCTCGTCCGCGGCCAACGTCGGCCTGTGCATCTTCAAGGACCAGGTCTACGTCAAGATGTTCGGGCCCGGCGGCCCGCCGCGTCCCGTGCCGCTCCCGAGCTACGCGCTCTTCGCGCTGCGCGACAGTCTGACCATCTTCGCCTCGTTCAACGTGCCGCCGCTCCTGGGCCCCGTGCTGACGGCGAGGATGAGCGCCGAGGTCAACCGCACCGTCAGCGGCACCACCGTCGCGCAGTTCGTGGCCCCGGCCGCCGTGCAGCTGCTATCGACGCCGATCCACCTGCTCGGTCTCGACTTGTACAATCGACCGGCGACGGGGGGCGTAGGGTGGGCGGAGCGGTGGGCGCTGGTGAGGAAGAACTGGCTCATCAGCACCGCGGCTCGCATCTGTCGGATTGTGCCGGCGTTTGGAGTCGGCGGCACCGTCAACATGAAGGTGCGGAAGAACCTGATGGAGAGGCTGGTCTAGGGCAAGCCTTGAGGACTCGGTCGTGTTGGTCTGCATCTGTAGCATAGAAACTTCAGGGAACTTGCATTTAGGCGATGGCGTTAAACGGATAAGGGATCGAATCTTTCTTCGTTCGGCAGATACGAGGTTCACGGTAATACATATAAACGGGTGGTCTAGAGAATAGACATAGATTGGTCCTAGGGCACTACAGTAATGATACTTACTCTCCGCTTTAGTCTCACGCGTGAATGATGGGTTTGGACACCCATGGATGTATGATAAAACCAGCCAGTACAAGCTTGGGATCCCGCTTGCGTGCTACAGTCTATCTCGTTTAGATCAATCCAGAGGCATTCAATGCCTCAATGATCTTATCAGCCTCTGTTTTTGGCCGCGGTCGGTGACGGTACTCCCCTGTGTCTATGTAGTTTTCCCAAAACTTTAGGCCCTCCAAGCCCTCCTCTCTGCACAGAACCCCTCTTTCCTCTGCCATCTCGAGCTCCTCCTCGGCAACACCGATACTCCAACCAAACCTCTCGGCTGCGTCCTGGGCGGTGACACCGCGCCCGAATTCTTGCCAGTCCCAGGGGACCTCTTTGTCCGGAGGAAAGTCATGCAGGTCGCGAAGCCATACCAGGAGGGCCTTGATGGTGGATTCGTCTGTGCGGTCGCGGCTCTGGCAGACCATGACACCGCTCTTGAAGGTCCGCAAGCGCACCGGTAGTTTCAACTTCTCCCACAGACGAGCAGCCTTTTCGAAGTCGTTTGGGCTTACCAGTTCCACGCCTCCGCGAGCTCGGTTGAACATTGCCCACAGGTCCACCAGACTTACGATGCCCCCAGCCTTCTTGAGCACCCCGCGGGCGTCATCCGTCAAGAACTCTGCAAGGTTCCTGGACAGCTCGGATAAATATAGAGACTCTGACCCGGAACCACCACCCCCTCCGACTATGTCCTTCGTAGTGACAAGGCCTAGCTGAGTTGCTGATTCAGCTAACAGGGCATTGGCTTCGGATGTCCCGCCGTCGGTACCTCCATTGACCTGCCGAGCGAACGATTCGGCAAGGGCAATGATCTCCTTGGCAGAAGCCATCAAGGCTTCCAAGTCCTCAAAAGAGCTGCCAATCACAAGTTCATTGTTCTTACGCCGATCCAGACCCATCTTTTCCAGTCCGGCGATACCTGCTGTCTTTGTTCGACCAGGCCCCATACCCGGCCTAGATGAGGAGTCTGTCCGATTATCATCGAAAGCTCTGTTGCCCATCGGCACAGGGGGCGCTTCGTGTAATAGCCATTTTCGTTGGGTCATGGATCCCTTGAGGCGTTCATAAAATATCTTCTCCCCTCCACCCCGAAAGGATATCTTGACACTCTCGGGATTTTCCAAGCCAGTGACGTTTCCGTAGTTCAGTGTCGGCCCTGGTGAGTCGGTCCTCGGTTGATCTTGTATTACCTGCATTGAAACATCGTGAGATATGAGGGGGGCACCGCATATCTCACAGGACAGGAGAGACGGGTGATTCAAAAAGGTACAACGTGGGCACTGAAAGCCATCGTTATCGGTTGACGTATTTGCTCTCCCAGGTGGCGAGAAACCCATTTGCGCAGACCTGGAAGCAGTGCGATCTTCATATCCAGAGCCTGGTTTCTGCGTTCCAAAGCCGCCTGAGAGTGGAGACTGAGGCGTCGACCCTGACGAGGTCATCTGTCTACTGGTGACATTGGATATGGCAGCCTTCAAGACGTGCGTCAATGCCGGTTTGATGCCGCAGGCCAAGCATGGCGGCAACGGCGTATGCGCGTTCGCGGTTGTTGGATCGAAGTTTGAAGGAACAGGATTCGGGAAGCTGCATATCGTACAGACCCACGTGGCGGCGCTGGCTTGCGGAGGAGCTGCCGATGGAGGACGAAACGCAGATTCGAGAGTAGGCCGAGGAGAGCTTGTCGTTCCTGCTGTGGCTCTCGACTGAAGCGATGCTCGCTTGGAGGGCTTGGGAATCAGGGTGATCTTTGCAGAGGACTTCAGGAACCCAGCCTAGTTGATGCTCAGCACAATGACAGCAATAACCGTAGTACAGGATAGTTTGCGTACGTAGAACTCATATCTCTCCACATCCTTCAGGTCCAGAGCCACAGAGTGTTTCCTGGGCTCCTGTTTGTCGACATAGCATATCCGATGCGACGTCAGGTAGACCTGGCCGGTTTGTTGGTTGGGGAGTTTGTACTTGCTAAGGCAAACGAACTACCATCAGCCTTCCGAACCTCAGGATCTCGGCGCTTCAACACAAGCAGACGTTGTATGGTGCATGGAGATAGGGATGGACGGTGCCATCGCCCGCAGACCAGACGTGAACTCACCCCTCATAGAGCCCCACATTGTCCTGGACAAAGAGAAGCACTTCGTCGGGCAGATATGACGGCCTGAGGGCGGTAGTGAGGTCGATTTGTTTTAGAAACATTCGTCATGTCGGTCGTTCAAATCGAGGTCTCTGACCATGTGAAATAGCCAACCAGCAACGAGTTGTGCAAACTGAAGTCAGAGGGGTGGCAATGGGGATTTTGGGGGCCGCTACCAGTTGCGGTTGACGACGTGCGCTCGTCGCAAGCCATGATCCATAATCGATGATCGATAGGTAAGGTCCCGGGCAGCTGCCTGGGTCGGGCCGTCGGCGGTCGCCCAACTTCAAAAGTTTACTCGTGCTGCTGCATCTACCAAGTGATTGCAGCTGGTGGATTGTCTGTGCAGAGGCTCAAAGAGCTGCCATCCAATCAGAGCCTCATCTTCGATAGGAAATTCACGCACAACTTGTGGTAAAACCCAGTGCACTCCCAGTAGAGGCCGGCAGCCACTCTCCCCCCAAAGAGCGCTGCAGCAACCCACCTCGTCCTTTTCCCATCTTCCACACCCACAATCACCCATCACCTGCATCCTTTGTCCGCCATTCACCCATCTCCATTACCGCGACGCCTTCCACCAAAGAATCAAATCACATTTCGTGACCTTCGATCGCTGATCCTCCAGCAAGCATCATCTGGACCTTATATTAAGAGCCCAGGTCCTCGTACTAACCAAACCACCTGTCTCCCTTGTCGCCGTCCTCGCAACAACCCAGCACACTGCATTCAATCCCCGGTGTAGACACCATGTCGTGGGCAGCATCAGCGCCGCCCGGCATCCAGCAGCCGGCAGCGGCCTACTACTCTCAACCATCCAGTGAGCACCCTCATCTCCGTTCCCATCGTCATTCAGTAAGACGCCATGCTGACTTTCTATTCGCATCAGATGCCGCATACACTGCTGTCCCGCTCCGCCAGGGCTTCAGCCAAGCATACCAAGCACAAACTCAGTATTCCTACACCGCCCCTGCTAATCCGCCCCCACCGGCAACCACCGTGCCCACTGCCACTGCTTCGGACCAGCAATCACAGAAGATTGAATGGCCTCAGTCGGTTCGCGACTACGTGCAACGAACGTTTCAGAAGTCCAGCGATATCGTGGGCATCTCCGGTGCAGAAGTCCAGGCGAAACTCAAGGATGTCATTAGGTACACCCAAGATTGCGGAATCATGCACACCACCGACTGGAGCCAAATGCCTTCGCCTCAACAGATGATTCAGGCAGAACGCCAGCAAGCCTTGATGGCCTCGATAAGTTCCCCGGCCGCTCCGGACCACACCGCCACCGCCAAAGCCAAAGTGAATCCCAAGAAGCGAAAGTCTACTGATCTCAACGAACCTGATCAGCTCGGGTCGACTGTGCCGTGGCGTAGCACCAAGGACCTTTCCCTTGAAGATCGGATTAGCAAGCCCGCAACCGACATGCGGTCTTTGATGGACGGTCCCCTACCGGCCAAAAGTAAGTCCCAGAAAAATGCCGAGAAACGGCAGCGCCGTGGGGATGGCGGATACCAATCCTCCTACCGGTCTCCGAGCCCGCCGCCCCTGAAAGGTCCCATTGTGGGTCTCAATGAGAAACTCGAGAAGAAGTTCTTCCGCTTGACTGCTGCTCCAAAGGCCCAAGACGTCCGACCAGAGCGCATCCTGCATCAGACTCTGGACATGCTGAAGAAGAAGTGGCGAAAGGAGGGCAACTACAATTTTATTTGCGACCAGTTCAAGTCTCTCCGTCAGGATCTGACAGTGCAGCACATTAGAAACGAGTTCACTGTTTCTGTCTACGAGATCCATGCCAGGATTGCCCTGGAGAAGGGGGATCTGGGTGAGTATAACCAGTGCCAGACACAGCTGCGTGCTCTGTACATGGCTGGTATCAAAGGCAACTCGATCGAGTTCAAGGCCTATCGTATCTTGTATTTCATCCACACTGCGAATCGGACAGCGCTGAATGACGCTATTGCGGATCTAACCACAGCAGAGAAGGAAGAGCAACCCGTCAAACATGCTTTGAACGTCCGTTCGGCATTGGCGCTGGGGAACTATCACAAGTTCTTCCAGCTCTACCTCGACGTCCCGAACATGGGAGCATATCTCATGGATATGTTCGTCAAACGGGAACGACTTGCTGCACTGGCCAACATGTGCAAAGCGTGAGTCCTCCATTACCACAAGAACCTGACCATTTTATTAACATCCTCGCAGATTTAAACCTGACCTGAAACTCCGTTACATCACTGAAGAGCTTGCTTTCGAGTCTGACGCGGAATCCGCGCAGTTCATCATCGATTATGACCAAGATCTGCTCCTAGAAAGAGAAGACCACATTGTCTTCTTGACTGGGAAAGCAGGCCAGCGTTTCGAAGAAGCCAGGGGTGAAGCCTTTCGTAGGGTTGACCTGAAAGGCCAGATCTGATACTTGTCCGCATTTCTTCTTTCTCATACTCGTTGCTTTCTCTCATCGAAACGACACCACCTACCCTCTACTCGATGACCGTCAAGACATATATACCTTCTCGTAGTCTCTCATTTCACCTTATCGATGCCGCCATTTAGTTCCGATTGACAAGTCCATGCTGGATGAGGAGCGAAGGGGTGGAAAGGGAGCACTTGGCCTCGTTGCCACATGATCTTATGGGGCCGTCATCGCAGATCTTTCTTCGATTGATTCATGCGCCGCGCACTTCGTCAACGCGGTTCATCATCTTGACTTATCCATCACAGCAAATCGGTTTGCATCGATCAGAACTGAGTGGAAGACGCCAAGAGGGAGATGCGTGCATGAACACGGCGACGGAGATACTCCATGGGAGATGTGGGAGATGCTTCGACAGAGCTGGGTTGGTGATGCATGGAATGAGATGGCGGCATGATATCAGGCGTTTGGTGCAGCTGGACCGAGTGGTTTGGTTTATGATGGTCGATACCCTGGCGAGCCGAGTGCTGTTTTTGCGACATCGCTTCGTTTGAAGGCAAAAGCTGCATGATATCGGGACGGTCGCCGTTGATGGTGAGGTGGAATGGTCCCATAGACAAAAGTCTCGCATGGACAGGCACAACCGATGCTGGCAGTGTGCTGGCCATAATACATCGTCATTTTCCAGTTCTGAAAGCTTGGATTGATGCCTGTTCACGATTGCGCGTCCCAACTGCCCTGCTAGCAAATATTGCACTGTCATCAACCGATGTGTATCTGTACGCATTCTACGTTGTGATCATGTGAACATTGCAAAATTTACGATTCAGAGCAATGTCAACACTTGCGTCTGAGCAATCCGTGCAGGCATTAATCAATGTGAGTGGTGAGCCTAGAGTATTGGTCGACGAGGCTCTTAGATTCACGTATCTATGGTGGCCACAATGTCAGTTCAACGGTGTTGGGCATAGTCTGATACACCTATCATCCATCCACAACTACTATGCCCCTAGTTTTTCATTTTCATATCATCTAGACTAAGGGTAGGTCTTTGCTATCCAGAAGTGCTGAACTTGGGGTATGATTCTCCCTTTTCTGCTCTGACGCTCGTCTTCGGTAGCAGATCGGGTTGCGTAGGAGATGTGTGGGGGGTAGATAACGGGTAAAGGGGCTTAAGAAACTGCTTGCTTGCTCGAGTCGGTATCTGGACAGCGCCCACGTGAGAGATGTTCTCCGGTAGCTAAGGTGCCTTGGTAGTTGCTAGGAGGGGATGTACATCGCGAAAAGAGGGTTTGTGAAGGGTTCACCAGGGCAGTCGTGGGAACTGGTCAAGGCACATCGACGGCATGTGGGCTCCTCTACCCTGCCTCCTATTCACCTCTCTACATACTACACTACCTACCTGGCCTATCGAAACGCACAGAGACTGAATGCGTGAGGCAGGTGAGCGAGCAATGGGCTTGTTCATCTGTATCCCTCATCCACCACTTCAACCCAAATCACCCCAGGTCACATCATGGCACTGGCGCATCAGCTCAGAAGCCATCGCAAACCAAGGGGCTTTGCAGAGAGATAATGGACGAAAGCTGACGGATTCTTGACCAAGCTGAGACATGAAGGGCTATTCCTATTTTATCTTAACCCACGCACTCGAGGTAGCCAGCCGGCTATGAACGCACGCACGCACGCACGCAAGGGTATGGCGTGAGACAGACAGGTCGGTTCGTTGACTGACTGATGGGCTGAGTCGTCTTCCCGTCATCCTCAACTTATTGTGGCTTGGTCGAGATAGATGGGATGGAGCGGTGCTGGTAGTACATGTAGGAAGGCGAACTTGCTGATGGTGTCAACTTAGTAGTGGTGGTGGTGGCGCATGCTGCAGTTGACATGACATGCATGACAGCATGTTTCGAAATATCATCCCAGTTTCAAGGGATTCCGTTGGTGGCAGCCCGGAGAAGGCACTGACCTGAAGCTGTTGCAACTCCTGCTCGGGTTGGGCTTTGTGTGCATACGGAGGCGGCGTGGATGTGATGTGATGGTATTCTACTCTTTGCATGTGGAATGTTGCGGCTGTGTGGACGAAGAAAAACACATGTATGTACCCCGTGGTTTTGAGGTGAGACCGGTGTCCAACGCATGGCTTGGGCTGCGGAGGAAACGCCTGAATTGGATAGATGGTTCGACTTCTATCAAGGAGGGTCCCGGGACGAAATCGGGGTTCGGCCTCCCTACCAAATGTGACTATTGCGATGAGATTGCCTACGTTGCTCCGAGTGTCTCCTACTGTACGCATCGGGATTCAGCTGTCGAGCGGCCTCGAAGAAACGTACCAAGCTGGGGGCCCATCAGGGACTCCAGATCGGTTCCAGATATCGAAGCTTAAAATTCATCAACAACCCGCACACCCACTATAGCAGCGATCATTGCGGGGAGACGTGCTTGGAGATGCTGGGTTTTGCGCAAGAACCTGAATCGGCCGAGAGATGTCACCCTATCCAAAAAGAAGGGTGGTTGTTCGTCACCCCGTTTCAGGACCCCGCGGCCAGTTTCATGATGGGTGCTTGGTGATGCTTGGCACATCCGAGCCGGGACGGCGGCGATCCGAATACTGGCGCATGACATTCGAATTTCGCAACCTGGGAAATGTAAAATGTTGCTCTCGGCCGCAGAAACGTGAGTTGTTATTCGAATTCTCAACGTTCCGACGGCTGGCCCGTCAATGCCAAGCGGGCTCTCTGCATGATAACGTTTCTGGTACCTGCAGCTTCGCCGGTGGTGCCGTCTTCTGGAAGCCTTCTTCGCGGCATGCAAGAGAGAGCCGGGTCGAGAATCCGGACTGATCCAGCCAGGGACAACAGGTATGATGCCTGTCCATAGCACATGACGCTATCACCATAATCCACAGGAAGCACTGTAGAAAGCTGCAAAAAGTCCGCCTACGTCACTTGGTAGTAGAGCTTACCCGTACCTGTGGTAGCCGTTATGTATCTGTACTGTTCGGGGTCGCTCTGGCTATTGGTGTAAGCTGAGGGCTGTAGGAGCCGTTGGATCTAGCAAGCTTACCGGTAGACTGCCTGCCTTGCAGATACGTTGTCGCGATTTGGCAAACGTGCTCAATCTGCACTGGTGCGTACTGGCGAGTTTTTTTTGTAGGAATAGCCTAGCTTCGTGTGTCCATCTCTCAGAAGTCAGACGTGATGATCGTGACTAATGATCCGAGCACAGGATGATAAGGATCCTCTAGTAGTAGCGAACACGATGGGGACCCTTCAGGTCCATAGGCCCTGCTGCCTCGTGGACTTTGGCGGGGATACGCTCCAGCAGGAATGGCAACGGAATCCAAAGGATAGATATAGAGTAGAGCAAGGGCCAGAATGACGACAGAGAAGGGTCTGCGCTGGACAAACGAGGCTTGCCCACTGCTAGGGGTCTCTCGTACGAAAGTGAAAAGGCTTCAATCTATGCGAGACGTAATCGATGACAGCCAACAGAGGATAGTTCATCCAGTATCTGACCTCTTCCAAAGTTCCCACACAGCGCTAAACGAAGAGAGCAGATCCAACTGAAATGTCAAGCCCAGAGAGGTATGTACCACTGATAGGCCAACCCGAATCTTTTGGCGCTTGACGAATGGAAGCGCGCGCAAAAGACTGACTGTGTCCGAATCGGAATGCGAGTAGCTTTTTGGGGTTGTCTTGCATATGCCATTGTAGGTCAGACCCAGTCGTGCCAGCTACGATAGTTGGGTTGCATCAACTTTGCGCGGCACGGGCTCCTGTCCTGTATGGGGGAGGGAGGTTGGGAGGGTCGAGGCGGCATGAATGCATTGCATGCTTGCTACCTTGTGCTTGTACTATGCTTGTGCTCCCCCCGACCCCCACCCCCCTTCTGTGAGCCGTTGCACACTGAATAATGAGAATGAAGCTGTTGGACAAGGCCAGCAGCAACGTTGGCACTTGCATGACTAGAAGCTCTGGCTTCGATCCGGTTGGCGTCAACCTGTTCGTTGGAAGGGCTGCGATATGTCGTGTTAGACTGGAGTGGCTGAACTCAGTTGAGGGTCGGAATCACAGACCCCTTCTCCCTGAGTCTCTATTTTAATCTGTAAGCTTTTGACCTCCCGTTTCCCGTTGTCCCACTGTGTTGCAGGAGTCCGGAAGACGAAAGGACCTTGCTTTGGCTAGCCATGCAAGCTGTAAGGTACGATGCTCATCAGAGTTCGTGAAGGGTCGTCCCCCTCAAATAGTGGAGGAGAGAACACACTGAGACATGGAGATTCGAGTAGGCGGAATGGATAGATCGAAACCCGTTTGACATCTTTCTGTCTAACATCTGTGCCCTGGCTTGGCTTGCAAAGAAACCATCGATAAGCACAATCCACGATCCTGCTCGAAGGATTGTTCCAGGCCCGTCTTGACCGGTATCGACATGCCAGACCTACATCATGGCCACATGTACTGACCGCGTCACGCCACAGTGGAGTGTGGCAACATGACTAGATCAAGCATCAGCAGACGCCTGAGGGACTCGGGTGCCAGCGTGCATTGTGTGAGATGGAAGATGGTGATTGACGGGCAATCGATAAGATGCCGTTCCCGGGTCTGGCTGGGCACGCCGGGTCGTTCAGGCTGCTCAGACTGTCCGGTTCAATCAAGAAAGGAGCAGTGCACATGGTCAATGCCACAATGCAGAGATTCCTGCGACGATCGATCGAATTCGCCTCTCTCGTGAGGATGGTTTCCGTCGCACAGGCAAATTGGGATATTCCTGGTACACCGTGCCAACCTGCCTGGCAACGGTCATCTGGGAAGGCCGCGGATTTATTCCGACTGGAGTTTTGGTGGAGGTGCCCAGGTGGCCGGGTGGTCGGGCGGATTACCTGGATGCCACCGTGTAATCGATAAGAGGTATCACAGTGGTTGCTTGCGAGCCCTTCTACCCTTCAACGATGGACGAACGGCTCCAACGTCAAAGTCAAAGTCGAAATCAACGTCCAAGCCAACGTCAATGCCAAAGAAACTTCAACGTTCAACGCATCGGAGAATTTATGTTCGAGCCATCATTCGTGAAATTGGTTTCAGCGGAGCCAGTGGCTTTAGTTTGGCTCCTGAATTCATCCATGTTTGATGAGGGGCTCGAGGGACTCGAGGGACCTTACCAAGGTTATGTAGACGGTACCTACACAGTCGAATACCCTCACCGAGAAGACCTCACCGAGGTCATCCTTACATCCAACAAGTGTTGATTGTTGTCCAAGAAGGATCAGGATACCTTTTCTTATTAGTTATCAGATGAGCCTGACCGGTAGAGACTGACACTGGGTGATTGATGGGCCCGGTGACAGCTGGAGGTACATAAAGGTTCCTTCCATTGGAGGGGTAGCTTGAGGTGGCGGGAGATTGTCACTTTCAGATTATCAGTGGGTGTTTCTACCACAGCAAACTGAAGCCATCAGCCCTTCTAGTGCATTATCCCACTCTGCCGGCACATGTGCTAGCGGCCCCTAATAGCATCTCCATTTCACACTCAAGGAGTTAAGAACGTCAAAGCGACACAGTTGAATGTGCTTCTTGAAGTTCTAGGGTCCGATTGGATGACAGCCGCCGCTACACATGTAATCCATGTCGGCTCCCACGAGCTTGATCCTGGTACATCAATAATTGAATACCAACTGGGGCTCATCTCGCTGCCCAGAAAACTCTGAACTCTACCTTACGCACGGTATATTCAATCTCCACTATTCACCCGTACTGAAAGACAACACTGGACAGACATGAACGGCAGAACAGGTCAAAGGTCTATCAGCCATCCATTTTATTGTATTGAGCTGGTGGCACATTGGGGAGACCCCCACAGAGAGTCAGTGGTCACTGGTCTGTGATGTGTGGTCAATGCAGACATCCATGCATCTCATCCATCCACCTGTTCACTGTACAGTGTACATACAGTGACATCTAAGTTCTGCTGCGACAGTGCACATGCACCTGCATGTGGCATGTACCCGATGTAAAAGTGTACATGTTCATGTGTACATGCCAAGGTGCTCGTAACGCCCGCCGGTGGTGAAGCCCATTTTTATTTCTTTTGATCCCCTTCTCCCGCCCAGTGTGCTTCTGTGCTGCTGCAGTCTGTGTGTGCCCCAGCGTTTGGTACCAGCAGAACCCTGCCACTGGGCCCAGTCCCGCTCCTCCCTCTCGACCCCCCTGCCCCCATGCCCCCCCATGCCCCCGTCCCACAGCGCAGGAGTCAATCGCCTCGTCTGTCTCGTCTCGTCTGTCTCGCCATCTGCATCTGCATCGACATCCCTCTCTCCGTCCTTCCCCTCCCAAGTCCCCGACTCTACACCCACGAGAGATCGACCCGTTTTCACGACGACCAGGGCGACAACTTCACGTCCGTCATTTGTCAGCCTCATCTAATTCCAATTCCGCTGTGGCCGACAATACGAGAACCGCCTTGTTGCTTTGAGCGGACAATTGAACCCAACGCCATACCACGCAACCGTGTAATTGTGTTGGACCAGACAAAGGAAAAAGGAGGCAAACCAGTCCAGAAAGAAAGGCCTTGAGCAAGTCCGATACCACAAGGGCTGCTGCATATCATTCATGACCACACCGACCGATCCGATCTAAAAATAAGCAACGTCGACGACGCATTGTTGCTCCGTTGGCAGGCGGCATAGTGCATCGAGAGATAGAGAGACATCAAGAGGGCAAGACGCCAAACCCTCCATTCTTCCACTCTTCCATTCTCCGGCTGCAGAAGGTCTCACCTTGACCCGACATCCACTCACTCGCTACTCTCCACGTCGCCATCCGAACTTCCACCATCGTTCGACTTTCGATTCGCGCCCACCCCACCCAGTTACACTGATTCAGACTTGCTGTGACAAACCGATCCGGAGGACTGAACATTTGTCTGCTCGACTGCTCAACTGCCCGCCTTGGCGCAACATCACCTCAGGACCTGAGTCTTAGGGGCATCTCACGAGCCAGCCATTCACTCACCTAGCCTGCACCCGGCCCCGAGATTCCTTCTTGGCTCTCTTGCTTCACACCTTCGCCTCCGTTCAGCACTTGCTGTTCCACAAACATATACACAGCGTCTACACAACCTGTACGACCATGAAGGTGCGCCATTAAACCCAGCCCTCTCCCACCCCCTCTCCCTCCTCTGTTTGCTTCCCCCATATTGTGGCCCTGTTACTGCATGCAAGTATGCTGGCGTATTTGCATTCTAGCAGCAACCATGTCGCGCGCTACCACGAACCGTGACTCGGTCGCTTTTGCTTGTACGGTTGCTAATGCCATGCGCATTTTCCAGGCTCTCCGGAGATCGATCAAGGGGGACAAGGACAAGAGTCCACAGATAGCTATCGCCCCGAAGTCTGCAGTTGCCATCGTACCCCCCAAAAAGGTTCGTAACTCTGATCGCCGACACCGAAACCTGTACTGGCCCAGCAAGGATATGGCTTCGCTATGGCTGACACGATGCTAACATCCGAGACATCTTAGGTTATTCGAGCTCTTTACGACTACGAGGCGCAATCAACCCAGGAATTAGGCTTCTCGCGGGGCGATTTCTTTCATGTAATCGGCCGTGAGAACGATTCTGACTGGTACGAGGCGTGTAACCCAGCGCTTCCCGACGCACGCGGCCTCGTTCCTGTAGCGTTTTTCCAAGCTTTAGGCCGCACCGAAAGAGACAGCGGTCAGTCGGACTCTGGCCCAAGATCTGCGACCAAGAAGGAGGATCACGACTCCGGCTTCTCAGAAACGAACCCGTCCGCAATGCCGCCGCCGACACCCGCGCTTAGTCAAAGCAGCGCCAAGACTGCCGTCAAGAATGGTGCTATGGTGTATGGGATTGTCATGTATGACTTCCAGGCAGAGAGGGCGGACGAGCTGGAGGCGAAAGCTGGTGAGGCTATCATCGTGATAGCCCAATCTAATCCAGAATGGTTTGTCGCAAAGCCTATCGGTCGTTTAGGAGGTCCTGGTCTCATCCCCGTGTCATTTGTCGAAATCCGAGACATGGGGACGGACACAGCAGTACCAAACCCCCAAGATGCTGTGAAGCGAGCAGGAGTACCCCGAGTTGAGGAATGGAAGAAGATGGCCGCCGAGTACAAGAACAGCAGTATCACTTTGGGCAAGTTCGAGGTTGGAGGCGCCCCAGGTCAAGCACAGTCTGTGGAGCAGGGATTTGAGCGCAAGAGCTTGCAATCAGGTGCCAACCGCCAGAGCGAGCAACTAACTCCTTCCAACGTAAGTTTCGCTTGATCACCACAGCTATGCTTTTCAGGGGGCTGACAAACCCTCTCACAGCAGCAGCAACAGACACAACAAGGTGGATATCAGCAACAGGCTCAACAGGGTCAGCAGTCGCAGCGCAATACACAGCAAAGCCAAACGGCCCAAAAGCCAGCATCCATGATGTATGCGCCCATATCCGCTCAAATACCCAGGTATTGTTTCGCCGAGGAGAAGTACTGGTTTGTCATCGAGGCGAGCCTGGAGGATGGCCGGCATTGGGAACTCTCGCGGTATTACGAGGATTTCTACGACTTCCAGATCGCCCTTCTCACCGAGTTCCCGGCCGAGGCTGGAAACACGGGCACGCAGAAGCGCACACTGCCGTATATGCCCGGCCCCGTTAATTACGTGACCGACGCAATCACCGAAGGGCGGCTTCACAACCTCGATGCATACGTAAAGAACCTGCTAGGTCAGCCGGCATACATCGCCAAGTGTAACCTGGTGAAGCAGTTTTTCGCGCCGAGGGAAGGTGACTACGAGGTGGATCCCAACTCGAACGGGGACGAGTACAGATTGTCGGCCGGGTCCAGGTCGTCAACCGACTCGCCTAGAGATGGCGCCTCGCGGCAGTCCTCCAAGAACAACCTGAACGGAAATGGATATTCCGGGTTATCTGCGGCCCCGAGACAGATGCAGAATGGACAACCACAAATGACGCGCCAGACCTCATCTCTCTCGCAACCGTCGTTAACATCGCTATCTCCGGGGCTGAACCAGGCGGCCTCGACGTCGGCCTTCAAGGTCAAGTTGTTCTTCAACGGCGACACGTTCCTCATCCGTGTGCCCTCGGATACCAACTTCCAGCAGCTCTACGAGAAGATAAGGGAACGTACGAAGATTGCCGGCGGAGAACAGATTCAACTCTTCTACCGAGACGAGCAGAGCGGCGACAAGCTCAGCCTTATGAGCAACAATGACCTCAACTATGCGTTAGATCATAACGAGAAGTTGGTCATATTCGTGGAGCAAGTATAGGACTTTATAAGCAAAACCGTTGATACCCCCAAGCCATTTCCATATACGATATACCCTCTTCGCCTCATTCCACCAGCATTTGTGACGATAAACCAACACCTGTCTTCGAAACTCTGACCATAGCACCATCGCATACCTCGGCAATCTTCTTTGGCGTCACCAGCATAGCGTGGATGGAGAACTTGCTCTGCCATGTAGGGGACGCGTCGGCGAACCCGAGAGATTTTTCTTTTAGTTGGCCGTATATTAGCTGGCCCAACTGCGATCCAGTGGAATCCACGTTCGTTTGCGCAGTAGTTGCGTCGATACTGCTTGCTGGTTCGACCTAGAGCAATCGCCACGCACGCCCTGAACTTGGTCCTCTTTCTGGTCATCGACTTTTCTGCATTGACTTACCTCGACACTTCTTCCTCCCGGATCGGATTCGCAAAGGCATCGATAGGACAGCCACAGCCACCTCGTATCTCTTTTTCCAACGGATTACCCTACGGTTTGGCGCTGATCTGGATCGATTCTTCTTCCGTGGGAGGCTTTCAACTGGCACTGGGGCTTCCATTGACCTTCTTCGCCTCTTCTTCACCTTCTTCCTCTTCTTTGTTAGATTCTTGTGGTGGTTTTGTATGGAGCAGGAGGGTCGTCTGGAATCAATGACGTGATGGGCTGATGGATCACACGATAGACGTTTGTGGACTTGGAATGGCATCACTAGCTATGGAGGTCGCAGGGGAAAAGGCAGAGAGATAGCCATGTACTTGTGCCCTGGCCGGGTCAGTCAAGGGCTCCGGAGGAACGGACGCCATGGAAGGTGACGACTCAGACTCAAGCAGACGTGGACGCAGTACTTGATGGGTCAACAAACATGCATACAGTTACGAAAGCAAGCGCGTGGTAGCCCAAGGATGTTGAAGGGTGAATGGACCGAGTTGGTTGACTGTCGACGATGACAACTGCTTCCAAAATGATGGACACGCGTGATGGTGAAGTGACCATTGACTCTGAGGCTAGGTTTTTTGGCCTTGGTTAGAGGGAAACACGAACAGATGATGCCCTTCTTATGTCCCTTAAATATCCAGCAAGTTGACTTCATGTACCCCCGAAAGTTCAGATAGTGTGACATCCAATGTGTTGACTGTTGACAGCCGGGGCGTGCCCGTTAGCGCGGGGTCTGCTCCGCCGCCAGTGAAAACCGAAAGCCATTAAACTTGCAGCGCGTCTCGACGCGTTCCTGCTCAACCCAAATTCCTACTTCACCAATCAAACAGCTCTGTATCCGTGTATTCCTCTGCCGAACCACCACATAGCAGTACGATATACTATACGATGGCTTCTGAATCCAGGGATACACACGCGGCTCAGACTGTCAATGCATCGGCAAACCAGAACGGAACCTCTACGCCAGCCAAGAGACATGAGGAGCTACAGTACCTCGACCTGGTTCAGGACATTCTAGACAACGGCGAGCACCGACCAGACAGGTATGAGTATACTTCTTTCTCTCTTCGCACGCAATGCTAAAATACGGACTGTCCACAGGACCGGCACGGGCACATACTCCATCTTCGCGCCGACGCCCCTCAAGTTCTCGCTCAACGATGGGCACGGCACGCCGATCCTGCCGCTGCTGACGACGAAGCGCGTGTTCCTGCGCGCCGTGGTGGCGGAGCTGCTGTGGTTCATCGAGGGCAGCACCTCGTCGATATCGCTGTCGGACGCGGGCGTCAAGATCTGGGACGGCAACGGGTCGCGCGAGTTCCTTGACTCGGTCGGCCTCGGCCACCGCGCCGTCGGCGACCTGGGACCCGTGTACGGCTTCCAGTGGCGCCACTTCGGCGCCGAGTACCGCGACGCGGCGACCGACTACACGGGCCAGGGCGTCGACCAGCTGGCCGAGGTGGTGCACAAGCTGCGGCACACGCCCTATGATCGCCGCATCATACTCAGCGCCTGGAATCCGGCGGACCTTAAGAAGATGGCGCTGCCGCCTTGTCACATGTTTGCCCAGTTCTACGTGTCGTACCCGCGGAGTAGCAGCGGCGGCAAAAGGGATCCTAGTACTGCCACCTCTGCTACTACAACAACGAACGGGGGTAAGAAGGACGAGGACAAGCCGCAGGGCCACCTGCACTGCCAGCTCTACCAGCGGTCCTGCGACATGGGCCTCGGCGTGCCGTTCAACATCGCGTCGTACGCACTGCTGACGCACATGATCGCGCACGCGTGCGGGCTCGTGCCCGGCAGCCTCACGCACGTCATGGGCGACGCCCACGTCTACTGCGACCACGTCGACGCGCTGCGCGTGCAGCTCGGGCGCGAGCCGCGCGACTTTCCCACGCTGGAGGTCGCGAGGGGTGAGAAAGGAGACGGTGTTATCGATGGCTGGAGGGCGGAGGATTTTGTGGTGAGCGGGTATAACCCGCATAAGAGCATTCCGATGAAGATGTCGGTGTGATGGGTGGGCAATGATGGGATGGTGCCGGTGACTGTGAACCTACTGAGAGCCTGGAATTGGGTTGACCAAACCTGGGGTTTCCTGCTGGTTGTAAGCTGGTTGTAATGTTACTTACGGATATACATGGTTATGATGATAGATGATGGTTGGCCTTGGCTGAGGACGAATATATGGGAAAGAGCTAGATCATGATGCTGGTATGCTCGCAGCCTTATACATATTATACACACCTTCAAGTCTCGCTCTCATGCATCTTGAAATTGACCGCATGAACCGCCGCATGTGCCAACAGAAGTGAGGCGCCGTCACATTATGCCGGTCTTACCGAGTATGTGATAGGGGTATGTGCGTTGAAACAGTATCGTATGCATAGATCCATACCATGTGGTGGTGGACACACCGGTAGAGTATGATACCATACCAATATATTAGGTAGTTGATGCAAATGCCACGAATGGACTACTCCTATACTTCGTCGATAGGCATCCAGGGTGGCGTGGTATCATACCTTAGCCAAGGGGCTTCATACATGCCCATCCAAAGTGTTCAATGTTCATATGGCGGCTAGAGTGGTACAGTCGGTGAGCTGACAAGCAATTGGCGAGGCGCACCTCGGCCAGTTTAAAGCATAAAGTCAGTCAATGCAATGGCGGCGCACAGATCACCCTCGGTTATGCCCCTGTGGCCGTTTAGCCATTTAGACCAATCGGCTGGCTGCAGGTGTTGCACATGTGGCTCCTCCTAGTGACCCGGGAGCCAGTCACAGGGAGCCACAAGCGGCAGACGCACCTGTAACACCTGAACCTTATTATAGGCCGTTGGCTGTAGCGCCTGCAGTTTTCCACCCCCCCCTCCCCCCGCTTTTGCAAAAATGCCTCGCAAAGCAAGATGCAACCTCCGCCGGCCCTGCTGCTCCATCTTTTCTCCCTTTAAGCACAATCCTCGCCCCGGTACCATACGCCCTCCTCGTTTACAGGCTTAGACCTGAAATTCATTGAATCAACTGAATACATTCACATCGTCAGCTCTGCGATAGAATCCTGACCATGTCCGACGTCACCATCATCACCGTGCCCGCCGACGTCGACACTCCGCCCAACGGCAGCCAAATCGGCACCCCCAAGGAGCGCCATTCGCTAACCCTCGACCAGCGACGCGCCCTCCGCCGCTGGGCGCACTCGCAGACCACCCGTCCCTCCCACAAGGCCTGCATCGAGTGGTTCTTCAGCCAGTACGGCCAGAATGTCAGCCAGTCAACCATCTCCCACTCGCTCTCGCCCAAGTACGCGCGCCTCGACAACGACAGCCAGTTCAGCGGCTCGCGTCTGCGCTTCGGCAATTGGCCCGACGTCGAGAAGCTCGTCCTCCTCTGGCACGGCCAGGTAGTTGCCTCGGGTCGCAACCCTTCTAACGAGGAGCTCGCCGAGAAGGCCAAGTCCATCTTCCAACAACTCCCCCGATACAAGGACGAGGCCGCCCCCGAGTTCTCTCCCGGATGGATTCATCGCTTCAAGAAGCGGTACGGCTTGCTCATCAGACGCCAACGTCGACATGGCAGCGCTCCCAACCCCGCCGATGACATCCCCTACCTAGTCGACGCCGTACCTCGCTTCATGAGTATCAGTTCTGAGACCAGTCCGGCTGCCATCCGCGATGCTGTTCTTCGTGTTGTCGGTGTCGAAGCGAGTCTCGCAACCTGCGCCCGCGTCCGCGACGATGTTATCCACCGCATCGAGAATCCGAACCCGTCTCCTCACCCGGGTCTTAATGGCGCACCGGGCGCACCGGGCGCACCCATGCATCCTGGCGAGGGTGACGTGTTTGCCGAGAACGAGGATCCCGAGGTCGTGCTTCAGAACGCCTTGCGCCAGATGCAGCAGGAGGAAGCTGACGCCGAAGCCGAGGCTGCCGCTGTTCGCGAGCAGCGTGAGCGCCAGGAGCAGGGGCTGCCTCCCATTAACCCCAGCCTGACGACACCGACGCCCGGACCCTCGCGAACTGTCGCTCGTTTCACCCCTGCTGCCGGTCCCGAGGATCCTGCACTGACTCTGACGCCCATCTCCAGTGGTGGTGCCATGTCTAGCGTCGACCGACCTCTCCGGTGCCCCTTCTGTGTCAACCAGAGAATGCTTCGCACCATTAAGGAAGCTGTGGAGCACCTGAGCAGCCACGTTATCGTCTAAGTCGTCCGACAAAGATTTGCCACACCGATATCAACTTTCGCTCTGATCTGACAGCTTCACCACCGGTGGTAACTTGTCAGCAATGCGAGGCTGTTGCCGTCGTGGCATGGTGGACATGTATTTGTATTACTAGAGTATCAGGACAAGGGACTGGGCAATACAGGCGTCTATGTGGCCCAAGAGAACAAAGACCATATAGGCCTGCTCTGTGGTTTGCTTGGAGCACGCTCGCTCCTCGCAGTACACCTCGTGAAGGAGGTGCTAGCCCTGGAAGTCTTTCACGCATTTCACGAGCACAAGGAGGAGTAACGGCTGATGCCCCATGACCAACGGAATGGTCCATAAAAACAAGGGTTGCTACTTAGCAGAGAGATAGCCTGGTAATACATGACTTCAGGGTCTATTTCGAACGCTTACATGGTTCGTAATGAGTGTGATGGTTCTTGCTTCATGATGGCTTGTCAGACCTACTTTGCTATGTTCCACATGGCTCTGGCTTGACGTCTTCGCTGATTTCGCGTATACGTGTAATACCGTGTTGGACTTATGTAGCTACCGTCATATCTAAGATGCATGAGCCTAAGTAGGGTGGCAATCTTGTGTGGTTGCGTGCTGCTCACCCACGCCAGGCTGGAGTGTAAGTAAGGATAATACCATCCCGTCAGCTTTTCTGCTGTCTCGATCAGCGTACGCAAGTGCTCGATACGAAAGCATGTGAGCATGAAAAGGAAGTATAGCCCGGTCCCATGGGCATGCATAGGGTACCGTAGACCTGCTTGCTCCCTAATCACAGGCCACTGAATACAGTTACGTATAGCAATAGTCCGCTGCCGTCTCGTACGTTATTCTAGTGCTTCGACGTTTCAACTCACACGATGTGGTATTAGGAAGACGATAGTGAACCTGTTGTGCTCTTTCCCTCTGTGAAGCCAATTTTTCCATTCTTGAAATCGGAGGCTGTGAAGCCAACTGGTACTCAATGGCCGGCAGTTCGACTGGCTGGCTGGTTTGCTTGCTGTCATTCTATGCTTCCCATATGCTCTACCTTACTCTCGAGGATATCGGTAGCCCCGGATGCTCTTCTTCATCTATCCCATACCAGTCATTCAGTGCTCAAAAATGTGGTTCGTCTCCTCGCATCAATTGGCTATAGTCAAGCTGCATTGAAGCATCCTCCGAGAAGTTGTGGCCGACTGAAAGGGGCAGCCTTTAAGGTTCGCACCCTACTTTGCCGCTCTTATACCAAGTCCGATTCTTTAGAAATGTGGTGAAGTCTGCTCATTCCATGATGCGTGTGATTCGGACATACTCGCCACGGAAGGAAACTAGCGGTCTTCACAATGGGGATATTTCCTATTCAGCTTTGCCAAGCAGGGCGCGGTCTGGCTAAGTATGTTCTGTGCCCTTCGGCTACCATGACCTCCCATTACATTGCCGAGATCAAGCATGTCAACGTGTCACATGCAAGGACGAGATGAGTCAACGGTCTTCTCTTTTCGAGTTTCTAGCCTCTTCAACCGCATTACAGCGAACCAGTCCAAAGCGCTCGCCGCCAAGCCCAAAATGTACGCCAGACACCCAAAGCTCAGCCCCACGAGCGTGTCTATGTATCTAGTAAGTACCCGAGCAGGCAGGTTTGTGCCTAGATCCCACCGCCGATATAAAACCAATGTCCGAGGTCGCCCGTCTGTACATGTATGTACGTAAGTGTGTATGTATGTATGTCATTCGCTCGTTGGTGGCCCGGGATAGACTCCCAGGTATTAATATCCAAAACCAGCCCGCCCCAACTAGGGCTCCTCCAACTCCATCGCCGTGTGCATACAGTATTCGTCGTGAGAGAAAAGCAAAATTAGGCGAGCAAGCAGCCGCCAGCCACAGGCCATTAAAACATTACAACCACATCAGATTGCGGCTCTGCTGCCGATTCTGCTGCCACAGCGGCCGGTGTCCCCCGCCGCGCGAACTCTGACTCTGCGGCGGTGAACTCATGACGCTGGTTCCCGCTTCCATATCGCTGTCCCTGTTCCCAGCACCACCACTGCCCGGACCTCCTGCGATCTCGCCCCCGCTATCCCTCAGTGGCCGCCGATCCTCCGGCACGTCGTCATCGTCGACGCCGTCGTCGTCGTCGTCGTTAAAGTCATAGCGGTGGTCCATCGACTGGCGCCCAATCCCCGCACTCGAGTACGCCCGGGAGAACTCGTCAATCTCGCGCGCGTCGGGCTCGTCGTCCGTGTGCTCCTCGGCCACGGGCGCGAGCCCTGTTCCCATGCCGGCGACGTGTGCTGGGTTATATCTCAACGACGCCGATTGCGAGGGCATGGTGTAGCCTGAGCTGATGTTGGTCGTCGTGCCCGTCGCCCACTGGTCGTTGTACGGGATCTGCGAGTATTGGTTGTAAGCCATGGGCGGGCTGCGTTGATCGTCCGAGGGTAGAGGCGCAAAGGCCGCGCCGCGGGATTGCATGGGACTGTGCGTGCGATTGTCAGCTACTGTTGTTCATCAACTCAAGCAAGGAGGGCGCTGGAACTCACCTCATATATCCGGTGTCCGGGGCGGCGCCTGGGGTAGGCCTGGGACCCTGACGGTTGTCCTTCCGCCGCTTGCGCAAGCATAAGACCGCTAGAGCGATCAAGAGCACCAAAGCTGCTGCGCCACCGACCGTGCCTCCAACGATAGCCCCAGTGTGGTTCGAACTCGACGCTGCTGTGTCGCCAGCTGGGGCTGCTGTCGCTGAAGGCGAGGTCGTCGATGATTCCAAATTTGCTGGATCAGACGATGTCGAGCTCGTTGATTCGGTTGAAGATGGGGTCGGAGAGGACGTTGTTGAAGTGGAGGTGGAGGAGGTAGAAGAGGTAGAGGGAGAAGATGATGTAGAAGATGCTCCTGATGATGTAGCGCCAGTGGTGCTTGAGCTATCTGTCGAGGTTGGAGAGTGAGAGCCTATCGTCGTTGGCTCGGACAGCGAAATCGGTGTCGCCGTTTGGGATACTGTTGTATGATCGAGAGCCAACGCGGTTGACGCGCCGTCGGCCGATGTCTGGACGGTGGTTCCCAGGTCCGACGCAGTTCCACACCCGTACTGGGAATAGCCGCCAGCGAACTGGTTTTGGTAGCACACATTGGCGCCCTGACACGTATAGACGTACGGGTTGATCTCGGTCTGCGGTGCACTGTTCCCGTCGACGCAGCCTGTGAACACACCGGCCGTACACGTGCCGCCATTGGGACAGCAGCCAACCACCCCATTGAGGTTATCTAACACGCAATGCGATCCAGCTGAGCACGTCGCTGGCAGATCTGAATTGCCACCTATGTAACCACATACTGTGCTTTCCTGTCGGCGCAGAAGCTCGAAAGGCGAAAGCGGGGCGTCTGTTGGCAGTGGTGGAAAGGGTACGACGTCCAGCTCATGGAACTCGACCGTTTTCGTCTGTCGCGGGAGCGCATGGCCATCCGACAACCCGAATACTGCACTGAGGAGAAGAGCAGCGGTCGCCGGTGGGAGGCGGAAGAAGATGTTGTGGGGTGATGAGAGAGCCATGGCCCAATTCACAGCTGAGGTTCAGCCCGGTTTCGAGAAAGGCGAGGAAGTGATCCGAATTCGGCATCAAGAGCAGGTAACGTGAAGGGTGGAAAATGGAAGAAATGGAAAGTGGTCTTCTAAGAAAAAGAGGCGATGTTGAGGAAGCATCCTTCATGGATCAGCGGCGGCCTGCCTGCATGTTGTATGTACTGGGTGACTGGGGGGTCTCACGGCTGGGGGATACTAAGTTAGTAGTTCCACGGTGGTTCGCGAGCAGTTTCGAGAGCGCCCGGGCGTTTTGACGAGCCGGAGCGCGACTCAAGACGATCGAAATGGTCTTCCTAGTTCCCACGTCGGCAGGTGGGCAGTGTAGGCAGGGCTATCCCAGCCGAGACTAGTCGTGGCTGTCGTGTTGCTTGCAGGTCCGAGCCACCTCACTTCTACCACTTTAGGTCCCGTTATCCGGCTCGACGTTGGCGTCACGACCCGAAAGCGTAATGATGAGAAGCTTGCCAGTTGGAAAACGGCAGATCAGGGCAGTTCAGGACAGTAGCGGTGGCGGTATTGCCACCGATACCACAGCGGCACGGCCTATGTATGCAAGGGTTCAGCTGTTCGATTGCGAGGGTCCCATGCGGATTAGCTCGCGGAGAGTTGACAAGTGGCTCGCGACGAATGGGATAGGGCCCATCCGTGATGCATGGCTTTTTATAGACACCCTCGGCCAATGAGATGCCAAGTCTGACATCTACACAGCCCCCGGGTGCTTCTTGAACCAGATACAAGAGACTGGGGAGAAGGACCCCGATTTGTTCGAGTGCTCGGTAAAATCTCCGCTGTTGTTCGTATGGTCCAGATCAGTGAGGCAGCGTGTAGATCGTTGCAGCGATGACATAGGATTACGAGTCTGCACACGATCCCAGCCATGTCTTTTCGAGAAGAGCACCGACAACTTCTAGAATTGGCGTCCCAGTCACATGGACGGTTCCTGCTTCTTGGTCTTAGACAAGTATGCATGTCTCAGAATATTGTGTTTGAAAGGCCATGAGGGTGTCCAACGGAGCCCGGAACAGATCAGAGTTCGGGCCTGGAGCATACAGTTTTCATGTTAGCTGTGCGCTGTTTTGAACTGCGACACGTTAAAAAAAGGGGTTATCCAACTTGACGCCATGAAACTGCAGCGGTGCCAGTGTAAACTGTGTGATTAACCATCATACACTGAATCGGATATACCTTATTATTAGTCGTCACGTCACGTCAGCTTACCGGATTGCCTTTGAGGGGGCCCCCAGAGCGTAGGTAGGTTAGGACTTGGTGTCTGCGTCACCGAGCTGTCGGTGACGCGGTGACGCAGTGACGCAGCGAAGGAATCGTCTTGGGATGAATGCGGATGAAGTCATCTTCCACTTCGCTCCTCTTTCACGAATGACGCACATTCGATCCTGATACCCCCACACCTGGAGTAGCCGAAACTCAGAGGCTCTCAAACATATGCATCCCATTAGGCACGCGCAACCCGCCCACTCGGCACTGCCGTCGTTTGCTTGAAGGGCACTGAAGGGGTCTTCCCTCCACGATGAGAGCAGCGCAGGGGGTAGGCGGGGTGTGATTGCCACTAATGCGATGTGATGGGTCTTGATAGAAATCAGGGTCTGGAGGCTGGGATCACGGTCGGGGACCAACCTGGCCGCCTTGAAGGGACCAACTTCAAGCTTTTGTTCAGCGAGTTTTCGGGCAACACTCCGCTGTCCGCCTGGAGTGTCCGAGTGTCGCTACCAGGAGGCGGGCCAGCACTCGGTGGCATGGATACACGAACTGCTGCAGTAGTCGACGGGATGCGGACAAGCCGGACTTGTTATTTGCCTCTATCTCAAGTCTGGACCGGTGGGAAGCGAGTCAGAGAGGCGGCCATCGGCCATTGAACAGGTATTACTGCACAGCCACATGTACGTCCGCACGGCCACAGTGTGGCGCAACCGGTCAGGCTAGATTTGATACGACGTGGACGGTGGCAACGGAAAGGAGGCCGCACCAGTGACTGGTGAGGTGCCGTTTCGCGATGATTGTCCCTGACTCAACGTCGTCCCACTCGTTTTTGGTCGAAACACTGGTGGGAAAAGAGTATATATCCTTTGACTCAGCAGATTCCATGATCACTAGGGACCACTAGGGACCACTGACACGACGAGGACCTGCTTGACGTGGGATCATAATGGTTACGTACATAATAAGGAACGATGCACGGGCCGGCCTGACCTGTTAGGCTCTTAGAAGTTAGCACATGTAGATATCGCAAATCAAGGCCCACCACCTCCGCAACTAGAACAGATCCAGAATCCAGATGGATCCGAGACAGACCTGTCCTCATCAGTGCGTCGTGTCGGGAGGTCCGCAAGTTCGATTGACGTGGAGAGACTGCTCAGTGCTTATTGCATCTTTTAGGTAAACCGGAACACCGTGAAGATGCCGATTCGCGTCAAGTCACGTCGGCCCGTATCGATGGTAGATCGCGCCCCATCCCCTGACTACACCCGCCCGGTCGTCCAGCTTCCTGACATCGCCCATGAGGACGTATTTCGAGATGTCGTCAAGAGGCTTTCATTGTGAGTCTCCACCACCGTACCACCGTACCACTGTACTGACGTTGTGATGTAGGTATATTGCTGAGGTGGTCTACATGCCAAGCACCTTTGAACAGTTGCGGACCACGACCGCTGGAGACGACTTGCGGACACTCGTCGAATATCTGAGCCACGAAGTAACCAATCCCGCAATTGTGAACGCTCTACTGGCTCTTCGATGGCATTACGGCGCAATCAATGACGGACGGGGAGTAAGCGAGGCCCGCGCAAACGCCTGCGAGATTGTCGCCTGGCGCTTTCTGACCCGACTATCAGAAAGAGAGGCCGTCGAATTCTGCCTCTACGAAATCCCCGATGATTGCGATCAAGTCAACTCGAACGGCCAAGAGTGCGCAGATGGCGGTGAGAGCAATGAGAGAACAGCACTGCTGGGCGGCACAGCCGGTCCGTCTGGCCCAGAGGATCGCCCTGATCCTCATCGCACTGGATCCACGAGACGGGACCAGCTTGCGCAGTCCGTCTCGAAGCTCACCATGAGTCGACATGCTAGTAGCATGGAAGAGTCCGAGGACGACCCTACAGCGCCCTTCATCCACCTCAATGCATTGGAGATTGCAGCCATTGCCGATGCCAAGAGGTTCCTCAGCCAGCACATCGTACAGAAGATCATCACCGGCATCTGGAATGGCGAGATCATCTTCTGGGACCGGCTGTCGGTCCATTCAAAGAAGAAGCCCCGCTTCTACAACCCGCACACAGCCGACCCCTTTTCACGTCTTCGAGTACCCAAGTACCTCAAGGCCTACGAGGTCGCCTTCTTCGGAACCTTCTTGGCCTTGTACTATGCCGTGTTGATCGAGCAGAACCGATATGCCATCACACCCTTGGAGGTATTGCTGTACATCTGGTTTGCCGCCTTTTTCTACGATGAAGTCAGCGAATACGTCGATGCCGGTTCTATCTTCTACGCTGCCGATGTATGGAACCTGTTTGACATGATCATGATTGCCATCGGTATCGTCTATGTTGTGCTACGTACGTCTCCTTTGGCCATTACACTCTGGCACGAAGACAGGCTAATATAGATGGCAGGGTCCGTTGGATTGTACAAGGGGGACTACGACCTCGTCGATATCGGGTTTGACGTCTTATCCCTCGAGGCTCTCTTCATGGTGCCAAGAGTCTGTTCTATCCTGAGCCTTTCGCCGTACTGGGGCACACTGATACCCTGCCTCAAAGAGATGGGAAAAGACTTCTTGAAGTTCATGGTGCTCGTGGTTGTGCTCTACGTAGGGTTCCTCACAACATTCTCTCTGATCGGCAGAGAGATGTATACGTTCCCACACATGGCGATGATTGTGACAAAGATCTTCTTTGGTTCCAGCTACGTCGGGTTTGATATCATGGAGGACATTGACCCAATATTCGGTACGATTCCTCTTTCTTGAGTCTGTGGCTACCTCCTTGCTGACCCGCTTCTCAGGCCCTCCCTTGATGCTGATATTCGTTACACTGAGTTCTATCCTGCTGATGGGCTCGCTCACGGGTATGCTCAGCAACAGCTTCTCCCGGGTCATCACCCATGCCCGCGAGGAATACCTCTATGTCTACTCGGTATATGTGCTTGAAGCTTCGACTAGCAACCGGCTTACACACTTCTACCGTGAGAAACCATATAATCCCCCGGTTACATACCAACTGCTGACGTGCGCGATTCAGCTCCATTCAACCTCGTTGCACTTGTGATCTTCAGGCCGCTGCGGCTGTTCTACCGATCCGGCAATAGACTCCGGCAGGGCCGTATCGTGCTCCTGAGAGCGACGCACGCCCCCATCGTCGGCCTGATCCAGGCCTACGAGTGGCTCACCAAGAAGGTCAACGCAGACGGCTTCGACAGCTTCCGCGGCCCGCGCCAGAACTCGACGAAGCGACGCGTGGCTCCGCCGCCCAACAGGCCCGACAGCAGGCCGCAGTCTGCCTATCGGCCGCGCATGCCTTCGCCCAAGCCGACCAGCGCCGACGTCATCAGCAAGCCGAAGCCTCGGGAGCAGATGCCCGAGGACGATGTCGGGGAGGCGCCGACGGATGTCGAGGTTCGCATCTCGGAGCTCGCGGCCAAGATCGATCGCCTGACTGCTTTGGTCGTCGCGCTCCAGTCGGGCGCAGGAACGGAAACCATTCGGACTTGAGGTGGAGTCGGGCTCTAATGAAGGTGAAGAGTAGATCTCCGTGCATGGTGACATCATTTGGGACTCAGGGGGTGAGGCTCAGAGTAATATATTCCAGTCCACGCAGACCAGCAGTATTGCATCGGTCGTTCGGAGGGGTGGCCTCATATTTGCGTTCTTGGTTGGCATCGCCTTTCTAACACTACTGGAGTTAATGGTAGCATATTGCTATAGCATATTGTGATCTCGGCGCCTTACTGTATCCTTTGTTCAACGTATGTGCTACATGAGAGGGAGAGCTGGCCCTTCGCTTTTTCATATGTTTGGGTAGCCTGGCAGCCTAAGCCCTTCGGGGGGATGTGCTTTTATTCGTATTCTCGTCGCTGTCGCTGCAGCAGTTGTATGTCTCGTTCGCCAAAGAAATGTACCTGATTTGCCGCTCGAGGAAAAGGTTTTGAGGGAGCGTGCTGCGGAAAAAATTGGCAGTTAAAAAGTGATTGATGCCTAGCGGAACCGATCGCCTACGGAGATGTGCTTGAAGCTTCTCGAGGGTAGGACTTTGTAAATGGGTATCAAGAGATGATTATAGCGCTGAGAGGAAACACCATGGTAATTGGGTATTTAGTGGTGGTGCGTGATTATTTAAACCTCGTCCCCTCACGACGACGAGGTCTAGGGGTGTGTGTTACATTCACCGGGACTAAACAAGCCGGTGTCCGTTCGGTCTACTATAATTATACATTTATTTCCAAAAAATCCCTGGTAATCGGGGCTACGATCCTAAGAGGATCTATCACATCACGGTATCCCTGTTCTGCTTCGGCGTTCGCCTCTGGCGAGAGTGTGTGACAAGGTGCCTGCCTATCTAGAGCGTCTTTGCCACCTAACACGCGTGCTGTAAAACCATCTTGTTATAAGTAAGGGACTTAAAGACTGCATGTATGCGTTCTCGTAACGAGTCAGTCGAGATCTTGGAGTTCTTTCTTCATTTACAGACCATAACATCCTCTTGCCGAGAAACACATTCTGCATACACATCCGCTAAAATTCATACTTGGATCAGGCTCAAATACACCTCTTTACATCACCGTTTGTTCCATTGTTGCTACTTACTCGAGCTCCGTCATGTTATTCAGTCGACCCGGCTGGACGTGGTCCCTCGCTTTCTAAGTCGCTACTCTGGTCGTTGCCAATGATGAGTTAACAACCTGGATATATTTCTACCGCAGCGAATACAATCAGAAGCCAAACCTCGACTGTGGCGGTTCCCACACCGTTGCATGCAAAAACATTCGGATGGGCGATTGCTGCCATGCCCCCCAAAATGGCGATGTCTACCAAAGCATCCGTCATAACGTCCTAGCGGACAAATGGGATAGCGTTGAAGTCTTCAAGGACCACAACTGTCTGGAAGAACTAAGAATCGTCCTCAACGGTGACGAAGAAGCACAGCGGGGGTGCATGGACGGTCACTACCCAGATGGTAAAGACTGGCCGATTTATAGCGCGAAAGTGTTCCGGGAGGGCCAGACGCCGCCGAAAGTCGGAAAGGGGGACAAGCTGAAGGGATGGTTTACCTCGACCGAGTTAAGCAAGGGCCCCACGGCAGGGAAACGCGAAGCTGCCGCAGTCGCTGAGGCAGACCACTATGTGTACCAAGAAGGAAACGTTCTCCGCTCGATACCCATGAACTCCTCGCTGGGGCGGCGCTTCGAGGCCTTGAACTCGACGAGCGAGCAGGACGACTTCATGAGGACGTTCGGAACTCTGTTTTCTGAGAATGAGACATCAGCGGGAGCTGTCGGCGCCTGAAGCAGGGGACTCTAGGGCTGTGACGTGTACCAAGGCCGGCTTTGGATGCGAAAGGAGGAACGGAAGGGCCTGCCTCGGCGGGTTTTCAGTTGGTTCATTCACCGGGTGCAAGATGACGAGTCCTCAACCCGCTGGTTGGGAACAGCAGTACACAGTCGCTTCTGGTATCCTCTCTTTGGGATACTATAGATGGCAGTCAATGGCTGATAGTAAGGGATGGCGGATCGGATAGATCTTAGAGTTGCTTGCTAGACTGGAGCTATGTTCTACGTTCTCATAACAAAACATTCCTTTGAAACCTGTTCCCATCTCAGTTGATATATACTAGTTATACGTCATCAACATGTCTGGTCGCTAAAAACCGGAGGCTGTTGTTGTGATGTTGTGAATGATGTGTCACATACGGATAATGCTAAGTTATAAGAATGTTGGTCATGATCCTACTGCAGTATCCCTATATGTAAAACTGTTCTACGAATTTGAGTAATGTCATGTGGTTCTTTACATGCCGGGGCAGCTAACTCCGCAAAGGGCGCGCCCACTCTCCGAACCCGGACAACTCCCGTCTTTGGCACATCTACGGCAGCTTCAAGATCCGACAAGAATACGTGCCCCCATTCATTACCTCTCATAGATCCCAATTTACTAGAGCGATCGATACCTCCTTGTCTCTCTCTCCCCATTCCGTCGCGTAATATACCTACGTAGCCCTCTCCAACCCCGCCACCCCCTCCTCCGACCGGCACATCACCTGCACACAATGGACCTCCCCTTCACCACCCTCGACGTCTTCACCACGACGCGTCTGCTGGGCAACCCCCTCGCCGTCGTCACAGTCCCCTCCGCGCTGCGCCGGCGGCTCACGCACGCCGCGAAGCAGAAGATCGCGCAGGAGTTCAACCTGTCAGAAACGGTGTTCCTGCACGAGGGCAGCGGGGATTGCGAAGACGAGAATGAGGGTGATGAGAGCCGCGAGATCGACATCTTCACCGTCGAGCGCGAGATCCCCTTTGCGGGCCACCCGACTATCGGCACCGCCGTGTACGTGCGGTACCACCAGCACCAGCAGCCGCAGGCAAGTGCAAGCGCAAAGGATAAGGCGGCAGTGAAGACGCTGATCACCAAAGCCGGCCCCATCACCCTCGAGCCCCTCACTCATCCCATCAGCACCAGCACCCAAGCGCGCGGAATCCGCGCCCGCATCCCGCACGCCGTGCACCTCCACGCCAAGACCCTCCGCGACGTCCTCCCGTCGTCGCCCGAGGACCACCCGGGCCTCTCCCCGCACGCCGCAATCCGCGCCGCCGAGCTCCGCGCGCCCGTCTTCAGCATCGTCAACGGCATGACGTTCGTACTGGTACAGCTACCAAACCTGTGCGTGCTGGCTGAGGTCCGGACGTCGCGGCTGGATTTCGAGACGTTGCCTGTGCCGCTGCTGGATGAGGGATGGAGGGACAGTCTCGTCTGTCGGTATTACTACGTCGATGTGGATGGGGATGGTGATGGTGATGGTGAGGCGGGTGGGCGTGAGGAGATGGGAGAATCAGAGGAGGGCGTGAGGTATCTGCGCACGCGCATGGAGGAGCTCGGGTTCGAGGACCCGGCTACGGGCAGTGCCGCCACGGCTCTGGGGGCGTATTTGACGCTTACGGAGGAGAAAAGGGGGAGGCGGTTCCAGATGACGCAGGGGGTCGAGATTGGCAGACGGAGTGTCATCAGCGTCGAAACGACGACGACGACGGTAGAAAACGCTGACGGGGAAGGGGTGAAGTTGGGTGATGTCTGGCTTGGTGGTACGGCTGTGGTGGTCATGCAGGGGAGCTTGAGAGTTGATGTGTAAGGGTAACAGCGTGATCTATTCTAGCTATGCTATGAGCACCGGTTCCGCATGTTCCTCTACCTACTGGGAACTTCCAGACCTTTGTGGTGTCTGTACAATCGACCACCATGATATGCCTCGAGGTTTAATACTACAAATCAACTAATCAGGGCCCACCCCGAAAGCTTCAGTGTGCCTTGACATTGCCTGTCGGTTATTGCTCCATGATTGATGATACTATATACAGGTCTCAGCATCGGTGATTACAGGGTCCGAACTGAGCTATGACGGCTTCCAGGAGCAGAAGGCGATGCGTGAGCAGAAGGTGATGTGTGTCCGAGTCCAGCCATACCTTGCGTCAGCTGAGCAACTCTCTCGTCATCTAGCCAGGGGGTGTATGATGTCGTCGGCTCCTGTTGCTCGGCATCCTCGTTCGGGATCTCGACGTAGTATTTAGAAGCTGAGATCTCGTTGGTGATGAGATATCCAACCTCGCGGGCTAGTTTATTGGCCATGCACAGATTGCATTCGCAGAAGTGGTTCTGGTCCAGAGCAGCCCCATTCGGACCCCGTGGTCGGCCGCAATATCCATGCACATCAGCTCGCAGGATCTTGCTGTCTCTCTGGATCTCGTACAGTTTGGAGCGGTATCTGATTTGGCGCTTCAGGAGGTCCAGGGCCATTGACGGTTCGAGCATATCCCCGCTCTCCTGGAATGCCGAGTCGGGACTTGACAAGTAACGCGGGTTTGTCATGACGTCGCCCACGAATTCCCAAAGCTTAGGAGTCCCAGCCTCCCTGTGCATCCAGACGTAGCGGGCAAGCTGCGTCGGTGGACATTCAGGCGCCTGTCCCCGCAGCTTCTTGCACATCAGGTCCATCACACAGTTCTGAAGCTTGGGCATTCCGAAAAAGTTGGCCAGATACCACAAGTTGACCGACTCCTTCCAGGTGGGCTTCTCATGGTCGAAAGATTTGGTGTCGCAGAAGTTCCACGTCTCCTCGATCGCATTTGTGGACTTCGTGGCTTTCATATTGCCCCCTGAATAAATCCACTCGACGAGGATAGGAAACGCGGACGCCCATCGTTGATCGTAGAGTTCTACTCCGTTGGCCACCATCTCGGTCCAGGTGGTGTTCAGGGTACGACGGAAGTATATCGAGTGGTGCTTCAGGAGCTCGGCGTGGAGTTTGTAGACTGTCTTGTCGGCAAGTTCGATTGAGATCAGGGTCATGGGTCCCCGGGGGAATCTGGTGGGATTGTCAGAGTCAGCTGTGACGTGGCGGAATTGGGGCGCACTCACTCAAAGTCCTTGGCGTCCATCTTGGCTGCGTTCACGGTCGTTGGAGTCCAACCTGGGTGAAATCAGCTTACCCGAATAGATGGTTCGAAGCTGGGTATCGAGTCGAGACACGCTGGTGACAGTGACCGGATCCGAACTTGACCGCAGGAAGTCGGACGGGACGCATCAACGAATCCACGCGCAGTTGGATGAACGGGCGGGGTGCGAATGTGATGATGAAGGATTTGGGACGGGCGGGTGATTTGGAAGTTGCACTACTAAGTTGGAAGTCGAGGTCTCTTCAAGCAGTGTTGGGAGGCGACTGCCATTATTGATTCTTCGAGATGGGAAGCAGCTGTCGTTACTAGAGACGGGAAGGTACGCAGTTGACAACCTAGTGCCCTGTCCATAATACATTCTTAATGGATGGCAGTTCTATTATCATCTTGCAGGACTGATCTTAGGCAGCCTCCATGAGTAGGGGCATGCACGAAAAGGGGCATGCACGAAAAGCAGACAATCCATATTGTTGTGCTTGATGAATAGGGGCTGATTCCACCGATTAGTAAGCAAGACGAGAGTAAAGTCAACGGGATGAACGTTCATTGTATACAAGTACATTCAAGTACCGTGTTCAATTCCGGGATGATCAGGTTAGAGCCTCCCTCCTGGAGATACATTGCATCGCCGTGGGTTTGCGGAATCTGCACCAATATGCCCGACTCGCTCTACTTAAAGGTCACATCTTCCCTGGTCTGTCGTCTCTTCTGGTGACCCGCATTCTCATCTCCGACATCAAGAAGAACCCGGGGTTTAGTATCTCGACCGCATTCTGCGGGTTGACGACAGCAAAGTCGAAGCGTCGTAGTAGCTCAGTCAGTCAGTTAGGTCTGATAGAAATTTGAGCGAAGATAGAACTCACCTCGACGAACACCTTGTTCAACTCCATCTGCGCAACGACACGACCGAGACACTTGTATCGACCCGAGCCCCAGAGAGCCTCCAAGACTCCGCTCATCATCTCGGCAGTCTCCGTGTCCGCCTCCAACCAACGCTCCGGTCGAAATGCGTCTGCATCGTCACCCCAGTACTTCCTGGAGCGCATGATGCCCAGGACATTGTGACCGATCTCGGTGCCCTCTGGGACATAGTAGCCGTTGATCGTATCACCGCCCCTGGGCACTTTCTTGAAGAATGTTGCCGTGACTACGGGAAACGTGCGCAGACCTTCTTTGATCACCGCCTGTAGATATGGCAGTTGTCGCGCTTCGGTATCCTTGATAGGAGAGCTTACTTTTCCTTTGCCTATGCCATTATCGATCTCCGCTCTGAGTTTGTGGTATGCCATGGGGTTCGACACAAGCAGAAGCAATGTCATGCGAATCCCGGTCGCAGTCGAATCTGTACCCGCCACTCTACCAATTGTTAGGTCCTATGCCTCTTCCAAGGGAAGGCGGGAGCACCTACATCTGAAGCACCAATTCGTGAATTGCTTCCTCTCTGGTGACACCCTGCTCGAAAAAAGAAGCCAGTGTACCCTTCCAATTTCGGCTCTTGGTAAGACTCGAGTCGACCACGTCTGTCGCAAGCCTACATCAGATGTCAGTCTTGCTATGTAGTCTTGAAAACATGCGCGTCGACCTACGCCATGAACTTGCCAATGCCTCCCCTGTCGTGAACCGAGGGGTAGATTTTGTTGAAGGGAGGCTTGGCGGTGATCTTGGTCAGCCAGTGAAAGTTCGCAATGACTATGGCAGCGGCGAAGAAATCCTCGTTCCACTTGATGAACCTGTGAACGTCTTCGCCCTCGTCTAGACATCCAAAGGCCCCACCGTAGGAGATGTTGCCAATGCAGTCCATGGCAAAGAAGGAAGACATCGATGTCAGATCCATAGGTCGGTATTCGGTTGGAGTGGACACGAAGTTGCGGTCGATGAGATCAACCAGACGTGCGCATTGGCGGTCGATACAGGCTTCTACGTGAGCGTTACCCGTATACCCTGGGCCGAGGTTGGTCCGTCTCCGAATGTGCTCTTCATCGTCGAGTAACGAGAAGGAGTGATCTTGGGTTGGGTGGAACCTGAACGTCTGGTAGAAGGGCCCTCTGGTGTAAGAAGACTTGGGATGCGCCATCCGTCGAACGATGTTGACGTCGGTTGTCATAAGCTGATTTGGCCCGATACGGAAGAGGTCCCCTATGCAAGTCAGCGCATGGGGACTCCGATACCTTCGATATTGTTATCATGCCATATTGGTCTCCCACATCTTTCAAATCCAGATACCAGTTGCCTCGGAATTGTGTCTTGACCTGCCAGAGCTTGGAGAAGGAAGTCCAGAACGGTCCGGGTATATGTCGAAGACGCGACCAAGCCCACAATGTATGAATAATCCACGCGATAAGGAGAACCGCAACGAATATCGAGGACATCGAGGCCATGGCGGAGCGTGGAGAAGCGTCTGCTTCGGAAGTGGGAGTAAAGTCGAAGTGTTTGTTGGAGGACGTTCGGGTACGAAGTCAACTTTAAATTCCGTTTTCATCTGCAACATGTCTCAAGTCAAAGGGAGGTCTGCCCGTTTTGCCATCTCCTGCCTCTTAGCTGCATGGGGAAAGAGCAATAGAGTGGTCGTGACTTCCGCTGTCGGCTGTATCGTAAAATACAGCTCTACCGTGGCAATCGATGACCTGACTAGAAGAGCCTCGAAAGTGACGAAGTGCTCATATCCGATACACATCCTCCCCCACGCATTCCGTGACTGGAGGCACGCCATGATCAGCGGTTACCGAGCCACGTAGGGCATCCGTTGTACGGGGTGTCACAATCGAGGATATCAAGCTTGATGGTTTGGCTAGAAATGTTGTATGGTTGTCTTGTGTTTGGTTCCTCCCTTCCGGCCGAAGAGCTTAATAATAAAATAAATCGGTTGTCTTGCCAGGTGATTGGTCCCAGCTGCTCGGTCCTCTTCCCAGGCTGTGCGTCGATACTAGGTGCAGCAAGATAACGATCGTCTTCTAGAATCTACAGCGTGTGGTCGACGGATATACCGCTTTAGTCTACTATTGTTCGCAGAGGTCCTTGTGCATGCTGGTGTCAGGTACTGAGGTGATGTTGATGCTGGGATACCCTAGATTCGAGGTGAAGATCGGGTCGGCGCTCCGGGCACAGGGGTTTCACGAACTACTTGTTTCAAGGGCTTGGTGACGAGATGATCCTTGACCTCCAGTCTCTGAGTCCACTCTATGAGAATTTAGTCCGTTCCGACAAGACATGCTTTGTCAATGCTGTCAAGGTCCCCCTACCCGAGTCCAAACTTCCGAGCTTATGCTTTCACCTGTATCTGCCAGGCGGTGATGCTAGCAGGTCAAGGACAGTAAAATTAACATCATGCCATGTGGACGAGCACACCTAGGTGATGTACGGTCGCCACGTTTGGCAGGGCTGGAGCATGTCCGGATACGCGAGGGTGCAAGGGTTCTATCGTCAAGAGATAGCGGCTGTCGCACTGCATGGTGCCAACACGCCCTTGAAGGAACGGAAGTTATCTTCACGAGAAGATTACATCGGACGACTCGCCAAGTGAAACTGATATTCGATCAAGATACACGAATGAGCAAGGAATCACCCGTGGCCTGTTCCTATCACAGAGCTAAGCCAACAGGGCTGTTTCGCCCACCAGTACATAGGATGTCACCCCGGAAGCTCGACATGAAAACAGGCTCACACACCTCATAGGCACAGCCTTCACCGAAAATTAGAGGGGGACTGCAATTCTGCTGGGTACTGTGAGACAGCAGCATACCCCAGGCCGCATACCTATCGGAAGGTGAAATAAATTGCGTTGACGTTGCATTGTGCTCCGAGAATGCAGCACCTTTGCGATTGGTTTCCCATCTCATGCACGTAACCGCGTCGCCAATCATCATGTGCTTCCGACTCCCGAAGCGTTGACGACAAGGACTCACTCAGTCTTCACCGGGTTAAGTTGAAATGAAAGATGGCGCCGAAGAGATTTGATGTGCCATGACACCTCAGACTCGGAAGCTGGAAAAATCAGCTGATGCGACCCTTAACATGAAGTTTCAGCCTCCGAGTGCCGCCTACATACCCTAGGAAGACTGGGCATGATGATTCACCCTCACGGATATCCCATGTGGATGCAATACTACCCTGCCACCACCATCTTGATCCTACATGCAAGATCCGATCTCGTAAGATCTACGATCCTATTGGCCGTAGCCCCATCATGTGTGGCGCCATCATGAGATCGCCAGGACACCAGGCAATGAACCACCCTCAGATCCCGCAGTCTTACTGCTTTGCGCTGGTAGAATCCTTGATCAGACTGCTGGTACCCGAAGCGCTATGCTACATATTGCGTTGATGCGTCAAGTGGATAGAAGAACAACTTGCCGTGAAATAGGCAATCATTCGGTGGTTACCCCAGTCCATGCCGTCAAGAATGATTCTAGTCACCGGTCCCAAAATATAATAGTTTGTATACCCAGCTGAAGAAGGATTAGATGGAAGCACCCAAAAGGTGAAGCCAAATTAGCGCTATTAGGATTCGAACCTAACACCACATATAGTGACTTCTTCAACTGGGTAAATGCACTCGTCGACACAACGGGATTGTCATGGACATTGTCGGGGCCTCCTTCGACCATTGTTGCCACATGCGGCCGCGACCTTCGCAAGACCAGCGAACATTTGCGAACAAAGTGCACGTCTGAAAAATGACCCACTTCGGTCTAAACACGTCTAGCATCACACACACCAAATATGGAATAGAGTTTACAAAGTCACGCAAGTTACTGACAGTCATGGTCATAACCCTTGGATCATGAGATAGATGCTAAGTGGACGTGTTGCTTTTGTATTGTACGAGGCCGACCCGACGACCGTCAAACCGACCCCCAGCCTTTCCTTGTCTTTGCTTTCACCTCGTAATCCCGACCCCTTCCTTGTCCTTGCTTTCCGCCTCTTAATACTGACTACCGTGCTTTACTCAGATAGCGCGCAGCTGACGAGGTGATGGGATCATTGACACTGGCGCTGCATCTATAGTTTTCCTTTCAGATACTTTTGTTATAATCGGAAGGCTCGGTATAGGGGTCAGCAATTTCCCGAAGCCTTCTAGCCAGGGCCCGTGGCATGCCGGGAGTGGCTTCGTGCAGGCGAACCTTCTGGGCCACTTCACGGGCCTCAAGAGCATGCTAACCTAAGCGCTTTGTGACTTCGAGAAGTGCTGCAGGCGGCAATTCCGCCATAGTTTCGATAGCGCCATCTCTGACCTTCCGATGCTGGGTGCAGGAAATTGCTTGGCAGCTGAGTTCAAACAGCAAAGCACGAAGCAAATGGCAATGATGAGTTGTCTCCCACATCTTCCCAATAATCTTAATGTCAAGGAAAGCGTACTGATCAGCGAGAAGTACAATCATGTCGTTTGTAAAGTCAACCGCTTGGAAGTAAAATTTTGTACTAATAAGTAAACAATTACTTTTCACGAATTATAACAGCTTTTATGTTAAGATTATTGGTTTCCTGGATAATGCTATAAGAACGGTATTCATAGGATGGGGCTGGTCCGCAATCTCATTGGACACACCCGTGGCCAAGAACTTGTCAGCCCTATCAAGTACCCTGTCTGCCTCGTGTGGAAGGGGTAATTAAGGGAGGATCTGCTATATATGTAGTCTGCTGAGCTGGAGCCTGGGTCACACTAGTCGGGGGTAGACCCTAAGACTACTGTGTACAGGGTCTGGAAAAATACGAATCGTATCGTATGGAATTATAATTACTATATAGTATACGATATAGTATTATAAAAATTTAATAACTTTTATACTGTTATATAAAACCTTAGTTAAAACGTCGGTTTTAAATAGGTTTTATTTATATGTTGAATATTTTATTATAAACTATTCTTTAATAACAATAATATACCTCTTAAATATATATATACAAAGAAGTAAAGCAAGTATTATATATGTTAACAAAACTAAGCATAGTATATAAATATTATATATAAAAAATGAAAACTTATGTACTATTACTTTAATAATTAATTAAATACAAATAATATTTAAAAACGGCGAAACACGTCTTTAATTAACTTTTCTTTCTTTAATAAAATATATAAGTTATGTCAAAAGGCCCCGCTTTTACACCCCTGTTTAATACTATCGTATACGATTCGTATGACCTAAATACGATACTAAGTATCGTATTTCCAAACCCTGGACTGTGTAACAAGAAAGGATCGCGTCTGCCTGATCGCGATATTAATAACACACTCCCAAGCCCACTTCCTAACACTCCTCACGAAAATACCATAGGAAAGTGTAGCGTTCAGCTGTTCCTGACCGGACCAACAACCACATCAATATTTACGCATCCAGTCGCAAGTGAAGATGGCCTCAGAACCTGACCATGGATCGCGCCAAGCGAGCCAGGACCTCCGTCCGGTCGTGACCAACCTCAACGGGGACACTGCATGGCTAGTGTCCTTCCCACTCCCAGCCGCCGAACGGACCGAGTCCGGCAAGTCATACTACCACATCGTCGTGGAGCCATGGCTCTCCGAGCACATCGTCCTCTTCACAGCCTTGCTCGGGTCAATCACCCTCCCCGAGCCGCCCGCAGTCAAAGACGCAGCGGCAGTGGACGCCATCGTCCGCGACATCGAGCAGGCAGCGGATTCTCCCGCCCACGCCGATGCCAGTGTCGATGTCATCGTCGTCACGACTTGGCTACTGGACCACATGCACCGCGACTCGCTGACTGGCTTTGCCCCGTCGATTCCGGTGCTGGCCAGTCCCGAGGCGGCCAAGTCCATCTCGGGCTGGAAGCACTTCGAGTGCGTGATCACCGTAGACACGCTCGATGGGTCCGGAGAAACAGCGTGGCCGGCAGCGCATCCGGCCGCCGCTGCCTGGCTGGCTGAGCGTGTTTCGCGTCAACGCGCACGATGTTGTGTACGCCTTCGTGTTCGTGGGGTGCCACGGTGACGACGGCAACGAGCAGCACGACGCGCTACTGTATCTCCCCACGGACACACGGAGGACCTGCCGGCTCTGGACCGGTTCCTCGAGGCGACCGGGCGGCCACGCGTGCTGACCATGATGCACCCGCTCAAGGACATCTTCCGCTTCACGTCGATAATATCTAGTGGCGTACGATCCGGAATCAGGCTCTATCGAAAGGTACAACCGCGGTACTGGATCGAGTCGGCCAATGCGCATCTGAGCTACGGGGGTCTCCTTTTCTTGGGCGTTAGGGAGGAGCCGCGGACTTTGGATTCGGGGTTGGAGGAGGAAATGAGGGAGATAGAGGCGAAGGAGTCTGATGCGGTTCGGCCGAATTTGATTGAGGTTGGTAATGGGGGACATTTTGTGTTGGAATTATATGGAAATCGGATAGTTACTGCAGATAGCGAGGGTTGTTTGCATATATGTCTCACGACTTCAATGGGGCGGGTATGCTGGTGGTTATAAAGAAACACCAGGCAAGGCAGGCCCTTTGCAGCGTGAAACACCACGAATAAGCACAGTATTTGAAGTCATGGGTGTTCTCCGGTGCTTACAAACAAAGAGATGGAAGAAAATGAAAGCCAATGTCACAATCGGTATGCAAGGCACATGTCAAAGATGGAGAAGAGTCAGATATAAGAAAGCTTCATTATTGGTTTCGCGGTCCATGATTCCCTTGCGAGCAAGCACCTATCCCGTAAGATCGTGGTGGGAAAGATATCGGTCGGGGTTTGTCGGGTCGAAAGAATATGAAATCGTTATCTGAGATAGTCGTGCCGTAAAGTCTTGGTCCAGTCCGGAGCGCCAGCTTTTCGTGCAAATGACGTGAAAGGCAACACAATTGATTGATGATGGGTAGGCAGAGTGATGGTTTGTGGTGGCTTAGGGATTTCTTGGGTGATGAGGACTGAAAGGTCTTGAGGTGAAACCGACAATGCTGCTATTCGTGTGTCTCATGCCCCCCTTTCCTGCACCTTCCAGAAGCGAGCGCGAGCGTCGTCGGGACTGAATCCTTCCTGGCAACCCACGCAGTCGGTCATGGTGTGTGATGGTATCTGACTGTTCGGCCTGACGCTTGTGCTCCTCCTCACGCACTTTGAGGATTGTCTCCCAGATACTCGTGTCTTCTTGAGGTGAGCCTTCGTCAACGGCATTGTCCAAGTTTGAGGTCAGTGCGCCTTCATCACTAGCCCAGACACAGGCAAAGGAGAACTGAGTCTCGGCAGACTCGTTTTTTGACTCATCTTGGACAGGTCCTGTGACTCCGTTTAGCATCAACGTCGGTAACAGTTGCGAATTGGAGATGAGCATCGACAGTGTCGACTTTGGCGAAAGTTGCGGATTGTGATGAGCATCGACAATGGCATCGACAGCATCAATGTCGGCGACATGGTCGTCTTCCTCTTCCTCGATATCGGCGACGCTGGCGTGAGCTCTAGTCTTAGAAACCTTCGAAGGGGAGTGCTTGACGGTAGCACGCTTTTGCTTGTTAGAGATCAAGGTACCAGCGACTTTGGCGGCGCTGGTTCTGGTTGCCATGGTTGCACTGACCGCCCCGGCTTCCGTGCTATCCGTATGCCTGGCTTGCATTGTGACCATAGACTTGGCTTGCAGTATGCAGTCCGTAGGCATTCGCTTGCTGTGCGAGGGTCTGGGTTTCCTGCTGTCCGTAGGCCTGCAAATGCTGTGCGAGAGCTTGGCTTGTATGCTGTCCGTAGGCCTGTGCGTTCTGTCCGGAGGCCTGGGTAGCGTGCTGACCATGGGTCTGAGTTCCGTGCTGTCCGTAGGCTTGGTTTGCATGTTGTCCATAAGCCTGGCTTGCGTGCTGCAGAAGCAGGAGGAGCAGCCGCAGGAAACCCAGGCGCGCAGGACTGCCAGGACCGCCAGGACCGCCAGCACCGCCAGGACCGCCAGCACCGCCAGCACCGCCAGCACCGCCCGGACACCTGGACCACCAGCCCCAACCAGGAGCCGGAGTCGGCACGAGACTGAGCCTGTTTCTCAACTGGCTCCAGATGGTGCTGGCTGACTTAGCATTCTTGTAGTTCCCATGGGCGGCCAGGGTCTCAAAGTCAATCTGGATTATCACTGTCAGTGGTATTCTTCCAGAGTAGGCAAGATGCCCAGGGGAAAGACATTGTGCGAAGTGAGTGAAGTGTATGTGCTTGAGGGTGAAATGGTGGGGAGAGAAGCCCGCAAGCGGCAGAGGGGGGACGGCCACCTGTTTGACGTCTTTTTTTTTTGGGGGGGGGGGGGGGGGGGGGGGTTGATGTTTTCTTGTAATGAACGGCATTCTGGTACTAGGTCCCAACTGGTTTAGTATTTGTTTAGGTAGGTACCAACACACGGTTGCTATACCAGGTGCACGTTGTGACTTACTGCCGGAGGATTCTTTATTAACTTGAACACATTGATCATGGCTTGTGCGTCCTTGTTCGAGATGGTGTTGGCAGCGCCGTTACTGGGCGCCATCTCAGCGAATCGGATTGAGAAAGCGAAGCGGGTTGAGGAAGTAAAGCAGGTTGAGGAAATTTTTTCAAGGAAGAATTCTGGGAGATGCGATAGTCGCGGCATTAAATAGGCCTGCCAAGGGTGCCCTAGCTTTCTGACTGCCTGAGGAACGGACAAGTTACAGCGGCCTACCATGTGAAACTTAAGTTAATATTGCAGTCCGACTGCTAGAAGATTCTAGAAATGACTTTGTTAATATACGTAAAAAAACAGAAAACAAAATTTGATTTCAGAAAACAGAAGTAAATATATATAAATGTTAGCTTGTAAGGCTATAAAATTACTATTTAATACCGTAATAATACCTTTTTTTAACCCGTAATTAACCGTAATTATATTAATAAAATCGTAATTACAAGTAATTAATACGAAGTTAAACTAATACGAATATTATATATTACCCGGAATAACTTTACATTATTTTACCGCGTTTATAATATTTGTAATATAATTTTTTGTGTACGTTTAAAAAAAAAGAAAAAAAGAAAAAAAGAAAAAAAGAAAAAAGAAATTATAAATTCAATTTAGTAATGTTTTAAAAGCAAGCTGACTTTTTTATTTAAGTTTTTAGTTCGGAAATATATCATTACGAAAATCTATTTAATACATAACTATAATATAAATATACTTTTTCATTGTTTAAAAAAAACTGCTTTAAGCTTTATAGTTTAATAACGGGTTTCTTTTCTTTTTTCTAATTAACGTTTGATTTAGAATAAAAACTAAAAACGTTACCGTTACACCGCTCATTATTACTTATAGTTTTACGTAAATTACGTTTATTAAATATATAAAACCCATAAAGAAAAACCCTTTTTGGTAAATATTCGTTATTTTTACTTAAAACTATAAAATGCTAACAATCTTATATTTAGCCGACCGCGCTTATAGAAGAAACTGAATTAATATTGTTGAAGCAATTACATAAATTATATAACCTTTAAAAAAGACCTAAACGATAATACTTTGTACGATAAAAATAATGATTATTATTTATTTTACTTTTAAAAACATTCAAAAAAACCCGTTTATATTTTAACTTTCTAAAGGTAAAAAATAATCTAACTAATACGTTATTACTGTGACGGCCTGCACGGACCTTCCCACATGACAAGCCGATACTTCTCAATAAGGAAAGGATCTGATCAGAGGATCCCCTTAAAGGGACAACCTCCCACTGTACCTATATATCTCTCTCTCTTCCTTTCCTCTCTAGTCTTGATATTCTCGTCAATAGAGTAATAGCTGCTTGCTGCCGGCCATGTCCCAGCTCCTCATTACGCTCGCCGTGACAATTACCCCGTTATAGTTTTTAAATAAATCATATATTGTTATATTAACATATATTTACGTTTTATTAAATGTTGGATAGAAATTAAATAGCTATAAAAGTCGAATAGTATAAGAGAAGTACTTTTAAAAGTTTATATAGAAATATTTAAGTGTAATTTTTATTATAACTAGCCGTTTTGAAACTGGCTTAATATATCCCGTTTTTTGAATCTTGGTTACACATTAATTAAACAACTTATAACATTTAATACGTTTAATTGAAGTTATAAATTTTTATAACGCGATTATTTAACATTATTCATTGTTTCTTGATAAGTACCCGTTTTATAATAATACCGATTAAAATTAAACTACGTAACAAAAAAAATATTAAATATTTTATTTTTACCTTTATACCTTATTTGCTTTTACTTGATTTATTATGAAATAACATTTCTAAGACATTGCTTTTAATAAAATGATAAAAGCCTTTAATAGTGTTAATTTAAACCGTAATATATTAGTAATATTAATATAAGATATCCTTTTTTCTTTCCAAAAATTGGCGTTTTATCGGTAAATTATAGCTTGAAAAAGCGTAAAATAGTGTTTAAAATAAAAGGTTCGAATCTTTTTAATTTTTTGCTAATAACTTTCACTCATAAATTCGGGGTTTTTTAATAATAAGTTCCTAGTTCAAAAATTAGAATATGACGGTTTATACCGGTTTTTTTGTTTAATAAGGTTATTGAATAATTCTTTATACGTTTTTGAATAAATAAAAACTAAGATTTTTATTTCTTTTTAACGCCTTTCATTCGTTTTAAGCGCGTAACTTCTCATTACTTTAATATAATTATTAATTAAAAAAAACCTAGGTTATAATTATATAAATTATAATAACTATGATGGTTCTACCATCCATCAGGTCTAGGGATGGTCCCCTTGGTCCCCTGGTCACGTGACTGAACACGTGACTGATCGGACGATAGGTTGATCCATGCTCTGGTGGGTCTAGTGGGGAACAACTGCCCACATCTAGCTGCCCACCAATTCGGGTGCATCTTCAGATCTTTCTTTTCCTTCAACCAGAGTTCATTATACGTTAATAGTCAATAAAGGTCCCTATATTCTTTTAATATATTTACGGAATTGTGACAATAACGCCATTTTTAAGAAAAGCGCGTTTAATTTATTGGGGTATTATTAATAAAATAAAATAATTTCGATGTTATAACTTTTAACGTTAATTAAAAGTTTGAAAAAAGTTTTGGTAAATAAAGCTATTTATGGGATACAAGGTGCCGTATAGGTGTGTTGGCAGCTGTTCAGGCAGCTGTATCTGGCCTGAATAGGTGGTCAAAGGATGAAAGGGGTGGGGGCACCAGAAGTGGTGACTTTCAGAGTGACAGACAAGGCTCCATTAATTGCCAGATCAATGAATGGGCGAATCTTTGTACTTTGGTGTGTATTTAGTACTGGATTTAGTCCCCAGATCCAATAGACGATTATGCAAGCAATTCACCCCAATATTGGACCTTGAATTGTGACACTATTTAATTTTATAATAAGACCTAGTTTTTATATTTTAAGATGAATCGAATATACTTTTAAATAATTACTTTTTTGATCGCATTGTCGTTTAAATTATTATTTTATAATCAATATATTTTCTAGTTAATTTTAATATCTTATAGTAATAACTTTTTAAATTACATAAATATTGTTTATCGTACAAACTTTTATTACATAAGAATAGACGTTGAATCATAAGAGTAATTAAAAATGAAAATATCATAGCACGTACGTATATTTTTCAAAATTAAAAAAGGCCTGATTTACTTCTTGCTTAACTTTTTAATCGGTTTATCAAAGTTTAAATCTTTAATATTCAACTAATCGTTCTTTTTTATATATGTTACAAAATCTTCGCGTTGTACGTTTATATAGTTTTTATCTTTATTTTAAGGTTTTATTGTAAGAATATACAAGTAATTAAAAACCCGTTAAGTTTTTTTGTTATAATATAAGCAGTTAAAAACTTTTATTAATATAACTTGTATTAGCTTTATTTAAAAGCTAGATAAGTTCTGATTTTATCATTAAGTAAAAGCCATATTCGAAAAAGTTTTATACTTTTAAATACGTAATTATTTATAGCGAATTGTATAAGTATTAAACAATCCGCTTAATCATTTCAAAAAAGAAATATAATAATTAAAAATATTATGTAATATTCATATTTACGATTTTCATTTGCTTCTTGGTTTTAATATAAAACGTTGTAACTAAAATAAGTTTAATAGTTAACTAGGAACTAAGTTTACAAAAAAGTAAAACTGAATTAAAAATTACGGTTGAAAACGATAACTTAACCCGTACTATACAAATAATATAATTATAAAATAAAAGCGAAATTAAAAACAGACGTTTAGTATTAAATATTAAAGTGAAATATGGCATTTTTATAAATTTATCGATAATTATAAGAATGTAATGTATTAGAGGTTTTAAACAATTAAAATTTAATAATAATTTAACATAATTTATCAAAATATCGGTTTATAAGTAGAACGATATCTAAAAAAATTCAAAAGTTTAAAGATACCTTTTATAACCTTTAATACGCCAATAAAAACACTAACTTTTAATAAAATCAATTCCGGTTTAAAATAATTATATAATATAAATACGTTAAAATATATCATGTGTTTTTAAACGTTTCAAACGTTATTTAAAATCGGAGATAATAATACGTTATATTGTTTAAAACTAGATAATATCGTCGTAAAAAATAAACCATTTCTCGGTAATATAAATCTAGCCTTGAAATAATACGTAATTAATTTTAATAATACGGAATTATCTCTTGATCTTAAAAAAACCTTTTTATTAAGTATTTCTAATTTTATATCTCTTTTTAAACAAGTTTAAAAAAAGTATATACTGTATCGGTTAAAGTATTAATAAATTCTTTTAAGTTTATAAAAGAAATGTAAACAAGTTAATTAACTTGCATTTTAAAAAGCAATATAGCTTAAAATCAATTTTAGGTTTTTCGTTTAAAACATCTATTTGATTTACCGGTTTATTATCGAAGCCGTACAAGAATATATTCGTAATATTGATAAAGAAACTAGATCGGTACAAGATAACAACGAAAGTTATTTAAAAAATTTAACTAATATACTTAATATTAATTTATAAGTTTTATAACCGTAAGATATCAATTTTTTTTATAATTCATAGTAATATTAATAATATCTTAATAACTTCGGAATTTAATGTTTATATTTAGGAGTTTTAATGATAATAAATAGTTTTTTAGTATACATTTTATAATTATATTTTACAGATACATATTTTGTAAAAAAATAAACCAAAAAGTACCGTAACCTATTTTCTTCGATTTAAACTACAACGATATTTAACGCTGATACGCGTCATCAGGGGGAGTAGTCAATGTGGCTGGCACAGCCACAGTCATTAACACAGCCACTGGTATGTGTGTGGGTTACACATTGTGTGTGCGGACCTGGATAGCTAGGGCTAGACTAGTTAGATAAGGGTTGTACTAAGATAGGGATTGCAGTTACCTTAAGTAGCTGCAATCTTTCCAATCTTAGTCCTTGCAACCCAACCCCGCCTCACACATCAATTGACACCCATTGCACAACGCAATAAACGCT